ACCTCGGGGAATTGATATAGACTCGACACAGATTTCATGATGACAGATTTTTGCGTTGATTCAGAGAGACATTCATTGATATGAATAATATGCCCGGACCTTTGATATTTGCAGGGCGCTTGAGTTTGGAACGTAATCGTTGTAACAGAAACACAAGAATAAATATCGTCGCATACACAGACGATGCGATGACCCGGTACCTCCCAGTGCCTGGAAAACCGCTTGTATTACTTATCCCCCACCAAATTACGGTAAAGCTGATATTTGAGTCCAAACAGCCTCTGTAGGAGTGTAGAGCGGAAGTAAGATCGGACAATGTCTGTACTTGTGAAATATCATATCATTGTGGCGCAACACTAAACGATCAGATTATGTGGTCACTCACGAGAAGGAAGGCAAAAAGTTGCACCTGCCAGCATCGACAATGGGCAGAGGGCGCGTTTACTGTATAAAAGTCCCACCGAGATAAGAACCGGGAGCCGCCGGAACGGTCATAACGAAAGGCTAAAGACGAACTTTGAAGGATACGAAGTCCAAGAATTGACAGAGAATAACGAGAATGCAGTAGGCCTAGGCGATAGGTTCCGTGCCAATGTCCCTAAGCATCCTTAGCGGTTCTGTTTTCGTGTACGTGGGAAAGTTTTTTTTTCCTCCGACTCCGGCCCGGAATACCTTTCCTGGAACTTGCCCTTTGACCTATGCCGCCATCAACCGCCACTCCTCCTGCGACTCTCAGCGTGCAGAGGCTTTCTGAAATCTTGCCTTGCTTGAATTTCGAAAAAAAAACCATTGCTCACCGAAAGAGTTGATTTTTTGCGCTATATGTCCCCCAGGCCTCTCGACTATTTGCTTGATTTTCGTCATCCTGTATTCCAAACTAAAGTTCTATCTCGTAGGGCAGACTGTTCTCTTTCTCACTCTGCGTTCACAGAAAACCCCGGTGCAAATTATTTGACAACCGGCCATCGCCACTTGTGGCGCTTCTCGCAGTTGTCAGGGTCTATTTGAGTCTCTGCTTTCAATTGTATACCGCCGCCTTTCGACCTCAAATACTCACGTCAAAATATCGCCTTTGTCCGACCGCAGCCGTACACCCCCTTCTAACTATCTGGGGTTCGATTTTTACTCTGCCGTGACTCTGACGTCTTAAACATGGTCTTGCCTATGGTTGCACTAGCAGCTCAAGGCTCCAAAGATGAGCTGTGCATTCATCGCAGGCCATCATAATTGGCGCATCCGAAATCGCAGCCGACCACAATATTGTGCCACAGCCAACAAGGACTCCCGATGACGACGCCGAAGGGCCAAAAAGTGAAAGCCTCTTTACGGCCTCTTCGGCTGGATTTGAGCTCATGTCCTTTTGATCGAAGAAAACACGTTGTATTGTGCGTGATCTTCTTCCGCGTCCCTGCATCTGCTGGATTTGTATTGATCTTTGCTTCTTCCCTGATGCTGCAAAATATATAACGGCGCACGCTTTTCGTTAATGACCGTTGAATTTCACGTCTGTATAAACTTTGTCTATATATCGCCCGTCCAACGACACCCTCTTCCTTACACCTCATTCATCATGCCTAGTCCTCGTCGCTCAGGAGGAGCTCCTCCCTCTAGCTTCCGCGTTAACTTCGACCCATACCGGACGGAAATCCCAGCCTTGAACAACTCAGGCAATGCTACATCGGATCCGTTCTCTTCAACGATGCATACCGGTTCTTACTACAGTAAGTACTCACTCAGCATTATTTCCCTGGTACTCATGAGCGTAGCAGACCTCACTCTGTGGAATCAGAATAGGGAAGAAGACCAGAGGAGCTTTTTGTTTATGCACGACGAAGGCGAGAGCCGTCGCGTTCGCCGACCAAGGACCATCGAGCGTTCCACTGGTAGCTACCAGAAGTCCAAGTTGAGCCAGTGTACGAGCATGGATGGTGAGTCTCTTGCGTCGTGTCATTTCGATTTAGCTTAAATGACCTCTCTCTCAGACGCATGTTCGGAACGGGGGCACTGTGGGGGTAGCCGATTCAGTGACTCGAACGAAGCAGATGGTAAGCAACACTTCTAGAGTCCCAGATCTAATCTAACATGCTGCTTCAGACTCGTTTATGTCTTTACGAACCCATCACCAACTCTTCACGCGCTCTCCATCAAGTTTCTCATGTCGAAGTCAAAAATGGGCGCCCCGTTGGCTTCGAAGGGTGTTTTCACGGAAGCGTTCGCCTGCCCATCATTAGATGGAACGGAGCCTTGTTAAGCACCGATACCCAGGTATGTTAACCTTTCCCTCTTCAGATTTGCTTAAGCTGACTTGAACATCAGACCGTCAAACTCAATACCATTTCATCAAGTCTATACCCTACAACATGCCCTTTAAACGTTGCTCACGTCTGTTGAAGACCCAATGTACTTTTACTTCTGTACCATCCCCGGTGGACCATTTATGCGTTCCATTCCCCCCTAGTTTTGTCCAAGAACCATGTTGTAGAAAAGCGATACGAATACAAACGAATTAGAGAATTATCATGACTTGAATATCTCATCACCAAATCACACTCTAGTCATCGGCCTGTTTGATTCTCTCATCATTTCTCTTCAGCCTGCCTAGGGATTTGCCGCAAAGCCGCGGAACCAATGATTCCGGGGGTTCTGATGCCGTTAGTGGCGACCACTCGCCGGCGCGCATTGCCAATCCTCCAAGCCTCGATCATTCTATCGGGCTGCGCCTTCGGGACGGCACCAGGCTGTAGACTTGCTTAATGTGCACGAAGAGAGCAAAGTAACATTCCAGTTGTCATTTGAGTACTACTTTAGCTATGTGTCACTGCCGCTTCAGCTTGTCACTTCGTGGCTATAATAGTGTTTCACTGCCAATATCGGTCGGTGCTTTTACTGAGTTCCCTGAAACCGACTAGGAACGGAAGCAGAAGTAGCGACTCGGTCATGGATTTCTCGCAGACCGTTGAGTCCAATGAAATCTGCAGATAACCGCAATGTCTTGGAAAAGTTGATGAGAAAACCTCGGTGAAAGATGTGCACCGCTAGTAAAAATTATCCTCCCGGGTGGACTCAGCCATACAACAACCATGCTGCGATATGAAATCGTGAAAAAGACTTCTCCGTGCCAGCCCGTGCCCTCTGTTACCAAGGTATGGACGGCAACTCGGTTAACAAGAGCTGTAGGAGGTCCAGCTCCATGTGAGAAATGAAACCATGTACCTGATATCGATCCGAGATATCAGGGCAACACCATTACGCTGCATGTAGAAGCACATCATTGGTTAGCCGAATTTGCGCGGTCAGATAAGGTGACTCTGGGGAAGACCGACTGGCCGAGCCAATTCACTACCTGAAGTCGTGAATAATGAGCTTAGTGTTCTTGCGCATCGGCGGCGAAAACTTGGAGGAGGATGAGGGGCCGACGAAGCACGTCGATCTTTTCACTAAGGACACTTGCAGGGTCATCGAACTTCCTCTGACTCGAACACACAGAATTCGGCGACCCTGCTGAATTTCGGTAGACTTTCGCCCTGTAAAGTTGCAATCGCTATTGAACACCGTGGCTATTGAATACTGTGAACAGGCTCAACAAACCATCAGTGATCCTCGAAGTTGAATGAGAAATTAAATGAAGGGGAAAAGATCCCCCACAACGAAAACCACCGCGCCGAACAGAAATTCTTTAGTGCGTGAAAACTTACCCACTTGAGGATGCTGATCTAAGGCACGGGGCCAAGAATGAAATCCCCGACTCGGCAAGTACTGTATGGAGTACAGCCTCAGTACGATGTACATGTGCACAAGCACTGCTATCGAGTCACGAATGACTCACCGCCAATCATCGTATCTAGGTTACTTTTGTCTGCGCCGCGTCTGGGGGGAAATGCAAGGATATTACCATTATCGTCTGATCCTCCAATTTTGTCCCCTCAATGCTCTATCGACCGCATCAGGTACAAGAAGTCTATATATCGGGATGAAACCTTGCGCACACACCCCGACGCTCGTCTGGTCTGATTTCCTGTTAAACCCTGCGCCCATCTGCGCCGAGGTACAGATGGTGTACACAGTACGTGATAGCTTCAAGCGTCGGCCACCCAGAAAAGAACTGTAAGGGGCACGTTGATAGCGGTGATAGATTACCGGGAACTGGAACTGAGAACTGAAATAGATGGTGCACATGTTTGTTTGACGCGAAATAGAGGTGTATTTGGAAATCCTGAACACGATGTATTCGAAAGACAATACAGGTGACCAGTTGATCATTACGCGTCAGGATGATGGAACAAACAAGTTACGACTGCAGGAAGTAAAAGATGTAATCATTTCCCCAAGCCACATCACCGTTATTCCCTGCGGTCGCCACCTTTTATGCAGGATTCAAGCGTTTCATCTTCGAGTATAGGCAGAGCTTGAATCAGAGGGAACGGTCGACTTCTGATTTACACCGACGAAGGCAAGATACAGCAGGCAAGAAAGGGAATTTCAAAATGGAAGTAGCGTACGCTTGTCGGACCGGAGTCCGAGGCACCACGGTACGTGTCTTCAGACTGAGATTATATCAGAAAATGTGTTCACAGCGTCTTGGGGGAATGCATGAATAACCATGGTAGTAGAAGCGAACTTTCCAAAAAACTTACACGTATATTCACCAGGGCCATCCAAATTTGATTGCCGACGAGCATCACTAACGTCTCTGGCGCAGATTTCGCGAAAGATAAGGTGAAAAATTCATGTAAATGTATTCCCGACCCAAGAATAACTTGATGTATGCCATAAAACCTGAAAGAAAACGAGGACGTTAGCTTCAAAAGCTTCGAGGATATGACAAGCGGAGAGAAAGAGTCCTCACCTAAAGGCCGCCGGACCCAGGGACCGACGTATTGTTGAAGAAGAACATCGAATGTCGCGTCATCCTCCTGAAGTCCGTCGCAGTAAGCCGCGTGTACGAAGAAAACACGCCCCAAAAACATCATTTCGGCAACACGAGGCTTATAGCACCCCGCATGGCGCGACCATCGCCATCCGGATCAGGATGTTTGCTTGGCGGATCGATAGAAGCAGCGGAGGCCCAGTTCCATAATGAACAAGTAAAGCCATGGTGATATACAGGGTCCCGGGAATCATTGTGGGACCCGCGATGACGACTTTGCCGCACAGCGAGCGATGCACAACAACGTGATACACCCGTACAAAGAGGAAATTGAATTAGAAATAGGTCTTAGTGGTGAATAGCAATCAGTACACCCTGGCGTTCTGCGCAGCGAGCGGTCCAGAAGACCATGTGAAACGGTTCACACGACGGCGTCTCAAAGTGGGGGTGCGGTCCAAGCGAGAGCGACCAAAAGGCGAAGCCATCTTCCTGGGCAGCGCCAGCACACCCAGCCACGAAGGCGAGGACTGAAAGACGTCCTGTAAAGGGAGGCCCGTCTCACTAGGAGAGAAGAATGGTTCCGGCATGGTCATTCTTTGAACGAGAAGAGAGCGAATAACAGTTAGGTAGCCGCGTTAGAAGATGGACGGCTTCTCGCGCGAAGGCAGTCATAACGCGAAGGACGGATGGCATACCATACTGAGGTGACATTCCTCACGCGTGCTCAACTGGGAGGAGCTACTAGCTCAGTACGGTCCTACGGGACCGAAATCAGGTCGAGTGTTCGAGAGCAGAAGACTTCGAGTGATATCACCTAGCCGAGGGTACAAACACCACTATAACGTGTACACTGGAAGCACGTTAGTAAAAGATATGGCGCGAGGAGTAAACAAATGGCTCACCGGACCACGGCTCAAAAAGTCGTCCGGTCGGTGAATAGGGATGAACCCGCGTGCAGATTGATTCCCGAGGTCGCTTAGAGTACATTGAGGGCAGTAGTAAGTAAGAGGTACGGGGTACATCTCATCGAGGGAAGAGGCCAATGGGTAGCAGTTAGAGCGTCGCCGTTCATCGAAATTGAATGTCGTGCGCCTTCGCGTAGCTCAAGGCGCAGAAGCGAAGGCACCACTCGTCATATGCAGCTAGCGTTCGGAGATAGTCGCTAAAGTGGACCAATCACTGAAAGTAGATGAATAAGAGGAATGATCATCAACAAACGAGTCAAAGCTCACTCTGTGCCCAAGAATCATGGTATTAAGCGGCCCCACAGGCACAAGATTAAGCATGTTCGACGTATACCATGGAATCAACTAGCAACACATGTGGTGCAAGGAGGCCGGTATGTAATATCATTGAACAAAGATTCAAAGGAATCACGATAATGAGCGCTCGGTGTCTTGGCACACATTTTAAAAAAATGACTGTAAATTGGTGATGCAGGGGAACGGGTTTATGTTGAGTCGTAGACAAGCCGGGCCAGATGTTAACGTTGGACCAGGCATTAGCGCGCAAGACCATCGTCAGCGGCCTGTGCACACCGACAGCCTATGTAATAATGCTAGAAAGGCGAAATGGACGCTCGATACGGCACTAAGCAGACACGGCATAAGCTATCCATAGAGTAATTGCTCTGATTTGAAAACGGTCAGCAAAAGGAACGAAAAAAGGTTACAAGAGTATGTCCCACCTTCGTAATGGCCGTTTCCAGCAGAACTCTGACTGTCTGGCTATTTAGACTAGGTGCAAGCTGGTCGCAACACATTAATGGGGAGAGAAAATTAGGAGCAAAGAAACGTACCCAAAGGAGCGCAAGAACCACATATCGCCTAGTTGTGTTGTCGTACATGTCCAGCACGGCGGCATATTCAATTAAGGGCGGTCAGATATTGCGCCGGCGTTGTGACGAAACGTTCCTGAAGATCGTTCAAGATGGCTGCGGATGATAATGGTGGGTGTCCAACGATTGACATCTCATCGGTGCCGCTACAGTGGAGCAATCACACCAAGAAAAGTAAAATTTCAGCCGAATTTCTAATTGTCCAAAACTAAATAAGAAACTGGTGGGATACCATATATAGGTATGCGCCCTCTCCCGCCCCAAGGCGGGATGGAGCGGGATTCCTATATATGGGTTTTTCCTGGTTTTGGAATTAGTTTCTGACCAACAAAAACTCGGCTGAAATTTTACTTTTTTTGGTGTGAATGGAGGTAAGACTACGGAGGTAATTGAGCGGACCGCTGCTCTAACGCCATCCATGCCAGAGTAGATTACCGGCGACGGCTTGCTCGGGTTATTGAGCGCGTACAGAGCGGAGCCGCCATCAGATCCGTACTGTTCGAATCGGCTGGCAGACGTAGATAGGATCTTTCACCGACGTATCGACAAGGCACTGACGTCGCTTAACCATTCGCCAAGTAGCTAGCAAGATTGACATTCACAATCGATTGAAGGCAAGTCGCGACGTCGGTAAACATTTCCCGCTCTCCCTCCGTGTTGGATGACCGTACATACGTCAATAGAAGTACGGTACGGCCAGCGCCGGTAAATGGAGGGCCTGGCCACTGTCAATCCCAGCTATTAGCTCGCAGGATAGGTACGCGAGGAATGACTAAGACTCTACCTCAGCGAAGTACATTGGTGTCATCACCGGAGTGAGCGTCGGCACATCCTCGTTCGTGTCCACAATGGCTAGACCAGCCGCTAGCGATCAGGCAACAAATTCATCGAGCAAGACTATGATTGTCGGAAAGCATCGTTTTGAGAATTTCCGACACTTGCGCATGGAGGCTCTCTGTTGACGACGGTGAGGCGGAGAAACGAGGTTGTAGCAAGGAAAACGTACTCGTCCTCTTCAGAGCGCCGGCGTATTCAGCGTTAGCCACGCTCATTTCTTCTTCAAGCCTTTGCAGTCTCCTTGCCTGCCATGTCTTTGTAAATACCAGCGAGTGGAGGCAGAACGCTGACCGCGTACCTGATTTTCCTCTTCCTCTGGCTGTGGCAGGGACTGTATGAGATATTCAACTTGCTTTGCCTTCGTCAACAAGTCCGTAACGAGTTCCCGTTTATTGCCTAGAATTTGGATGAGCACGAGCGGAACAGAGTCGTAGCACACGCCCGTCGTACCTTCAAAGATCTCTACGGCATCGTACTTCTCTGGGTTCCTCGACTTTGTAACAGGAACAGCCGCGTTGACTTGAAGAAAATTCGACCGAGAGGTGAGGTAGGCGAGGCTGTTCGACATGATAGTGAGGAGCTTAGAGAGGCATTGGTCCACGTCAGCGATTCGCCTGGGCTAGGCGAGGCGAATACCTGTTCAATTTCATCCTGAAGTTGCGTTATACGGTCCATGTGCGACAATTCCTGGAGCATTGCGCAGCGCGCCGAGGAATAAAAAGGGAAAAACGTCGGTCGCGGCGACGACGTAACGGTAAAAGATGCACCGGGCGGAGATCGAAATTTGTTGCCCAAAATGCCGTCGGCCCGCCTTCTGACCCTAACCCCAAGTAACCCACGGTTACTTAGTCCCCGGCTAAACGATTCACCTGCTCAATATCGACCGGTGGTCCCATTCGTGAAAAGGAGTATTAACGTTATGTATAACCCATACATGAATAGATAGGTCTCCAATTGAAAAAAAATGGAAGGAGTATAAATATCGAATTGGACCCATCCACGGAAAATCACAAACGGCGGAATATCCCGACAGCTGTAGAGCCGTAACCATAATAACCAAAAATTTCCATCCCGACATTCACGCAGACAAGATCAACTCCGGCGTAACGAACACGGCGAAATTCTTAGTGCCTAGAACACCTCGACCATGAGCAAAGAACATACTACTTCATAAGAACGTACACACCTTTCTCGCGATACATAAACTCTTGCGCAGTCCAGATCTGCAGACGTCCCTGCCCTTTCAACGAGCCCAGACATCTATTCATCGACTTCTCGAAATACGTCTGGCTCGGAAAATAATGAGCATAGTTCTCCAGCTCTTTATCTCCAAAGACCACATGCAGATTCGTCTTACGGCGTTGCTGGGCAAAGATTTTGCCAAGGTTGGTCCAGACATTCAACGGAAAATCCTCTTGTTGGGTCCCAAATATTACGTTCATGTATACATCTTGGACGCAGTCCGGCATGGTAGCGAACATGTTGACAAGCCATGAAAAGTACTCGTCCTGTGAGGGCGACGAAGAGCGAGGGTATTTCATCCACACTTGTAGGTACAGAGACCTGAGCTTCGTGAGCTTACTCATATCAATATGTCGTGCCGCTAAATGAAGCAGCCCGGTAAGCAATGAATGAAGCCAAGTGAGCCTACAACTCACTATACGGCAACGCGTGAGTAAACATCACCAGTTCCTCCAACGTCGTAGGAACCTTATCCAACAGCCGCTGAATGACCTCAAACGATGTCAAAGCAGACGCTGTCACCCTAAGAGCACGCAACTTGCTCAACTGCGCCGCAGGGGTCGCACCACTAAGGTTATTCAGCAATATCGACTGCACGATATTATCATCAACGCGTATCTGCAGCGCCTGCAGCGATGGCATCTTCCACTCCGTCGGAGGCTCAAACGCAATTTGGGCATTGGGATCCTCGTTATTGCGATCAAGCGGAGGATCGTCATCTACAAAATCAAAATCAATAGGCGTATGGTTGAATATACTCAGGGAAACGAGATGTCGCCAGTCCCAGTCCCCCTCCATAGACGTTCTCTGGGGTTGATCTTTAGGTCGGTTGTCCTGCAAGCCGACCCTCTCCAATCTAAGGAGCTCCAACGAGGGAAACAGTGAGATGGCCTTGAGCAGTGTCGAGACGTCTCTCAGTTGCATGAGTGACAGATCCAGACACCTCACACTGCTCAGCCCGGTATGGAGGTGATCCGCAACAGACGACAGTCCATCGCTATCGATTTTCAGAGTGCGTAGGTTGGGGAGACGACGGAGCACTTCTGCGATAATGGGAGAAACGGAATGACTGTAGACGTGGAGTCTCTTTACGTATTGCCCAACATGTGGTGATTCAGTCAGGAGAGCATTAAATTGTCTGCAGGATCGTCGAAGAAGCTTGATATTCCGGAGCAAGCGCTTTTGCGCAGAGGGTGTGAAATAACCGCATACCAGTGAGATTGACCTGTACGTCGAGATTGTCGAGAAAGGGTCTCCATCTAGGTCGTCTAGAATTTTGTCGATAAGCTCCTGTGGTAGACGCGTCGCCATGAGTGCTCTAAAAACAGTTGAAGCTTTGGAAGTGCAATATAGACAGGGTCGCACCTGAACAATTACTTCAATTTAGAACAAGCTTCCGGTGAATCCGAGCCCGCTCCGAGGAAAATTTGATGCCTGCCAGAGACTAAAGTCAGGAGGGCAGTGATGACGGTTGCTATATCACAGTTTACTTGATTTATGAATCCAATTCCTTGAGCAGGAAGAAATTTGTTCGGCCCAAGGCAGCGTCGCAATGGCCAACAATGGCGGTAACAGGTCAAGATTCTATGATGCTTAGTCAGCTTCATTTCAGAGTCAAGGATCGGGCCGGACTTCCGCCTTGTTGTTCTCTCTGCCCCGCTCGATCAACAGACACTCCGCCGATAACTTGTGACAGCGACAATTATGAGAACTGAGAATACCTGTGTACGTTTCTATACGCTGGCTTTTGCCTCTGAAAACTCACAGGCGTGTAAATTCCCATTCTATCAGAAAGTACTGTGACTGATGTATTGTTCAGACTGGCAGTGACGGAGAAATATCGCTAGCACGCTAATCGACTATCAGATCCCCTTCTCTGTTCAAATTCTCATTCCTGAAACATTACAACAAAACTGCTCTCAGCAATAAAGCAAATACGCGTCATACCTCGTCTTGTTGACGACGACGGACTACCCTGCGTTTAAGAATCAGATTTCCATATCATCAATGAATATCTCAAATCACATCCTAATTATCCGTAAACTCGGTGTGAGCCAGTACTGCTTCCACCGAGGTCGTCTAACTCAAACACTTATCCTGACCGATAACCGTGAGCTTGAGAAGCCGTCACCGACAAGCTCGTGGTGCATCGACATCCTTAGCCATTCCCATGATAATTTCCTTCAACTAAAATCGTATCAGAGAAACCTCCAAGGCACGTTCATTAACTGCGCCACTCGGGAAACACGAGGAAACCGCATAGTGCACCATACCTTTTGCCACTGATTCATCTGAATGACTCTGGCTGATTTCTCGACAACTCGGTCCTTTGTGGGACGTTAATTCCTCACATAATCTCAGCCCAGGGTATAAGAACACCACTGCCGACCTCAGTTCGAAGGAAGTCACCACTACCGCCTGCAATCCTCGCCAGTTTCGACCGAAAATCGCGTGTCATTGTAGCGTGTATCTCGACCTGCCTATTCGCGTAAAATCTTACTCTATTGTAGCCGCTTATCCGGTGATTCGCGAATCATTTCACCAGGATATCCGTTGGTAATTCCATCCAATGATTCTAAACGAATTCTCGAATAGACTGATCTTTCTTTATGACCTTTAGTTGTGCCCTGCATGATCACTGTCCGGGGTCGGAGAACGCCGCTCCCCACAGCTTGTAGGAAGTCAGTGTCCATCGTTCTGACCGAGAGTCGCGCATACTTCGAGGAGACCGGGTGCATTAGCTTGACGAGTCAATGATGGCTACTGCCTAGCGCTTTCGTCGTTTCTTCAAGCTACGCTGATCGTGAGGACTAGTTCAGTTTAAACGGCTATAACACGCAATGTTGGTGGGAATGAAGAAATGCTAATAAGGTTATACTATGATATACAGTACAAGATATCCGAAACAAACAGACGAACACCGGCTATCATGATAAACCCGCCAAAACTCCTACAGAGTTCGATCGCCGCCTTCCTCCTTCATCTTTCCCAACAATCTTGCTGAACCGATAGTCAATAGGTGCACTTGACCGTCTCGAATTCCCAGACTCCGAGTACTCCGACGGAAGCGTAAAGAACACCTCCGGCGATAGCAAAGGCACACTCTTCCTCACCTCCGGCACCGACTCGTCGTCGCCGTACCACGACCCTGAGGAACAAGAAGAGCGAGCAGAGGACGTGCAAGCTGAAGAATACGCCGACCACCGGCTGCCTGAAAGCCCGCCATTGATATCAGCTACCCCCAATGAAGATCGTGCGGTGTCAGGACGGGGAATTGTTTGCGAGGGAAGCGTCAACCAAGGCGATTTCGCAGTGGGAGCTAGCTGAGCTGTAGGAGGTACCGCGGGCGTTGGTGGTGTGACGCTAAAGCTGAACGAAGACTGGCGCCTGTTCTCCTCTTTCTCCTCGGCCAAGCTATCCCGGTCGGCAAGGTCCCACCTGACGCCTTTCCCTTCCTTGATGCCTCGGATTTCATTTAACCATTTTTTGGCTGATGGCCTGTTGACGACGAAATAGATAAGGAGAGTCAGAGCGATAAAGCCGAAAAACACAGAGCCAATGAGGAGTAGCTGTCCCACAGGGACAGGATATTGCTTAGGTGTCTGTGGCGTTTTTGTGTGCGAAGGACCGACGGGGACTTGAGACGAGATATCGGGAGTAGCAGCAGGAGCCGTAGTAGTTCCAAAATCTACTTGCTGTTCGGTAGGTGTCGCGATAATAACTGGACCTGGTCCAAATTTCCTTTGGCTGGTAGGCGTTGGTACCGTTGAGGAGCTGGGCTGTGCATCAGTGCTGCTCGCGACATCTTGCGTTGCAGCCAGACTAGACGACTCAGCATAGCTTTCCTCCAAATCGCTCGAGGTACTAGGCGATGCAATGGGAGTGGAGAAAGCGTCTTCCGTCGAATCCTGAACAGGAGATTCCGTCAGCGATAGACTCGTAGGGTCCTCGGCTTGGGCGTCTGACGTTGGAATTGGAGTTGGTGACGGCGTCTGAGGATCATCCTGAGAGTCCGATGTCGTCTGCGAGTACTGAGTTTCGGCTGCCGAGATTGCTTGTGCTGGAGTAGGGGTAACGGCGATAGCGCTTGCGCTCTGAATCGAACTGATCATATCAACGGCCTCTATGCTCGCCGAAGGTTCCGGAGAGATAGACGAAAGAGCGCTATAGAAGGAGGAGATGAGAGAGCTAAGGGCGATATCGTTCGTTGTGTTTGGATCGTCTCGTATGCGTAACGGTGAAGCCAAAGCGCTCTCCGAACTTGTAGCCAAAAGATAACAGAAAATGATAGAAAGGTGTTGAAAGGAACGTGGTGCCATGGCAAAGAATGTGGTTGTCTCGTGGACGTGATCACTAGCAGTATAGGTAGGTGGAAGGGTAGGGCAGGATAGATGAGGTGGTGGTTGATAGTTAAGAGACGAACAGTCGATCACGCTCTATTTGAATGCCGAATCCCGGCCACTTGCCTTTTTCGTAGACAATCACGATCACGTTACCACGATGCATGAGGATTCGTTACACCGATAAGAGGGTAGGGGAGCTGGAGTCTAGTACGTGCTCATACTTTGGGTAAAGATATGCGAATATGCATGTTTCTTGGCCTCGTGCACCTCCAAGCTCCGTTTATGTACAAATTTCTTGTCGCAGTGAACGCAGGTATGCTTTTGGATCCTCTGTCTACGTTTATTGTTCGGAATACCGTGCACTTTTATGTGTCCCTAGACTAGTTATGCGTCTATATTCAAAGAAAAATATTGAAGGTTGATGCTCACATTAAGCGCTTTACTTCTGCAGAAAACTGCACCGCATTTGGGACAAGGAAAGATGCCTGTTGTATGCACCGACTTGTGACCCTATCAATAAGCGTCAGCACTAATTTTCAAATGAAATATCGTACTTGTAGACAGTCCCTTGTCACTTCTACTTTCAAAATCGCAACCCGGATGTGAGCATTTGTATATGCGCATCTTTGGGGGGTCATGCAACCACGCCGGAAGATCAACAATAGGTTTAGGATATTCAGTAATTTCTCCAAACGAACTACTGTTACTCTCAACTTCAGACCAGTCGACATCGTTACAACTTGATGTTGAAGGAAACGCCAACGCAAGCAGCATCATTCTCGTCTCCTGTTCCAAACGTCTTTGAGTGGCGGATATATAAGCTGTTTCATGGGATTCAGTATTTGAATATCCTGCAAAGTCCGCATCAACTCCAGGATTGACGGACGCAGAAAATTGCTGAGAAATATAATGGCCCGAAGGAAGCAAAGGATCCATTAATGACAGAGCGGCCGCTCTACCAGCTTTCGTGTCAGAGCCAAGAAGCGCTTCAGCCTCAGATTCGAAGTACGGATAATATATATCGCAGTCCTCGAGGTGGCCGACACCCCGATATGTGGCGCAGCTGGTACCCTGCAGAAGAGAACCATGATCCGCCAAAGAACCCATGTTTGCGTCGGTGCGTCGCCCTCTTGGCAATGCGCTTCTTGACGTCGACTTCGATCCAGTCACCGATGAGCTCTTTGATTCAAATTCATAGTCAACCATCAATGAAGCTGCAGGGCTGAAAGTACCTTCGTTTGGTCGGTAGCTTCCGGATTTTCATAGAGAGGGTCTCCAAAAAAATCAGGGTCAGTGTCGGACATGACGGCAGCATCTAAATACATACCTTTGGGTAGCTGTGGCGACACGACGCGGTTAGAGCTTCTTGCGCTTCCACTTCCGCGACGTCGGCGACTGGCAGGCATCCCAAGTGTAACACGCAACTCAATAAATGGGGCCACGTCTACAACAACTGACATTTTATATGAGAGTACGAAAATGATCCTGGTTCTTTTTTCTTGTTCGGAGGGAGAATGATATAAAAGCAATTGTTCTTTATCGTTGTATTCAGGGATCTGCGGTGTTAGGGTAGATATTGCCTATGATGGAGCGTCGGCAGTTTCAACCGTGGCGCTTGCATTGCGGTCCAGTGCAGGCGACGAATATACGAATATCCCCCACGAGAACTCTCAACAGCAACCATAATATGCTGTCAGTTATGAGGATCGCGACGAGAATTCATAACGGTCATGATTCGCGGTGGGAGTGGTTCTGTGTCAAGAGTGAAAATGGTGCCGGGCCGAGTCGCCGATAAATCAATTCTTATTGAGCTCGGGAATGTTGATCATACAAAAGAAAGGAAAGTTGATTTACTATTGACGCCTTGTCTAGCAATACCGTACAGTATGAATGACGAAAATTAGTAATTTAGAAATCCACGTAAAACAGAAAGAATAAAGAAAGAACGCAAGATGACGGATCAAGCAGACTTGGTAAAACGGTTCTCCAAATCCGACTTGAGGTCGGCTTCCTCCATATCCCACTTAACCCCTCGCTCTGAGTCCATTGTATGGTCGCGGTCAATCTTGACCTGAACTTCAAGCTCGATGCCTCGCGTCGTAACCGGCATGTTAGTCTGGTCGTCCGACCTGCTGCTATACGGATTTCGCCCACTGGACGGCTGTAGGGACTTGAATGAGCGCATCCCCGCGTCTGAATTGATAGTAGGTCAGATCGTATCTTTACAGAAAGAGAGAGAGAAAGTTATACCCCGGGTTTTGATGAGGATATTCTGTGTCATAATCCAGGTGAAAGCGAATCCTAGACTGGCCCTGAACCGAAAGCATAAATATCAAAAAACCAGACGAGGAAATTAAGACTTACGCAGCAGCTTGAGCATCAAGCTGCGATGCGCGATATAGGATGAGGTTGAGTGTATTCGTAACTGTATTCTGGTAAGAATCAATCGAAACTTCAGATGCCTTGGACTTACTGGTGAGAATAACAATATAACCCAGCCCGTCCATGACCATCGCCTTCACCAGGCCCGTCATACTGAATGAAGTCAAAGGATTTAAACTCGACAAAAAAAATGATATGCGGGAATACTCACGAAGACACGCCGGCCCCACCAGCCTTGATCAAATAATAGGTCGAGAGGCCAAGCGTCACAATGTCGTATCTGAGTTGAAGTGAGGAGGGCAACTGTGCGAAACAAATCCAACGTACGCCATTGCCCAGATGTAGAACGTCCAGTTCACTAATTTTGTCGGGTCATTCCCAGAAGTGCAGCTTCAAATGCTCGTTAGTATATACTCGCTAAAGGTATACCAGAAATCTAACTCACTTGCCATTCCTCTGGATCATGACTCTCCCAAACAGGTTAGTGAACCACTCCAGGATGGTAATTATCAACGTGAAAACGATAAGAAAGATCTTCACGCGTTCCGAACGCCTCGAGATACTGTACGCTCGAAGTCCAAGGACGACCTGGCACACGGACGCCTGTAAGACTATCAGGATATCAGCCACTGTGTTCGCGACTTGAGAGGAAGAAAGACCTTTTAATACGACAGCAACCATATAATACCTCCGACATGATTCTGGGGTAAAGGAAAGCGAGAAATAGCCAACGTTGCTGACTACAACCATAGCCATGCTGATGTATCTGATAAGGACGAACAAGACGAGGCTATCGAGTACCGGAAGATCAGCCTCTGGGCAAGACGGGATAAGGGCAAAGGACACACTTGGGGCGTATCTGTGGACCTCTGTCCTTCCAAAATTTGTACTCCGCTGGGATGGTACGAACGTAACTAGGAGAGGTTTGAGCGGCAGCTCGGTTAACCAAGGAATACAAGAAACGAACTCGTAGATGCATATCGCAATTGTGCCGATACGCAGAATTGTCTCCATCGAGAATGGAATTTTGCTATTGACCGAGCTCGCGGCGAGCAGCATGTTTACGGCGAAAGCAGCCATGATATCAAGAAACTTCGCGCCAGGATAAAGAGGAGGGAAGAAATCATTTCAAGTCCGAATCACCCGCTTGACTTTAAGGCAACGCAGGAACCCAGGGGTGCGGCCCCTTCTCGAATGTCTCTGATCTACCTCAGGGGGACAGTGCGCGGAGGCAGATCAATGATCGTTACATCCACTTCTGTACTCGACCCCGCAGTGGTGATGCAAATGGATGCTTTCGTCTCATTTGAGACTGGGGGAAAGATCAGATACGATGTAACGTGTCGGTGGCCATGATGATTTGCAGTCGAAACAGGAGGGGGACATCCAGGCATGCAATTTCCAGTTAGATACGTCCATACCGACTATCGATCTACCCGCTGCCATTTTCGATAGCGGATGGCCGCACCTTAGAGCGGTCCCTAGAACGTTCCTTGGGGTCGCCTACCAGGCGGCTCATTCTAGACGCATTTTGGGGGGTTTCTGCTTTCATCGGCAACATTTTCAGGAGAAAAGTGTATACTTACCTTAATTCTGATCGTAAAGCACCCGAATGGTCGATTCCACTGCTTTCGGGTTGGCGTTGGTCCCAGACCCGGATTTAGGGGTATGGCTGTGCACTACTGTGAACCGGCATTTGCCGGGATGTTTTCCTCCGCTCCTCTCGTGGACTTAGCCATCTTCTGCTTGTCTCTGCTGGCGTTGCGTTCAAACAGTGGATTTCCCTTCTGAATATCATGAAGTTCTCGTGATAATGGACCTTGTGCTAATAAACGACTCCCACTTTACGACTTGAATTTTTGATATGATTCCAGGGGTAGGGAGCGAGTAGCAGCTGTGCAATTTAATACCCAAAAAATTCCTACGATATTTCCACCGATACTCCCGACTGTCATAATAGGTCCTATCGTCGACTTTTTCACGGGCGTTGCGATCTTCAGCTTCCGCTGTGCGTTGGGTTCGTCCCGCGACTGTATCACTCTCGCCTCCTGTGTCCCTCACAGGATCATTACCAACACATTGAACTCCATTCAACATTGGTATTCAATGCGGCTCCTCGTCAGATGTCTTCATGCCTCTATATTGACCCGTCTAGTTGCGTAAAACTACCTCCTAATTTTTCATAAAGAACGTGAGATCTTCAAGTTCAACGTTCATCTCTGGTCCGTACACAGTATCATATTGTTATAGTATGAAAAACTAATTTGTTTTTAGGATATCCGTTAAGATTAGGATCTCCTATGGCAGTTCCACTAGAACCAAAATATAGCAGAGGTCCAAGTACATTAATGCAGAGGATGCTAGCGCATAACAAAGCGCCGCGACCAGTTGTCGATACTCAGTCCTTGATTTAGACGGTGATGGCCGGATTTAGACGTGAGAAACCTCCAATTGTCTCGAGTGAAGAGAGTACGACTTCGCTTGCGACCTGTGATAGGTGGAAGATAAGGAGCAATGACGCATGGTGCGGAAAGCAAGACTCACGAAGTTATTCTCTCGCTTGCGACCTTGCGAGAGCAAGGTGGAGAGAACGTATATCCCACTTACGGCCTGCGAGGCGGGGATATGTGAGCTGCGGGAGACGTCAACTCTGTGCAGAGGACTCACTCGACGATTACCCTTGTATAAACCCCTTTAAACTCGATTGAACCTCTGTGGCCGGCGAGGATCATTCGGCATGATTCCGGCACAAGCCTTTCTCGAATCACTGATCAGATCTTTGCTTCTGCTGCCGCTCAGCTATCAGGCCATCTTCGTTTTCCTAAGAGATATCTACCTGGCAGGTGTGGTTGTCATCACCATCTTACATTATTTATATCTGATCCTCTATAGAATGGAGACAAGCAAAATACACAGATCTTTCATGACTCTCACCCAAAAGGCTCTACGAGACTGGTCCCAGTTTCCTAGCGTATGCGGTAGCATACAGGGTTATTTTGGAAAGACCTTAACGGAATCCTTTCTCTTTGACACCGATGCTCAGGCCCTTTCTCAATCATATCTCCATGGGCTCACGGTCCTTTTTCAGAGTACCAAGTGTGAGATTACGGGACAGTATGACAACAAGGACACGTTTCAGAGACTATGGTCAATAATCGAGTAGTGGAGTACCCAACTCTCAGATATCATACAAACACACGATTCCCATCACCTCGACAATTCCACAGTTTGGACTGTTCTCGATGAACTCCACGAGCTCGTCCACACTCTCTTTCTTGGGGGTATTCCCGAGATATACTGGGGGCCTCATATGCTTATTGCTTCCCAACTATATCTCAAAGTGATCCAAAGCCATCATCCCAATCTCCGCCGGTTGAGATTCCGTCTCGAAGTATTACTCGTGCAATATCATGAGGAAGAAGATGTCAATGAACGTCCACTGACAGACTTTTATTCACTCACCAATACGTCTCACGATACTATAATGGATTGCTTCAGACGGACGATCGCACTTATCCAGGACTCCACCATCACTTTTGAGGACCGCCTCCACATCCACAGCTTCGTCTTGATCGTCACCAGATCGTCTCCGAACTACGGTCGCATATTCCTTGCGAATAGGGCCCTTTACTGGCTATGCACGAGCATGGCGTATCTTCCCGACCTCTTAGCTGCGGATCCATACAAGTACGGGAAGCAGGCCCTGTCTGTGGGCCTAAAATATCTCGCTAATCAGTTCCACCTGTCGGGGCCCGAATACATCAGCGAAGCACTGGATGCGGACATTCTGAATACGGTGCTCCAGTTGGATAGGCTCTTCCCTTGGTTGTCCGATGTGTTTGTCTGTATTTTGGATGCCCTCCACAGTCGCTTGATCTTTCGGGGTGTGGAAAGGAGAGCTCGGAAGGCTTTGAATAAGATTGAGAAGCATAGCCTGGACGCTGATTTGAAGCCGGGAGCCACTCGGGATGCCTGGCTAACTATGAAATCATGCGCACAGCACGTTCACGCCTACAAGAATTACTACCATAGTGCGAATTACGACAATGAGTTGCAATGCAACAATTCTCAGGTACATTCGGTTCTCGCTGCTATCACTCATCAACGCTAAATATGACAGTGTCCTAATGACTCGGTCGGAAAACATCCTAAACGGTGCCCTAGCTGCTGGATCACCTTATACTGCTCCCGCTCATGTCAAAAAGTCGATTGGAAAGGACATCGTGAGGAATGCCATAAATGGGCACAACAACGGAAAGGTAACCAATCATTCAACGTTTATGCTACTTGGACTTACGACCAAAAGATGGCACCCCTGGACCAGTCGGCAAGCATGACTATTTCTTCATCCGCCGCTACGTCATCGAAGAACTCAAAGCCAACGGGCGCCATATTCGTGACCTGAAGAGGGAATACTTAAAAACACACCCAGACATCCCTATCAGGCGGCTTGTAATCGACTGCGACTATTATGATCTGTCTTGGACCTTCCGGATCATATCGCCTAAAGATACCGAAGAAAGGGTAGCAGGGGTGATGCCGCCTGAGCTTTTCGATCGTTCAGACAGAGGAAAGTCCCAACTCGTAAGGCTTGCTGTGCCTTGGAAAGGAGGGCCTGAAAATATGGTGGTCCATGTCTTCTATACTCCACACTACCCTTCGGATGAACACCTGCTCATTCGAGGTTTGTAGAAACGCAATCATTGTGATTTCCTCCTTTCACATTGAGGCCCGGCGTTTCATTATCGCTTAGGTAGTTCTGAACACTGAGATTCCCAAGGTCCGTGTTATAAATCAATTATACAAATGCCATATAACTAGTATGCGTGAGGTATATAAAAGTAAAAGAATTAACCAAAATAAACATATATGCAATTATATCAAGATAACCACCACCAGCAAGATACACAGAACCAGTATCAGCACGAGGATGCACCATCCACTGCCTCGTTCTTCTGACTGCCGTATGAACCGTCTCATACGGCTCATGGCGTTCCCTAACTTGCTGTCTGTCCGGTCGACACCCGACTCCAGGTCAGTGAGCAGTCTGAAAAGAAGATCCGTCAGTCAAGGGAACAAAGCAGACGAGAACAAGAGCGACGTACTCGGTGTGCTCCACAATTTCCTGACCCATAAGTCCAGCCTGATGCGCCAGGTTGGTCAGCGTACCCGCTATTGAGTCAATCGTCCGGTCTTGTTCTCTAATCATCATCTGGTCACAATGAGCTCAAGCGAGATTAAAGTTAGAACGATGAGAGACGAACCTGTTGTTCCTCTCTTGCCCAAGCGCTCTGGTCATCCTCAACCTCGTCTTCGCGCTGCTGGGGTGTGACTACAGAAGCTGGTCGTCCGCCGGAGACGTCCGCACGCATACTCTCCACCGCAACTTCCCGTCAGTCCGAAGTCATGGTGCAGGTGGGCAGTGCGACATACTTGTATCTCTTTCCTAACGTGTTCAACATATCGCCTTCGCTCAGTCACTTCGTCATGTGTGAGGGCGAACATCCGTGGGTCGGTGGATTCGACAATTCTACAGGGATTTCAATGGGAAAATCATTGACCAAGTAAAGCGGGAAGAACTTACTTGACACTCTCTTCTAGATCTTCGAGGTCGGCTTCTAGTGCTGCAAGAGTTGCCTTGAACTGCACAGAAAGAGACAGTCAGCTATTGTTCCAGCAGAAAGACGAGGACGAAGGGAAGATCCGTATTCCTTCGACTGAGGTGCCAGTACCGGCCTGAGGAGCCGCAACAATGCGCATGTTCCTCGAATAAGGAACAAGAAATTCGATGTCGAGCAATAAGGAAGCCAAACGTAGTACAGATGGAAATTTTGGAAGCGTACCTCATTCCTCGCCCACACGAGTTCTTCCCCCTCGTCCCCGCCTTCTCTCTTCATGTTTCGTATTCGGATATAGGATGCCCGAAGCTGCGTCGCGGCCTGCAGCGACGTCTGGATCTCTTGTTGGACCGCATCGTAGGGGTCTGTAGACATATTCTTGGCTTGGATAGCAAAATTAGCGGCGATGTTAATTGAGCGCCACAGCCAGGATGCTGTTGCCGCAGAAATCGTAGAATAAGATCAATATTCGGGAGAGAAAATATTGGTGAGAGTCTTACTCGCGAGGAAGAATGATGGACGAAGGAAAGGAAGATCTTTCCAAGAGTCCAACCTCGACTGCGCGATTTCTGAGGCGGTGATGTCACGTGCCTCAGATCGGTGACCGGACCGAGAAGCGTCTTAGGTAATAAGCCAGTAAAAAATGGTAAGTGGGCACGGCTGAACTCATCCGGCTTCGGCTTCAACGGCTTCATCAAGTTGAGTGCTTGAAGCCATGCTGCCATCACGCTAACGCTACTCCAGCCGGTCTGACTTTACTTCATGCATTTCCTTTAAATATTAATAGTAAGTCATTAATGATTCTTCATGTAAGGTAGTATTCCAAAACTCGTAGCACAAATTACAGCATTTCAGTGTTTCTACGCAAGTTCGTGCAACTTGAAGTCGCGCTGAGCCAGCACATCAGCGCGACTTGGTCCGGCTGGGTTGCCGTAGCGAGCCGCCCCGCAAAATGAACGGGGTGCCAAAAGCAAAGCTCTTAAAGCTCGGCACAAGCTCCTGCAATTGTGGCAGAAATGGTATCGGCAGGTTCGGCAAAATGGAACATAGATGCTTCGGACCGTGAATCCGAATGTTCCTTCGTACGGTCACGACGCATCCCGCTTTGCTAGCTTCACAACGCAACAATCTGTTTCTTCGGGGACGGTTGCGCATTTCGGCGCCATATATCTGGAGAAACCAACATCCAAAATATATCTACACCTATAAAAGTGGGGGTGACGTCAAGTCTAAGCCAACAGAGCCTTTAACTGTAACCACCATGTCTTCGCCGAGCACTCTTACGGAATGGACCCAATCCCAGTTCTCGTCTCTGTTCAAACCTTCAGAGAATCAACTTCAAGAAGTGTCTGTCTTCGCTGCAGACGCTCAGGTTATGGTGAACCACACCCAAGTATCTGTCGAACAGTTTAAGAAATCGTTGGCCGACAAATTCGGGGCGGGAATCGTGCAAGATGTCAATATCGATTGGAAGGAACTAATCCATGATGATGTATGTTGCACCGCCCGTTTCGGTCTTCCCCCCATACTAATACAACGATAGGAATCTGGTATCGTTGCTGGCTTCGTAGACGTTACCAGGTCGATGAAGTTCAGAATTCGTGTTGGTCCTGCGCAGATACACACGTACATCAGTGTCAGCATGAAGTAAGTCCACCTTCTGCCAGCTTTCGTTGCCTTTCTCACCGTCGAGTAGGATTGCTCAAGACGGCGACCAAAGGGCTGTGTCTCAAATGTTCTATACATCCGTGGATAAGGCTGCGGAGCTCCATCTCGTTTGATGGATTCAGAACTAGAATCAGATTTGTGTAGTAAGCATGGCGCCGGTGCTATATTTAGCTACTCTGATTTTTCCGCATAGAATTGTACTATTAGTAGCTCTCGACTTGTACCATCCGTATCGACACAACCATTTTCAAAGATCATAACAGTGTCGAGCCATGTTGAGCCTTTGGCGCCGCTTTCTCTATGGTCTTCCCGCATGAAAGTGAACTCAGAAGAACTGTGGACTGCGTCCTAGGATTTCACACATCCGGCACTGGGGCTTCATCAAGATTTATTAAAAGGGGTGATGTCGCCGTCAACAAACCCTCCTTTAGCCAGAGGGCAACCAGTTTCCTTCATCTATGCCAGCTGTTGCAGGCGGAAGCGGTGTTTGATGCCAAGGTTTCTCTGACTACTGAGTCGGACAGATGGGTCTATCTTTTGTACGGCAAGTCTTGACTAGATCCGAGGAATGTTGCGCTGAAACCGTCTTTAGGTTGGATCCATGGACGGGTCTCTATGGCCGCATTTACCTCGAGAATATACACGTTTTAAATATCGACGACTTACAATGGAAGAGATTAAATACCTACTTCCGCGAGACACTGGCAGGTCCACTGTCGCTTCGCATCAGTGGCGTGGAAACTTTGGCTCTTTTTACCGCCGTCACCATCGATTTCGTCCGTGCCCTCTGGGTTTGGTAAGATGCCGTTCAGATGCCCACCAAGCTGTGATCATTGCCTCCACGCTCTACAACCTGATATCCAAGGAAGGACCGTGACGCCGTGTGTCAGAGCCAACGACCCTGCCGCCTAATCACTCCCGGTGCTGGCATCCCTTAGGCATGCAGCTTTCAAACGGTATCCTAACAAGGCCTTTACACCCCCTCGTGACCGGAATACTGTATTTTCAAATGTCGACTAGGCTGCCATTAGACCACTATCCAGATTGACTACATAATTTAACTGGAAGTATGTCGTTTCTTATTTTCGGCGATACATGCTCAGTGGTATTGACCTGGTACCGCCAGCCGAATATATACATTATCCCGTGAAGATCGTCTAATCTTCACTCAGATACACTGCGTCAGTCCTTTACAGCATTGCTTTGGGACTAGGTTCAGACAGTGACACGGCCCCGACTTCCTTACCCTTCGAATACCATTGAGACATCCCCCAGTCTAGGAGGATACCAACGAATACGTCTATATCACTGAGGGTGTTTTCTGCATGGATCACCACTCGAACGCGCTCCTGGCCTCTCGGCACGATGGGGAAAGGAATCGCCTGCGCCGGATATCCTTTTGAATTAAGATATTCCTCGAACTTCAGCGGCTGGTTCGTGAGCAAAGGGAACATTGGCGATACGAGAGGGTCCTTGTTTCTGTCAGTCGCACACATCGCCAAGACGGATTTCGGAACGCCTTTCAAAGCTTGCTGGAGCTTTGTAGCAAAGTACTGACTGCGTTCGCAAACCTGTTTCCGAAGCTATAACGTAGGTTTTTAACATTGGATTCATAAATATTAGGACTGGAATGCTCACCCTGTCCCCTTCAGCTCCCGAAATCAACTCGAACGAGCTTCTGATGGCTATGAGGTGGAGATGGGGCATCGACGTCGTGTAGATCAGAGGTCGAGCATAATTGACGAGGTACTTCCGGATAATTGGCGATGTGAGAATGACGGCTAACAATATGGTTTAGTTCGCCTTGAGGCCTGCTCAAGGAAAAAAGAGGCCTACCTCCCGACAAGCCTATTGATTTTCCGAATGTATGAAGGACTGTGTCTACCTCGTTCTGCAATCCCAACTGTTCCGCATACCCCCGGCCCATCGGGCCGTACAATCCGGTCGTATGTGCCTCATCCACAAACATATGACTATACGCCTTCGGTATATACCGATGGAGAGTCTCAATGATCTGCGGTAAAGGAGAGAAGTCCCCATCCATGCTGTACAAGCTTTCCACTGCGACAAAAACTGTCGATTTTCCGGCCAAAATCTCCGGACGCTTCTTCAAGAGCTCGGCTATGCAGTTCTCGAAAGACGCGACAGAGTTGTGGGAGAAGGGGTATGCGTCATGCGTCCGCGCTGCAGCGATCCCGTCCCTCGCCGACGCGTGAAGGAGTTCGTCGAAGACAATGATATCCTCTGCCTGGGGCACGCACCCGAAGAACGCGATGTTGGCATCGTAACCGGAGGTGAACATGAGAGCTGCGGAGGCGTTGAAGTGGGACTGGAGGTATTTCTCCGTCTCTGCGTGACTTGGGCTGTTCCCGTTGAGCAGACGGGAGCCCGTAGAGCCAAGCAGTTTTTTTGACGAGATGAGCGCATTAAGAACATTGTTGTTCAGCTGGGGATTGGTGGTGATGGAAAGGTAGTCATTGGAGAAGAAGTCGGGAACGTTTGTGGAGGCTGCTGGGCGAAGAAGATCGAGCACTGGCATTCCAATTTTAGCTCGCTTGTCCAGGCTTGTTTGCAGTGTGATTTCAAGTCGGGTATTCATGGCGATGGGATAGCGAAACATGGATATTCTAGGAGCCTTATTTATACTATCACCTCATCTCCTCTCACACTTTCTAGCAGCGGAAAACACCGTGTTCATGGTAGCTGTAGGAAATAGTCGGTTGGCACCCAACATCTGATGGAGCATCTGTTGATCTATTTGAATAGGGAGAACTTTGCTATGAATATCTAATGTGATAACAGAGAGGTATCCGGACCACTTTCTGATCCGGTGAAAATACCGTATACGTATGGGAAGTTCTACGCCCGGATCTTTCTTGAGGAGCTGGAGACACGAAGTTAGTAGGAATCTGCGCTGCACATAACCCGTAAAGGATGATTATCAGGGTTTCATTGATCGCGTTCCGTAGCCTTTTTCGTTGCCGTCCCTGGGTGCCAGTCTGTTTCAAGCCCTGAAATGGGACGAGGTCATGTTGGAACTATCAGGCGCAACGGTCTACACAGTGTGCAGAGACGGGAGAGGAGACCATTTGATTGTGGATATTGATCGCTGCTCAAATACAAGCACACCGCATTCATTGCGATGGCTGATTCTAGCCAGGTGATTGCTGCCATTGGCTAATTTCTTTCCGTCTAAATATGTAGAGTAATATATAGCTCTTACATGACCTTTGGGGCCTAACTTTGAAAGGACATGCCTGGCCATCGGTATCGTGGTAAGCGTTGTTTCTACGATATTCGTTCCTTACTGCACCTTCCATCTGTCCATCTTTATCTTGCAGGAACAAACTGCCAAGGTGGCATTTGTGTTTAGATCATGGGAGCACGGAGCCTGGACCTTTAATCCGGCAATTAGAATGAATTCAGGGGTTCTAGTTGCAACCCGTTTTTCTTAGCCGAGGTTAGCACTCCGGGCGCTATTCAGCCTATCCGTGGCTGACGGAACAAAAATTGAACATGGTATCCGAACCGGCTTTTGAATTAGATAGCGTAAAGGTTGCGCTTCCTTGCACTTGCACGATGCGCTCTTTGGTTCACTGGCTGAGCTTAAATTCCATTCTAAGGCATAAAACGAAATCTTAAATTTATAGATAGTATGTAATGTATCAGTTCAGGAACTGAAAAGTACACTGTACATCAAATTCATTCAAACACACTCATGAATACAGAAAGGCATGTAGAGTTGACTAAGTAATTCTATCAATTCCCCGGGAGAACACAAATTATGTGTTTAGACAACATGCGACATGTTCTTATCACCATCATCCCCACCGGTGTCACCAGAAATACTGAGAGGTTTCCCATCAACCGCGAGTTCCTCAGCTGTACTTCCGAAGTCTTGTTGCCCACTAGTAGATGTGTGAGTCGTGGTTTGCATTCTAATTTTCATAGGTTGCATCGGATAGGCCATTGATGTGCCCGTGACTATGCTTGGTCCGTTACGTCTCCTGCGTCGGAAGGCACTTCTTTCGGCCCATTCTGGATTGGTCTGTGTTGTCTGGTCGAATGTCGATATAGCGACCTCAAGGGTAGATTGTAGGCAAACGAGGGTGATAATCAGAGTGGGGTAGATGGCCTATATATAACAGGAAAGATGAGCGTCACATTCATTGAATATTTCGATGCGAAGACTACCGTGAGCTGAGAAAGCATATCTACGACGATGTAGACCCCATTGTTCCCACAGATAAAGGCGATGATTGCAATGAAACTGTCGCTTATTCAATCCTTCTGCAGCTAATCGCGCAAGACGAAGCCAGACAGTACCCAGGTGGTAGAATAAAAAACACCTGACTCGATAAGTAAGGCCATGACACCGTTCTGCCTGCGAAATCTATCCATGAGGCCCTCTCCTGTAATTTCACGTATTATCTTGTTATGTGACCTTGCATCGAATCCAGAATTAGCCAAGTGACTTGAAGAAAGCCACATACATACCAAGTACGATAAGCTACGAGAGAAGTGGCCCAGACGTTCGTAACCAGCGTAGAAGCGATGAAGGCGATAGCCCAGGAACTTAGACTGGGGTTATTGAAGAGACTGGTCCTCGGCGGAGCGGTCGCAAATGCCCGGACAATTCCCACAGCAGCCGCTTAAGGAAATCGCGCTTGTTGGCTTATGCATTTTTGAGGGGGAAAAAGGAATATCCACCTGCTGTGCCCGTAAGAAGTGTCGCCTGATGTTACTTATCACCCAGGTCTTTCGACTCCATAAAGTCCAGGCTCTCCATATCACGATACTGTCACCAATCACAATCTACAATCAACCTGTAAGGCCAGACAGCGAGCTCGTGGCAGATATCATCTACTCACGTTGATCGACTCCAAAGATAGCTGCGAATAAATCGTCGGGGAGGAATTGTCTTCGAGGACATCCCCACCTTCTGCGGCATGTTGCTTTAAAAAGGCAAGGAAGTTCTGTCGAAAGCTGACGGCCATATGGGACGTCGCTAACGCCCACATGATAGAATTCAATACGGTCATGGCTATGATGACGTTCGTTTTTTTCTTCTTCATTCTGCAACCTACTATGAGCAATAGCTATGTTTAGGTTAAACATGCCGCTCACAATAGAAGATACATCGAGGCGACGAAAAGGCTGGTGTACATTCCTATTATATCGGTGATTAGCTGTACCAAGTTGCGAAAGGCTTTAACTGTACCGTTTAGAAGAATTTCAAGCCCCAAAGCAATGAAGTAGGCTGAAGCAAGTGACAGCGCCATGGATAACAGGCGATGATAGTCGGCAAGCCTACGCGTTTGAACACAAAGTATAAGAAAGACGTAGACCTCGGTACCAGAACATCTGTTCTCAGGCTCCGCCGTAAGGCTGAGATCGGATAAGGTGACCTCGGAGCAAGCAATATGAACTAAATTGAGCTGCGTCTAGCTCCGAACCATCTGGGTCATCTCATGCCGAATTTGTGAGAAAGCCGGTGAATTAAAAAGCGCATAGACCAGAATGAATGTCAAGGTATAGCAAGGTAATGTATTCTGCTTCGAAGTCGCCGGGTAGATAACTGATATCACATCGAAAGCGTGATGATAAGACGGTGTAAGCAATAAGCACAATGGTGGGAGGTTCTGCTCACAAGACTTATCTGGGAAGAAAATCATCGCGATGCCTTCTGTAGAGATCAGAACCTGATACTGGAGGGACCATTCACGGCGAAAACCAAGGGAACTGAACTAAGTGTGGGAAGCCTCAGCCCGGACGCTGCTTTCCCAAAAGAGGACTGCACAGCCGTCTGCCATCTGTTCGCCTACCATTAACACCAACACCAACCCCATCGTATACTAGGCAACAACCATGTCGATACCACCATCCCACAATGTCATCTTTGGCTGACGAACTTGCCGACTACGAAGTCGAACGCAAGGAATTGATATCCAAGAGTCGATCTCTTCGTCCGAACGTTCTGGAACAAGATAAGTTCCCCGCCCTCGAGATACAGGCAGACCACCCATGTCTAAGAAAATAACTTCAGACTTTCAGTCCTTTCTTGGAATAATACACCCCGGGGCGTTGTAGTTCACATCTTTGACAAGCGTACCCATTTGATTTACCTCTGAAGGTTTTCCCTCAAACTATGAAAGTCAAATGAGCTTCAGACCAACCAGTTGAGGCAAAAGCTGACCCTAGGAGGAACTGCGCTCAACAAGGACATCAGAGGCACGGTCCTGCTTGAAGGGGAACCGGTAATAATTAGTATTGTAGAGGACGGTTCCCGTACGTCAAGAGACGGAGTATTTGTTTGTTCCTGGCCTAAGGCACGATCTATAAGGCACAGGGATTAGGGAACGTTATGTACTTATTTCAAGCTATACGGGCGGGAAAGCCTGCTGGTAATAGAAACGGAGTGATTTTGATGAGGACGGGGTACGCTGTAGTAATGGAGTTACGAAGGGCATGATAGTGATGTATCGAGCGTCCAGATTAACCCCACTGCGAACACATTTATCACATAAGCACTTCACTCCCAGCATGTATGATACCTGTGAGAATCGACGCTCCGAACTTCTCGATGGCATCACCATCTGCCAAACCTGAGCTCTTGAGCGTCTAGTACTGAATCCGGGCTACCTACTAAAAACAATTGATGTTCACCGTTCTAGTTCCTCGAGAGTTTAGAGATGTTGATATACCAACTACCCACGGAACGGACCTGTTCCATAATTGAATTTTCTATACAGGGCATTTAAATTTCGGCCTCGATTATACTTAGCACTTGCATGTTTCGACCCTCGATTTACTCTGGTCTATCTTTCCATTGGCTCTGCTGCTTGAACTTGAATGAACGATCGTGTGGACTAAATCGACCTTGCGAAGCGATAAGGACTGGTGATGTGGCGTTATCCTGGCGTGCACATCCTAAGGAGTTCCACAGATCCATCCGGCACATTAACTGATGCAGTCACGATGAAGCCTCGATGAAGCCTTGAGTAATATCACCATCAGAGCGGCTCTAAGAAGACGGAACACTTCAACTCGCATCAGTGAGAAACCGAAACGTGCTCACAAAGGTCTGCTAAGAAAATGCTACAATACCTCGCCTCATCTCGCAGCACAGAATCCTTGTCTTCCCAACTACGTTAGTGATCGTTTATTCTCATTTTCAGGAATAAAATCCCAACCCGTACTCTCCGAAGTTCATAACGGGAAGGAAACTGGTTCCTGGTGCCATCTGATCTTTCCCGTGGATCACAGGGCTCCTGGTCGCCCGTTGTACAACAAAGGAAGGACAAGCTCCAAAGTAACACCGCGTAGTCATCTACTGAAATATACACTGTGATGAACCAACAGGATAACTGATCACTTGCGAAGGAAAGTTCAGAATACAGTTACGGATTCGGCGTCTATAGATTTCACGCACTGGCGGATGCTTACCTTGCCAAAACTATTAGGAAACCCTTAGCAAACGTGTCAGTCCAAGACTGCAGGCCCCTTCGATAACTGGTGATGTCGGGGTAGGTGCAGTAGTCGAACTGGGAATGACATTAAGATAGAGATAAATGGCCTAGAAGATCAAATGCTCGCACCTTATGCCTGTGGAAAGAAAGATAGAACAGTCTTGAGTTGCAGTTTAACTTGGTATGAACTTCGGCATCCCGAGGTTGCCCCAGATTTCTTCGCCGATAAACGTCCGTCCATCAAGCCATCTCGCAACTTCTTCGTTTCTGAGCAGAAACACTGTTAACCACACCGGCAATGGTAAGTCATCTCCAACCCGGCTCTTAAATGTCCCCTCAGATCTCTTGTTGAACTTGGGGCTACGACGCGAATATCCTTCGGTTCCCTACCCGAAATAAAGGGATTTTATTGCCTTCTTGAGCTCATCCACGCTTCAGTTAGAGATGATAATGCTGCCTTGCATGCCTTCTTTCACAGCTCTACATCATCCTTCAGGTATTGCATTGCAGTCTGGCGCAGAACCATGCGGAGATTCTCGGTAGCTAGTCTGCAGTGTCTGTACTTCCGCAGATCCCCGATATTCTTCATAGGTCTATACTGGCATCACTGCAGCAAGACTCATAGCGCGGAGATATACGGTTGAGGATATGTAACTCACACGGCAAATCCAGGTCCTTCAAGACACTCGACACTTGACCGCACTCGAGACCAGATTATCCGACGCTGCGTCATGCATCAGATGCTATTCTTATGTCTCCTACATGTACATACCCGATAAACCAATGTTCCATACCAGTTCTATACCGTGTCCCCACACATTGAGCCCAGGAAGGCCTTCGGTCATATCGAGGCACAATGTGGCATCATGATGGCATCCTAATCAGCATTTGCCACGTTTTCCGCCAGTTGGCTCTACGTACATGAACTTTTGGGCGCTGTTGCTATTCACCACAAGCAGTGAAACAGGTGCAGATATCGCTGCTGCAGGTGTTCTTATGTAGCGATCCGTCCGGTCCGCCATCTCCATACTCACTGCAACAAAGCCCAGTGCTTCGTTCGCCACATGTGATTCCTTGTCCAGTCATTTCATGCGGATAAACATAGACGTGCGGTTGACTGATGATTGATTCAGGTGGAACATCCGTAAGGTGAAGTGTGGATATGAACTTGAAGACAGTCGCATTTTGGTTGGTGTTGGTCACTGAAAAAGCAGCGCTAATAATACGACATCCGGTAATCGGGACGCAAGCCGAAGAGATAGGTTTTCGTACGCATGGCTTGGTAAGATGAACTGATAGATTTTGGGTAAAACCGCGCCGGACGGCAGACCTACATAGACCTCTTAGCTGTCGGAGGATCAAGAAACCATCCACAAGGTGATTGGTCCAGGAAGTTGATTCAGGAGGCATCTAAGAGCACCAGAAAGAAAAACCGCAATACGATAGACATTGTACTGTGTCATGGATTAGCGAGCGCTACACATCAGAGCAGAGCAATAGCTTACGAGTTCTACATGAACGCAGATATTAGTGCGAGTAAACGGCATCGATGTCATGCTAGCCGTCGTGTTAGTCACTTTCCTCATATAATAAGAACCTCACGTTCCACTTCGGAATTGCAGGGCCAGATTGGATCTCGACGCACAATTTTCGTTCAAAACTTTCTGGAAGGATACTGTCTTAGGCACGATAAAAACCAACCCTGTCGAAGTAAACATGCTTGGTGATGACCAGCTTACCGTTCGATTTCCCAGTACGAGGCAACATATGAAGACTGGCAGTGGGGCTGGCCTCGGTGGTTGTTGAATTCAGATTAATTTTCATACTCCAACGGATCTATTCGAGGAAGGCGTTTCCGAGTCCTATGAATATAGGTAATCGGTCATTATGCAGTTGGGAAAGGCCCGTGGGAAAATCTATTCGTGAAATCAATTGGTCTCGGTGATTGCCGGCTATTGAGCTCTGTGGGTCTGTGTTCCCCCCGTGGGAATTTTCTATTCATGCGCGGCATTTGCCGATCATCCGTCTCCTGGATTTTTTTCTATTCGTGCACGGTCTTTGCCAGGCTATGCCTGTTTTTCTTTCCTCTTTCTTTTTTTTTCTTTTCCCGCTTTTTTTAATTATTGTTTTTGCTTTGGTTCATGGTCAGGTGAATATACAGAATCCTATCCTGCATCTCCAAATGTTGATGACCACCACTCGCTCTCGATGCCGCTACAGACCCTATCCATAGCATGATTTTCAGGGTCAGTACGCTTCGTCTCTGGGAGGGCTTTTTTGATGACGTGAACATGTTTAAGGATCTAACTGAGAAGTTGGCCCATGCCTTCGTGTACTGATGATTTCCAGAATCAGTCTGATAAAAATAGGACTCGGTTTTGCCACCGGATGAGCTGGCCCTCACCCAACTAATTAAACCATATCGCTAGGTACGGCAGAGAGACGGCTAGTGATAGTCATGGGACAACGACTACGAATACGGACAAAGCAAGTAATACGTAGTATGGTAGATGGTTCGATGCAACCTGCCCTAAAGTGCACCTGGTCACGGAGGGCCCAGACTGGTCCAACCGGGTCCTCCGCAGACGTCAACCATCCGAGCAAGAGGGCCATTGTATGTCACGGTCGACGATACGGACACGCGTAGGAATTCGGAGCGAAACGGCATAACTTGAAACTTGATATCGGAGGAGGATTGTAAAGCCTCGAACCGTCAGGATGTTGCTGGTCCGGATGTTGACCTAAGCGTGGGTCATCAGGAACAGCGTCGTACTCGCCCGACCTGGAGGCGAAGGTCGCCGGTAGCAAAACTTCAGAGAAACGGATGCCAGCCACGCTTCTCCTCACTCTGCAGTTTTGAAGTCACGTTTTCGACATCTCTATGTTTGCCCGACATGCACCAATTTGTCGGCTATCCTGTCACTGGATAGGCAAGATCGCTGTGTACAGTTGATAAAAATGGTGTTCTCTACGTCGGTCTCTGCTCGGGTACTCTGTTGTGTCACAACATACTTCAGTGGCCCCATTCGTCAAGACATCTCCCATCTTAAATGAAACATGATATATGATATTGTTTCTGCTCTCTGTTGTCTTCAGGCATTGACGTGGAACTAGGCTTCGCAAACACGGAGCGTGAAGTTCGATTGGGGTCTGTACCTTCAGGAAGACTCTCTATCGTCTCCGACCCGGTAAGTGAACTACCCATTGTTTTGACTCAGATTATAGCGCTAAAACTTTCTGTTAATTCTTAGGAAACATCTTTGTACAATGACACTAGTACGTGACGATCAACCTTTTAGCAAGTTCCTTCGTTGGGGTCGGCGGTATATTCGATACCATTGATGGTCTTCTTTCTCCCTGTTATTTAAGTCATCAGAAATCGTTCCAAAGGAGCCATAAGAACCGAAACCCACATTGTCACAGTTTCCATTGGTGAACATAGCGGACGCACAGTCTGCCTCAGTGATCATCCTCGTCGAGCTCTTCTTGTTCAAGACGCGCATGTCACACTTGTACCCGCGCGAGGTATTGTAGCAGCGCGAGCGCCTCTCGCTATCTCCGAGCTGCACTGTGTGTCAGTGGGCTGACCAAGGAGAACGAAAAGCGGTACTCGCCTTGCCACCGTCAATGTTGAGCATGTCGTGGCAGAACGTGTACACAGCGTCGTCGCAGGTTCCTGGCTGACCGCCACTGAAGCATCCCTCGGTGGCGACGGAGGAAACGGCTGCGAGCGCTATGAAGACGAAAGAGGCAATCTGGGGATAAGGTGAGTGTTCATAGCCAAGTTGTGACGCGGCTACTCATAAACTTCATGTCTGAATACTAGGTTTTCTGAGAGGTTATCAGGAGAAGACTTGATGAGTACTACCGTTTATTCCTCCACCTTTTATCCTGGCAAAGGACCAGGATGAAACTTGCGCCCGCGAAAGCTGAGCATCCTTCCCGGGCTGGGTGGATACAGCGCGTGATCCCAAGCCTACTCGGTGGATTCATGGATTCCATAAACCAATCATTCCAATGTCCATGTACGTATTGTAACACAGCAAGGTGCCGTACTGACATACCTCTTACTAGATACGTGCAGTTTTTCAGTTCAAGTGGTGGCCTTCAATGGAACCTATCATCAACGCGTATATTGCCAGGTTATCTTCGCGTTCGTTCTTTTTGGTAGATGTAAGCCCTTTTCATTCGCTTTTGTTCTTACAAGACCTTGTGTTCGAATGCCTAACACCTTTCCCAGGCATCAAATATAGTATGTAGCACGCTTGTAATGTCCGGTAATGTTCCTCACGAACAGTCGAGTCTCGAACATTTGCGGCTTCATCTCCAAGGCGAGACACTGTCCTCAGGCTCTGCTGCGGCTGGGTTTCACTTGGCACACATTACGGTATTCAATAACGCTCCGGCGCATTTGATTCGAAATTCAAAATCGAGTCCGAGGAGTTCGACCCGTCATAGCTTTCAAACACGCCCTTGTTCCATCAAGTAATCCAACGACTGCTTTTATTAACGATTTTTGGTTCGCCGGTGTCGGACACTGACGTTTTACTTTTACTCATTGCAGGGCTCTTTCACCGACCCAAGAGCCTTGGTGTCCTCCAGAATTTCCTTCTTCACAGCAGTGAACAGACTCTTCAGGTTTCTGGGTAAATAATTTGTCTGCTGCAGGTCCTTGCTTTGACTTGGAATTCTAACACGTTTGAGTACTGTGGGGGTCGTCCGTAATTACTCCTTGGCTTTCTAGCAGAATTCTACCAATTCTTGATCGTGCTACTATTTATATTTCGCCCCTATGGCTGGCCAGTAGCTTGACGGGTTACCGGAGTCTCATTTTGCTGCAGATTAAATGGATCAAACAGATCGCACATAGCCAGGGTCACCTCTCAGGGCTGGGCGGTGCTGTGATTACTTTGCGTTCACACTTGACACGAATGAAGAATTCGTTCCGAAGTGTGAAACTTGATTTGGTTTCACGTCTGCCCTTCTACACGTACTAGTATAAAGAGGACAGAAAGACGGGCCGGAATTATTCTTGCCCAAATACATCCAAGAACAAAATGCAGGTTGTGAGTGGACCTCCACCGTTATCCAAGAAATCATTGCTGAATACCATCCCCAGATCACCTCTAAGTTCTTTATCACCCTGACCATCATTTCTTCTGTGGCTGCAGAAGGCTGCTTCACTGGTGGCCAACCTGGAAGCTGCGATGAAGCCGCCTATACATTCTGCAAGGAGATGCTCACCATTAACGGCGGTCAAGTGCGCATCATAATGTCACAATTGCCTTAATGGAGGAATACTAACATGGAGAGTAGCTTGGTGACAGCGAGCGACGCCAGCACTGCTATGACACCTCGAGAGGATATAAATGTGGTATGCGTGTGCTGAATACGAAGAGTTCAACGAGGACGATCACAGAGTCGGACTGTGCTGGGGCGATGTTCATCAATGGGAATTGTGATAACGTGAGCGTGTTCACGATGCGTCCTGGTGTGAATATTAACTGATCTGTTCGGCTAGGGAGGGAAGAAGACGGTTAATGGAATTGAATATACTGCGGATCCTAATGAGGGAGTCTGCTGAGCCTATGGTATGCCAGGGTGTATAACTATCCTCTGTGAATTGACACTATCGCGATGCGGTGTATAAAGCATTATGTCACAGTTCGAAACCAGGAGTCGCTGACACTATGGCACCTTTTCCAAGTGGCGATTTTCCTTCCTCGATTAAATCCAGTCGGTCGGAGTTGGGCATTGTGATTTTCCCAACTCAAGTACAGTCTCACTAGGGCTTAACACGTTGGTACAAACTCCTTGGCCTCGTCCAAATAAACCTCGGCACAACTTCTTCCGGTTGCTGGGCCAGCGATCGCGCCTGCCGCTGTTACTTCACTGAAGCGAAAACGTTCCCAGGTTGTCCGGAGCGGTGAACACGCTGGCGAATTCCTTCGACGTGTTCTGGAATTGATGATATGTGGAGAGAGGAGCGGAGACGATATACGCTTTGAGGGTTTCCGGTAACAAGGAGTACCACGTTGGTGCAAAGGGACCACCCAATCACTCAGTATGCCCAGCCAGGGGAAGCGGAGACATACAAGACCGAGAGGCAGAGATGATGCCGCGGAAGTGACTTGTCAAGGTTACACAGGCAGAAACCAAAGAACACCAACTTACGACAATCACTATTTTGATCTCGGTGTCTCGAAGAGAGATGTGCACGACCTGAAGGTCTTCTCAGTGTGTTGCGCAGACATATACGCCTTCTCGTTTCGGCTAGTCGGCACTATGACCGTGGAAATGGGTCTGTTCGATGGAATAGCGAGTTCCATGTCATTCGTGTATCTGATCAAGAAATATCGGCGTTAAACTTCCCGGGCAGTGTCACAGCAGGAGAAGCTGACTCTCGTGGACCTTATGCGACGGCTCGAGCAGAGAAGGGTTTCCAGCACGACTGTTGACTCCCCAAGAGTGTCGATGGCAGACTCAGCCAAAATTCGAGTGCGATCTCGGAGGTGATCAGTCCGCCATTCGCTAAGATTGCCTGCCTGTTGCCTCGGGAGAAAGAGGAGAAACATTGAAACTCATCCCACGTAATCCAGACTCTTCGGTTACGTTCGCGTTCCATACCATTCCCGGTCCCACCATTGCACTTGCCTGACCTGTCACTACAATATCCATGCAGTTCAAGATCAATCCGCTGTTAGCCAAGAGCGATAGAAACTGTGTGCCTTAGGTGAACGAGGTGAGCGATGAGACGTAAAACTGATGGGTTTAGCACACGGACCGGGCCTAAAATTCCGTTGCATCCGATCTTTTGCCATTCTCGCTATAATGCCAGCTCGCCGTCCTTCTTTTCCTCGTTAACCAGCGGTGGTCTGCTCAATACTTACTTACGGTTATGGTGGATACATTGACGTTTGACCGCGATGAGCAGCTGGGCTCTCTCCTCATTAGCCTCGTGGTTTCCGCAGTGTACGCATTTCCTCTCAAACGGTGTCTGGTTCAACGATATGAATAATTTTCCAGGATGTATGGAATCACGACTTTTCAAGGTACATTTCATCACCGTCCTCGATTATTTTATTAGTCTGATAGTCGGCGGTTCTATCTAGTGTATATATTCTTCAAGAAGGATGACAATAGGCCCAGGGACCCGATGCTCATGAAAGGATTCGTGTGTTTTGAATTCAAGTTTTAGCCTTTTATGCAAGCTAACATTATGTATAGGTGATATCTTTGTGGTTTGACCTTGCACCTATTTTTTTACGCACGCACGTTCACTGACTGCAATCTCATAGGATCCTTGATACACTCCAGCAAGCCTTTGTTACCCAGGGCGTGTATTGGTACCTGGTCAACAATTTTAATAACCCGTCAAATATCATGGAATCGACATGGTGCGTTGCTGACATGTCGATTAAACGAAGATCAATCAGTATTCAAAGTCGTCATTGCAAGGGGTCATACGGTTCGCAGTGGTCCAGCTATCTCAACGTCCTGTTCCTGACTTCGTATCTATGAAACAAAGGCACAGATATTCATAACCGTAAATGCCTCTACGCTTTACATCGTCGATCACTGCTGATACCAACTCACCTATAGGCAATCATGAACTTGTCATGTCAAGGGTACACCGCTGTTACTTTGCACCTTTCAAAGCTGATCTACATCGATTTTCAGCTTCCTAATACGACGCATATGGTATCGTAGGTGTCTTTTTGTCTGTATTGCCGTTGATGTTGATACACTATTTCAAGTCGCACCACCGAAAAGAAAGATGATCGTAGCAGGCGTCGTGTGCTTCATAAGTCTCGTATCTCTCTGCGCTTTTAGTAAGAAATCTCTATCTCACCCTTGCCATCTTCGTTAAGCTGGGAACGCCTTTGCAGTTGCTATGATCTGTACGTCTATCCTCCCCTCAGTGGCCATCCCTTTTAAGCGCTTCCTTAGCGGTCGGAGTAATATTTGTCCAGGTAAACGATATGTCCCAGATCACAAGACCTGGATCGCGAGTGCGTCCATCTTCGAATACCGGATCTCCCACTTTGACACCATACAATTTCAGAACAGCTTCTATGTCACGCTCGGTGCAGGAATGGGATCTGACATCTGTATCGCGATATGTCTGTGCTACCAGCTCTCAAGGAGTAGACCAAGCATCCCCAGGTCCAAGTTCAGCCTCTTAGATTACACGTATCTGACTGACGTATTTAGAACGAAAACAGTCATCGACAAGCTCATTCGCTATGCTATCAGCACTTGTATGTCTGCGATTAGCTTCATTTCTACTACCGGCGCTCAGTAGCTCTCATTTCAGGTTTACTTACAAGGCACGACTCCTTGTAGTATCGCTTTGACCTTGGTGCTGATGTTGTATCTAGTTTGGTCGCTACGGTATCATTTATAGCTGTTCGTATTTCTCTTAGCTCCTGCCTCTTGTGCTCATCCAGAAGGTCATTTTAGCTAGCAACACGGCCTTCCTCTATGGTATTTATCGCCATATTCTGTCTGCTTTCAAAGTGTATGTGCCCTCATTTTTTTCATCCACTGCATAGATTACTCAAATATTACCCTCTGACTCGACAGTCTACTTCAACACGCTTATGGCTACACGTACGCTTTTTCCATCTCTTCTATGGCACGTTTCTTATACCCTTCTTCTATTAGTGAACTCCCGTATAGAGTTGCGGCGTCATTTGGACGGTCCTACTGTCGTGTCGCTTGACTTGCAGTACGACAACGAAATAGGAATCGATCTGAATACATTATCTCACCCTTCGGGGAGGGAGGGAAAGAGGCGTCACGATAATGATCTAACGAGCACTTGTGCCTCTGGTACGGAGACAGGATTGCGGGTGAGCTATCTGTATTATCCGGGTTTGTAGGCTTCTTCCTCATGTATTATTCACAGTGATATAACTAGGCCGTCGGGAAGAAACCCGGTGATCCCCTGGGCTGCTGCCTATTCGGCAACATTTGATTAGTCCATGTGCTCTATCATTTCTTTTAGAATCCATAATGTAAGAAGCAAAAGCTGAACAAAGAAAGTCTGAGGAAAGAAGATTAGTAGGTGTGGTACGAAGTTATGGCGATACTTCCCAAGTCTTGAGGCGGTAAAAGTTCCATTCGCGTCTGCGGGCAACAAGCAGATAGACTCCGAGTGGGAACTAAGTATACTCGGCAGAGAAGTTGCCGGTCGGAGATTTGTCGGGTAACTGAATATTGCATAGGGCTGAGTTGTCGAAATCACGCTCAACTGCCGACTACTTGCCGGTTAGCCGACCCTTAATCGGCAGCTCATCACTGAACCAAATTCAGCCTCTTGATAGCTAACCTCAACGTCGAAAAACTATGACTGCTGCGTTCTCCGTCGAAGCATTACAGAACCAGAAACATAACCTCATATCAAGGCTTGCTAATTCTTCAGCGCTTCAATACTTGTTCGACAACCGGGTAGGCTGCTAGTTTTTTTTCATAGTGATAGAACTGATGTGAGGGAAACTTTTATGAACAGATTTTACTTACTCCTCCTGGATTATCATGGAATGATGAAGATTGAGTCGTATATGCAGTACATGCACTTTGGATGATTGCATCCTTCGCAGTCGACTCCGGAAGTCTTGTTGCACTTGGTCGCTTACACGACGGAACTGGCTCTCAGCCTGTGAATGACGGGCGACCGACCGAGGGAATAGGCCCTAGTTCGCAGCGTCAATGAGACGTTTGATTATGTATTCGAGGGTGCGCGGCAACGGTGCTGTTGATGGATCCTACATGATTCCCTGGTTCAATGTAAGTGGTTTTTTTTCTACGACCGAAGTGGTCCTAATTGAATTTACCTGGACACGAAGCCTTCTAATTGGTGTAGGTGAATCTCAGAAACCCATTCTTGGGCCCCACTTGGAGTAGCAGCAGCGAAGTCCGAGAATTACAAAAAGGCGGCCGGACAAACTATACAGTAGTGGGCAAACATCACGGAGCCTTCGGGTATAACAAGGTTCGCGATTTTTCTCAGTGTCGGTCGAGATGTGCTGACGTTGAGAACTAGTCCTTCGAAATTTCGCGTCCACTTTTCCATCCGAGGTCATTCCGTCCCTGTCCTACCATTCTATCCGGGCCAAAATCTTGATATCTCGCTATCCTTCTCAAGCACCATAACTCTATATCACGTCAACATCGACTTGACCAGGCCATGGCCCTTGGACATGTATTCAGACATCTCAAATGCAACGGTTGGTCCCTGGTTCGAGCTGGCTGGTTGTCATCTGTTCTTCTGGGAGTTGGCATCTACTTCAGCAGCAGGGAAGGCAGTTCGTCCCCCGAAATCTTTCCCGTTGTCCTGGGACGCTGTGAGGAGACCAGATGCTATTGCTTACACTATGGGTCTTGTGGTACGTTACTTCCGCGTTTGAGATGTGAATGCGTGCACCTGATTCTTCTTTCGTACAGTCACGTATTCTCTACGAGCTGAAAATTTCCGAGGTCCGTTGACTAGGGTTAGGGTTATGCACCCGAAGCTGAAGACCATCTCTTGCCAATGGGAAGGCATGTACGCTCAAGCCGATACGAATAACTCTACCCGCATGGAGTCCTTGTGTTTCGGCTCGGGATCTTATATCGTTCTCTTCCTCAATCGTCACAGTTTCGTAAGTATTCCTCTTTTCTTTCCTTTCTTCACCTCACGTATATCTAGCCGATCCATGTGGTCGTCGAAGTCTGGGCCGCAATGCCGATGTGGCGGAACTGGAAGCTTCTTCGTTGCTGAAGCACGTTCGCACGTTTCACACATTCGCCGTAAATGATGCAGTTTTTGCCTCTGCAACGGAAATCGCTTGCGTGTCGTGCTCTGGAGCTTTATAGCTGGACTTGATATATCGTACGTTCGGTCTGGAAGCATGAACAATGTTTGAGGCTCGCTACAATAGCGGTGAATTGTGAGGTTGGGGTTCGGATTCACGTTCCGACTCCCGAACCCTGTACCCTGAGTGGCCCAGAGTCTTCCTGTCCAATCTTTTATTGAAGGCTGGCAGCTGCAAAACAAGGCATTCCTTCGTTTAAAGAGCTCCCGATATGACTGGACTTCCTGCATCTTTCAGTTCATAATGCTAATTTGCCTTTCTTCCAGTTGTCCACCGAGTCCTTAGTGGATCGGTCGCTGGTCAGTTTCAGGGTTCTATCACTCGAGCACCGATATCGCGTATCCGATATTGGGAGACAACGCGGTTTTAGACTTCAAGGAAGGAATGGACTGCGTGTGACTATCGTATATTTGCCTCGTTCGTGGACTCCGGTTATCAGAACAGATATTTACTGAAGACCTTTCTTATGGGATTAGGCCTACATAGGCCAGAACAATTCGGAGGCTCTCCATTCGTTGCGATAACAGGTGGGTGCTTCACCTTCAAACGCCGAAGTTCAATTTTGGATCAACCCTACCCGGCTCTCCCAGCGTAGCATTCCCCGTGGGATTTCTACCCTTTTGGGGGGCATTACTGGCGAGGCATCCAGTTCCATGTTGATGTGCAACAGGCTGTGTACCTCCAGAATGACGACATGGCATGTATACAGAGGAATTGGCGCCACTGTGACATCAGCAGCGAAGTCGATGGTCCGACTTCGCGATGGCACTGCATTGTCTCCTTGTCTCAAGCTGTTGCTTACCGTCGTTTTCGCTACACTTATCCTTGTACCTCCCATCATATCTATAACCCAGGCGATGGGCGTTCCTTGAACACACCGCAAAGCAAGGAGCATTGTTCCATTTTGTAAGTCGTTCTCCGATTCTCATTCACATCGAGCTAAGTTCATAATAGTGCTTCCTCCAAATTCGTTACTACTATAGTGTTACTACTGTTACAGTGGTGATACATTCCTGTTCCGTATATGGTATCCAATGGTATCTAGTTCTACTTACTGTACAACATCTTCGATTTGTTTCTTCTTGAATTGCGCCTATGCTGTGGACTTCACCCTCCTGAAGTGCATCCTCCACTTATTAAGATCCATGTTGCCACCCCTGACACTCAACCCATCGAAGACCGTTGTAAAATCGCTCTTCTTATCAACATACCGCCCACAGCCGCACCTGCATTTCTCTTTATAGCACCCACCCATCACTCTCGGCTCGAGACGTTCCCTTAACACCTTCTGCGCCCACGTGAGGATGTCCTCGACCGTGAGGATCCCGTCCTTGCGGACGATCTCGATGTTGAACCGTTCAACGCTGTCTATCTCGACGAGGATGGAGACCCTCTGAAAGGCCGGTTTAGACGCGGGTTCGTACGCGTTCTGGGGATGTGCGACGACGCGGCTTGGGGAGAAGAAGTCGAGGGGCGGGCATGTTCCCAGACGAAGCGCGCGATGGATGGAAAGACGCGTCGTGGACGGCAGGGGGGTTCGGGTCGCTCTTTCCATATCGGCCCGATGTAATATCGAATGACGGCGGGGTCCTGGGAAGGGGGAAGGTGCTCGGTGAATGGGTGGCTGCTTAAACGACGCCGGCGGGCGGAGACATGGACGTGGGGGAGGTGAATGCCGGTGCTTGGGAGATGAAATGGGAGTAATCGGGGATTGGGGAAGTGACTGTCCTTGGGAGGGAGGTGCTGGGTCGACGAGGAATGTCACGTAGAAGGGCGCACGGTGATGGACGCCGTTACGGTCGAAGTCATCTTCCCAATGGACTCGTTTGGTGGACACTGGCGACATGGTAATAATGGATAATGAATCCAATGAAAGATGCGCACCCGTTTTATATGTGCTCGAACTGCCGGTGTTATTTCCCAGATTAAGTTGCCGTTGCTGCATATGTTTTTGCGGTTGTCGAGGTCCATTCGTCCATTGGTTCCATTTTCCACTCATTTTGATGGTTGCGAAACAGCGAGCGAAATACTGCATAGAGAGCTGTAGCACTTAGTGAGTATATTTAGACATGGGATTCGCGAAGCGGGACTCAGAAATCAGATGGAGTTTGGCGGTCTATGACTAGAAGAGTCATTGTTGATCTTCCCGGTATGGTTCCCTTTTCTACTGCACTGGTGTGGCTGTTGACGTTGCCGCCGGAATTGCGAGCTTGATTCGACCATGTACATGTACACACTGATGGACTCTAGGGAACACCGTTCGAACTGACGTTAGCCAAGAGCACATGCTGCGGCTATGCGATGTATGATATCATCTGTAAATTGGAATGACAAATTACTGAATCCCTGTTGAAAAGGGATTATCAGGGTCAAAATTTGCGGAGGCATTCACAGATAGAGATACTGCTACGAAATGAAAGATAAATAATTCAGTTTTCTATCGACCCAGTATCCTGCAGCTGTTGTACTCTAGGAATAGTGTATACGCGCAATAGGTAACCGGACCTTCTTCTAAACGGTGGCGAGTATGACGCAAGTCCCCAAATTGATCGGCATAGTGATCCGGGGGGACGGAGGAATACTGACTGGTTACGTCGTTCCTTCCTCGGTAAGAGGATACGGGATCGCTTCGGCGTCGGGACCAGTCTGAAGCCGCGGAGACGATTTATCTTGAAGGTAAAGTAAAGTCAGTTGAAGTATCATCATGTTCACGTATGGGTCGACAAACAGGGAAGAAATGCTATAGTACCGCCACTGTTATCGCTTTTTGGAAACCAGGATAAGCAGACAGGGAATATTGTCTGGCGCTGAGGGACTCACTGAAAGATGCAAGTGTGCATGCGTCTTAGCGAGAAGAGCTGTGCATCAACACTTGAAACTCGGCATCCTGGACTCAGACTTCTTGAGTATCTCAGTCACCCTCGTATTCATGGTAGCGATCCCTACAGTGATTCATCCTCAGGATCCAATTCGGGATTCGGCCTACCTATGCGAACATCAAGACCGACTCGAGCTTAAAACTCAAACAGGAAAGTTCCGGTGCTTCTCGGGTTCATCAGCTTTCCGTATTCAGCCATCACCTTCACGGAAATCGATTGCTCATCGATTACTGCCAACAACGTTCCTATTCAGTAATATTTACTAGCAGGGTGCTCCGCTGCAGTCTTTAGCGTTCGGAACAGGTTCAGTATATATACTAGCAAGCACTTAATGCTACTTGAAAGTTACGAGTAGTACTTGCAACTTACTCGGGCTCCGTCTGAAGAAGAACGCGTCAGATGATTCTTGTCTGTCAATCCGGTCTCTTTCTAATTCTCGCTGGACGAAATGATACATTACCACATATGGTTGTGCTGTTTTCGCATAGGCCTAGGCAACATTGGCATTCCAATGTCAGTCAGGGAAAAACATTTAGCGCTGAGGAAAACACCTAAAGAGTACGATCCCTCGTAAGCATGGCAGCGATGTTCAGGCTTCAAGTCACTTACGTCGAAATACATCAAGAACGACTTGAGCTTAAAGCTCAAACGAGAAACATCCCATGCTTCTCGGACATGTCATCCTTCCAACTCGACTCTTGGTGGATGAACGATTTACCTAGTAGCACAATTTGGATTTCCTTTACTGTCGCAACGTCATAGGGTATTCTTTAATATTCGCATTGGTGAGCTACAAGCTGATATGCAACTGCAAAGATCATGTTTATTTTCTGCGTTTAACATCAGCTAGTAATCACGAGCGACTGCAACCTGCATTTCTACCTTCCAAAGAAGGACTACTAGTGAAGGGATTCTTGTCCATTCTTCCTGAGCAATGCAACAGACTGGGTCTTCCTTCAGCTCCGCATGGAGCGTAGCATTTATAACATTTCTCTCGTCCGTACCAAGGGCAATCATCGCAGGGTAGGGCTAACACATTGGAGGAAAGACTTCCTACGAGAGCAGAGCATCCCATTCCGGGTCTTTCGGACAGAACGATGTGTGGCGGATAGTAACGACCCCCAACATGTCAACGACGAGGAGTGTGGTATTCTGGCGGGACACACAGCCAAAATCATTGAAGAGAGAGGAAAACGTCGCAGTCGGAAGACTGCACATGGGGAAATGTCAAGGCGTCGACGTCGAAGTTGATTTGATGCGTGTCGTGGTGGTCCACGCTTAATCTTAAAGCAAGAGAGGTGTGTGGGAGCGCATGAAGATGACGGTCATTTCTCCGACGTCGGTTAACCAGCCAACTTTGCAAGTGTTGGGACTCCCTTCTGTGAACAGTCATCCGCCAGAAAGGGAAACGCGAACTCTCCATTTCCGCCCCGGACCGAATAGGGGAACTTCTTTCTGTGGAAGATAAAAGGGGGCCGAGTAAGATGAAGGCGTCCATGCTGGAGTCTCTATTTGTGCCGTGGTGATGTGTACGTGAATTCAAAGAGCAGCGCATAAAAGACGCTGAACGGGTGAGATTAAGTTGTACGCAGAGTAGGTTCTTTGACCTTGCAAGAGAGAACCTAGCGACGATGTTGAGATAAGCAAGCCGAGTCAGTCGAATGCAATTGAAGACCTACGGTATTATTGTAAATAACTACATTATAAAATCCCATTGAAATCCTCGTCAACAGGAAATTGCTCAGACCTTCGCTGAGGATAAGGCCGCCTACCGACCAAAGGTCAAAGTTTCTTCAAAATGGCTATCATCAGAAAACTGGGTAGGGTTGAACTGAGCACGAACTAATAATCAGGTTGATGAAACGACCTACCCTGAAAAAGGCGTTGGTGATTCATGTCAGGTTTCTGCCGCTGTATCCAGATTCGAGATGGCACTCGGTCTCTTGTTCGCTGTCGGAATCACAGCTTGAACTTTCACAAGGGATAAAAATGGCAACGTGCAGTCCAGATGGACGTTTGAAAGCACAAAGAAACGATTCCCCCCCCCTCGGCCATCGAGAGACTCGACTCTACCATCAATAGAATCATGGTTTGTGTTGCAAAAGTCGTACCCAGAAGAACACCAAGCCAATGCCGGGAACCCTCCAACGTGAGAATCGCGTCTACCAGGAAGGCCAGTGGGCCAACATCGTAAGCATAACGCTAATCACCAAGTCCGGAGCCGCCATACCACCATCGCAGGGATTGTGGCAAGATAAAATGCACAACATCGGTGAGAAGCATTCTAGGCTGCCGCTCGAGATATAAAACCCTCTTTCCCTGACCCGTTTCGCGAAGCAGTTGACTTCTTTGCCAAGAGGACGATTTCCTTGGTACAGAGATTTGGTCCAAGATGTACCAATACTACTGGGGAATTTAGCGAGGATAAAATTCTAATAGGAAAATCTGGTGGGCTCACATTAGACAATGGAAATGACGCGCCATGCTCTGTAGGTGGTCGGTCTTGAGAAGATAACCCAGTGATTTTCGGTAATATTGCATGTCATTGATTCTTTGCGCACTAACGAGAAAATATCCCGTGTTATTTCCCAACCTAAAAGACAAACGAAAAGAAGGGTGCAAGTCGAACTCGTCAAGAATTATTTTTGCTCCCGATGGCAAAGAAGGCTTGGAAGTCTGCCACAAAAAACGATTAATATGTCGTCACCTCAATTTTTTGTCGCCAGGACTTACTTAGATGTAGTAAACGTAGCTCTGTAACTTGGCTGTAGCAGACTAGTCGGACTGTTGTACGCTAGTCATTTGCCGCCGGCAGGTTACCTCGGCTGATTGTGGGAAAAACGGAGTTAAACCCGGGATAATTCCGGACTGACTGAGCCCTTCTTTACTTCCAAACTACCAAATAGCCCAGCCTCGCTGGCCGCCAACGCATTGCTCCACGCGCATACAATCACCCTCGATACACCTCTTCTGCTTTCCTGCACCAATTTTTGGCCCTTTCTTCGCTGCCATGCGGCGGACGACGTTCTTGGATTGGAATCTTGAGGGGTGGTAGCCTCATTCGAATTCTTGAGAAGTGCGGTGAACAGCTTCGTTCATCGTACCGACGAACACTGCGCATCATTGAGGCCGTTTCCGTTGTGAACAGTCGTTGACGAAGGGATATCGTCGCTCTCGTTCGGCGCTGTCCATAGCGGACGCAAGAACGGATGTAACCGGCTCTTTGGAATTCATTTGGACCCTTCCTTGGGCAGCGCCTTCATCAGACTCAGAATAACTGCCTTGGACAATAGGCGCGACGTTGGCGAGATTGGTGAGTGTTAATCTATTAAGCGCAGATATCCGGCTGATGTATGACTGTTAGAGTGACGGCGACGAGCGAGGGATCAGGTATTGCGTTCAGATGGGTTTTCAAAATGACGAAGAGCCCCGTACTCGATGGAGGAAGGATGTAAAATATTGGCCAGGTTCAATTCTGTGGTGCCATTTGGAGTTTTACCTGCTAATCCTTACCCCAGCTTGGTTTTAATGCCATTGGAGCTAATTAACCTTTATCTTGGCTGGAAGCAGTGGAGGTGCATGATATCGCAATGAAACGACAGGTGCGTGTTGTCATTGGTGGCGTAAGAGAGGATCCTGATAAAAAGGAAAGGAAGCGTATAATGAACGGGATCTGCTCAAAAATCGCCCCGAACGTTTTCTGAAATGCGATTTTCTGGAGGCGATATAGAAGATGTCATGGTAGTCAATGCAGTTCGTCTTTTGGACCAAGTCAGGTGGGAGAGCTGACGACGGCGATAGGTGGAGAGGCATTCATCCGAAGGTTTGAATACTATCCCTCGTTGGGTGGCCTTCTTGTTAACCATAGACACAGACTGTTCCGGATCCACGCATATAGTCACAAGTCGTCGCCATGTCCGTGGAAGTCAAGGAAAGCTCAAGGACCAAGCGAAAGGAATGGTATGTGGCTGTATTGATATACCTAGGTCGAAAACTTACGATACGAAAGGCAAGGCAACAGGACTTTCATCTTCACTGTTGTCTGCGTACCGCTTCAACTACACATGGTAGCCTCCTCGAACAGAACGTAGTTTCTCAGATATACTTCCCTTTCGACACCATAAAGTTCCCCAAGTCATCGCAGTCGTACTCACCTGGGAGCTCAGGCGAATCCACACGCCTCTTCCGACAGAAAATACGTCACCAGCGACGGCGTCCCCCCCTTTCTAATCGGCATATACCACCGCCGCCGTGAACCCAACCCCAGGGTTCTCTCCAGTGCATTTATTTGTAGGCGAAGGCGCAGTGTTCAACACTGTTCGTTTTTTGGACCAGTTCAGGTGATGGTATAGCTAAGGACGAAGTAGGCCGGGAGATGCTCATCGGAAAGGTTTGAATACTGTCCCTCGTTGAACGGCCTCCTTGTTGACCGTTGACACAGATTATTCTGGATCCGGTCTGCCAAACAAACGATCATGCATGTGCCAACAGACAGTCTGATAGCTTCTTGTTGAATAGAAGCCGAGGAAACGCTTGAAGGACCAGCCTAGATGAATGGTATGCAGTTACATTGATAGAGCTGAGTTGAAGGCTTACGATACGACAACTAAGGGAACAACCACGGATCCCAAAGTTCCTCAAGTCGTTCCTCAAGTCTGAGAGAATGCTTCCGAAGATCAGTGCCAAATTGCTGGTGCGGGTAGGCGATGAGGTGGCTCAAATCGACCCGACAGATGATGGCGAAAGCATCGAAGACTGCTACCGCGAGGACCGTTCGTGCTGCTTATGTTGTGGTCGGGCATGGAGGCGCGGCCTGATGGTGGGTTCACGAAGACGGCCTGGTCTTCCGGCATGTGTTCAATTCGTCAATCGTCATGCCCATCTTGTGTCGGGAAGGAATCAATCATTCTCTTGACCTTTTCCGTGAACAATGTCATATGTAACTGCGTCTGATGAGGAAGACGGGTGTCGTTGTCGCCAGCTTTCATTTGACTAATTTCAATGAAGTCACTGGTGATGGTGTTGTCTGTGTGGAATGAAGGTCGGGTCGATAGGCGAAGCTAGGGCCTGGCCGGGGGATTCGAGAGTACTTACCACTGTCGGCCGCTCCACGTTGTACCTCCTGGTACGGGTACAACGCTGGGGGAATATATTTCGCGCTCCCCAAGAACAGATGGATATCAGACCGGGTTTTGGAGCGTAAAATGTGATTCATCAAAAAGATGTCAAGACATTCAACTCATGTACCTCTCCCGGGATCGAACAGGATAGCTCAATTCTCAACAGCTAAGCCAGGATCAGGTAGAAACTTATGCCATGAAACCGTACCTAGCTCCTGTCCAGAGCAACACCCGAGTTCCAGATCGCACCGAAAACGTTCATCGGCACCGGGCAACTCGATTTCTTTTGAAGACCGGTGCCCGTGGATATTATACAGTATCGCGGGTACGGTGAGCATGATGTATCTACATCACGGATCTAATTTTATACGCTGATTGGCGAGCAGAGAATTCTGCTGCGCGGAAGCTTTCGTCCTTTCAAACGCAGGATGAGACGGCTTTGCTCGCCGTGTTGAATGGGCAGCCAATAAACCGTATCCAGGGTGCATAAGACGTAATAACGATGCTGGACAAGCATGAGCATTTTATGCAGAAAAACTTGGGGATAATCCGAGTCTCGGCGGCTTCCCGGAGCAGACCTTTCTACGAGCTCCTAGAGATCGTGAGCTGATGTTGCTCCGGTGTGTCGGGCGTGTCTGCTGTGCTTCGCGATGCAGATTAATTCTGACGTTTGAGCATTCTTGCTGCCGCCTCTTGAATGCAAGCGCTTTCCTACAAATTGCTAAGATGATGAAGAGAGATTACTGTATATTGATCCAATATCAACGGCGCAAGGTTATTAGTCTTGGTACTGTCGTAGTGAGTAGGACGATTGTAAGGCTCGTCGGGGCATCGTAGGGTACTTACGGGTGTGCCAGGAACCTAGGATCGTGTGGATTTAAAGGGTAAAGGAAATGTAATTAGGAGGGTCTAAAAGGCAGGAAGGGATGGAGGTAATACGCAAAACCAACAATGCCACCATGGATAATTGTGCCTCGTTAGCAGGCCTGTAATCAAAACAACATGGACATCTGACCCGATAAGTGAAGACATTTCGAAACATACACGTATTAATTGTGTATATAATCTCGTCCTGAGTATGGCATATACTAGTCGGTCAGATACCACATAGGGAAAGGATATTCATCCCAAACCGGAGGATCTGAATTTATTCGTCAAGGATTGGTAGTAGCACAGACAGTTAGCAATAAAGATGCCGGTCCTCATCCCAGCAGTAAGTGTGGTATAAAAGTCTGAAGATGGACTACAATATACAATAGATTGTATGTCAGGGCAGGAATCAGCTGGAGCCTTTGATGACCTTCCAGTTGTCGCCCGTGAATCTCGTTTATATCATTTGTTCGGAAAATACCATGACATTCATTAGCTAAAGATGGCCAGAACGGACGGCCAAGGATGAGGGCCGATACACTCATCATGACAACGACGAGAGTCTGTTCAGAACAGGATAAGGAATAGACACAACAGAAGCTACTCATCCAAGGCGGCGAGGCGAACGGCGCTTATTACGCACACTGAACAATTGCCGCGACCCGAAATTTATCCGGCGAAATTGCGGGAAGAATATATCAATAGCGTACAATCGGAGAAGAGAACATACGGCACCAGATACGCTGCGCGAGAAACTCAACATTATCGTCAATACGTCTCGAGGAAGATCAGAAAGCAAAAGAGACTTGCCCTCAGGAAGTCCATGTCCGTGGGTTAGCAATGATAGATGAGGGAAGTAAAACGGATAATACGGTAATAAATCTGTGACCGGGTTTCGTGAAAACCAATTAAGAATTGGTTCTGTAGGTAGCCGATGCCGATGCTAACCGTACGGGCCCTGCAATAGCCGCTTTAGTAAGCGGTTTGAGAGAATAATGACGCACCGGTTTGATTGCAGGTGAACGGAGAGGTCATCGTCACTTGATATCAGAAATATATTCTCTGTGTAAAAGGACCGATGTAACGTATCCAGGATCCTGAATACACATAGCCTGCAAGTGGTTTAGCATAATAATGGCGGGACTCGAACACACAAATCCTTGTATAATCATCGGATCCTTGGGTCTACCCTCATCCTACTTGAAGTATATATACAGGAAGCCGAAAAACAAATCAGCAAAAACGTGATAACTGTACTAAACCGTACCTTGAACATCCGTCGTTCCATACGTCCTGCTGGATATATGGCGATAAGGAAGAACTAGAAGAGAAAGAGGAACGTACTACATAGCCGAAACCACAAGACTTAGTCACGTTGTTCGTTGGGACTGAGCGCCACCTCTATGTTGGACATTGCCTGAGGTAATTGAAGGTTAACCGAGCCTCCAGTTCGGATATCGCCATCAAAAGAAGGCCAGGATGAGGAGTTGGCATGGTGAGAAAGCCAAAGAAGGAGCGAACGGAATCGAATCGGGCCGCATAGGGCCGAGCCTGACCCTTTTACGTTTTCTCGCTCTCCTCAACAAACTTGTGTCTAGGGGGCGTCAATGATTACTTCTGACTATGGTGGGCTGCTCTTGGACTCTAGTGTAAGTACTGAAAGGCTTATTCCACTCGTGATCCTTTCTAATGCCTGCTCAAGATGAAGTCGAGTCAAACAAGTCGAATTTCGAGTTCAAGATCTTAAGGCGCTTAATGGTTCTACAAAGGCCCTGTCAAGAATGAGCATAAGCGGTGGAATTGGTCCATCCGAAGCACGAGTTGAGGTGATTGAAAGGTTAGCCGTTCCCTGCTTATCCTGTTCCCCGTGCATATCGTGGTGTTGATGGCTGCCGATTCATCGCTTCTAAGACCCACAGGTTGGGTCGGAGGTTTGTGGGTCTCGAATCATGCTGTTTGTTCACGTTCTGCTATCTTCGAGACTGGAATATGAATTCGTCACCGGTCTTCTATCGACAGCGTTTCTAATGTCGGATCTTGCGGATAACATCATGGGGTGAGACGAAATTATAGTGCTTGAAATCTCCAACTCATGATGAAACGTCATGGGTCTTCTCCAAATACACCCGCAGACAGCAATAAGTCGTAATAAATCTTGACGGTGGCATGTAACTCATTTCCACAAGACACACAGAAGGATTACAAGTCATGTGCCCAATCGTTGCGTTGACGGACTCCAGGAAGGTTGTGGATTGTAGCCTAGGTTCGATTATTCAGGATCAAGTGGTCTGCTTTCACCTTCGTGTTCAGTGCAGTTATCGGTGGCTGAAGAGAGTGGAGGAGCATGATATCAGAAAAAGAAGTAGAAGGTGCGTAATTACATGCGACATAGCGAAGACACCCCTTGAACAAAGAAAGAATGCACGTGCAAACGAACGAGACACGCACTGACAAACCGCGTCTTCGACATCTTTGGCGGTGTATCAGTTAGCCATGTTTGTCTTTCGAACCAGATCAGATGGTGGAGCTCAAGATGAAGGCAGACAGTGGGATGTTTATCAGAAAGGTTTGTATGTTTGCCTCTTGTTCAAAGTCTTGTTAACTGCAGAATAAAATGCCGGTGGACAGCATAGATGCTGAAGAAGAGCTTTAGGATGCAAACGAGACGAATGGTACACCGTAGTGTCCTGTACTTCTCAAGTTCCTTGAGCTGTCCCAGTCGTACTACCTTAGTCTCACTACGTTCATCCGCAAGTTTGATGATCAGTATCGATTTTCTGGAGTGAGGGGGAGATAGGATGGTTCGAGGCGGCGCGTCAGGGAGCGGGTTCGAGTCGAGAGTTCTGCAAGATACATTTAACGTCTGGTCTTACCAGAATCGGACCGTTATCTTCCTCGTCCTTCTGTTGTACTACAAAGGCCACTGCGGCCAACCTACCTGGATCGTCCCTCGAGATATAGAACTTAGGACCGAGTCAATGCAATGGGGTCACGTAGATTGAACAGGATCCGCATCGTCCATCCCCCTGGGGCTTGGAAGTCCGCGATACGTTCGTAGGGACGACTGTATCGATCAACAGCCTATGTCGTAAGCTGGTATGAATCTGCAAGATGAGGACGGCTGCAGTTCCTGTGTTAAATGAAACTGTGTGCCTTGGGTACAGAGGAGGAGAAGAAGTTTTTACATTCTTCAGACACGGTACCGATCGCGGAGAAGCATAGAGAGTTTATGAAGAAACGTTTCGGGGACAATTTCGGTAAATTCCTCAGGAACAGGCTATGCACCGGCTTACGAGCTCCCAGATGGCTTGGAGCCGGCGACCCTCCAGTTTGTTCACCGGTTCTGCAGCTTCGTAATGCGGATCCATTGTGACTCTATAGGCGCTCTTCCTGCGTCTTGGATACCGATCAGTTTCCCCCAAATTAATAAGGTCCATTAGGAGAGACTAAGATTCGCTGAATAAAACTAATGTTGTGAGGCTCAGACGGAACCAGCCGCATCTCGTGGGTTCTGGGTTCTTGTACTGATACGGTGAACGGGGCGAATGTAAGGCTTGCGAATACTTCACAGGATACCAACGGCTGTCTACACGAATCGCGGCATTGAAAATTGACCGAGAGTCGCAGTAAGGCGTTACCCGAAAACTCGTAAACCCATACATCTTTCCAAATGAAATTTGATAAGTAAGGTCCACGAGGACGCACTAAACGTACCTGCTGCGTAGACAGCGCCAGGTGAAACCATAAACCACGAGCCTAATAAAAGTTAACCTAGTCACTTCCTATGGATTTTGTTGAGGGTTATTTTCGTACTGGCGCTAAGTATTATGCAAACCTCACCAGCGGCAGAATTTACACCATTAAAAATTGGTTAAAAGGAATAAGAACCGGTGATAGGACCGTCGGACCGCTTAGGCCGCGGCATTGTAAAGCAAGCCTTAAACCCAAATGAACAAATGCATGCGGCATGCCAAGCGCATTTGTCATTGCTTTCTGGTAAATGTGAAGGTTCAGATCTGCAAGTCTTAATGACCTCATCGTAGCCGTAAAGAGATGGTTTCTTCTCGTAGAACCCGACTCAATGGACGACGCAAACTTGGGGTTTTACGGGAAGTGGTTATCTTTTCATATCGCCTCCCCGATGACCCTGTCAGGCAGACGCAAGCTGCGAATGCATCGAGGAGATTTAAAGTGCCTACCCGGATGAGTCAAGGCTATTTAAACATTCAGACATTCCCCATTCACCTTAACCTCCAGTTCTCTCCTCGCATAGCGTTATGCCCGGCAGATACATCGCCTCTCAAGATGGAACTCGCATCTGGGCTGACGCCGCCGGTACTCCTGGGAAACCGGCTGTAATTTTTATTCATGGCTTACTCTGCTCAAGCTTGAACTGGGTCAATCAGTTCAATGACAAGCGGTTGCTGAACAATTTGTATATGGTATGCGCGGCTGTCCATTATATTTGCGCCAAGCTCATGATTGCTTAGATAAAGTATGAGGTCAGAGGCAAACGACGCTTCATAAAACGCTTGCTTCATTAAAATGTTTCTTTCTTGCCACCAGACCCGTGGACACGGTCGCAGTGATCAGCCAAAATCAGAGGAGGCGTATGTTTCTGCAAGACACGCAGAAGATTTTCACGCCGTGTGTACCGCTTTCAATGTTACTAAACCGGTTGTCGTGAGCTGGTGCATAGTTTTTCCGACTCTGTGATCCTTGATTCTGAACATTCAAATCTAGGTCCCTTGGCGGCCTTATCGTACCTGACGTCTTGTCTCGCTTCGGTACATCCCCTCTCCCCGTGGCTGGACATGTCATGCTGAACGCGGTCCCGTGGCGCTCTACGTTACCGGAGATCCTCAGACCGTTCACCATCGCCGTCCTTCCCTCGCTGTCCTCTCCACATACCATCAAATTCCGGAATGGACTGAAAGATTTCGTCACAGCATTTGTCGCCCCAGACAATTGTGGAATGGTTTCTTGTGAGGACCGGTGTGCATGGATGAACAATGCAATGAATATGGTGAGTTTTGATGTTACATCAAGGGCCCGATCTTCGGGCTGATTCGATCGAATGAAGAGCATTGCTGCCCGGACTTGTTCCCTTTCGCGGACGCAGGACGAGACGGCTTTGCTGCGGGTATCGAAGCAATTGCCGATACTCTGTATTCAGGCTACAGAGGATACCATGTTTGAAGCAGAGAGGCACGAGGAGATTATGAGGCGGAATTTTGGAGATAATCTAGACTATCGTCGGCTTCCCGGAGCGGGCCACTCTCCTTTCTACGAACTCCCAGAGATCGTGAATCCGATGATACTCCAGTTTGTACAGCATCTTTGCTGTAGTACTTAATGATGTGGATTATTTATGGCATGTGAATTCTTCCGCTGTTTTATGAAATGAATTACTTTTATGTTAATTGCTAAGATCTAAGGAGATTATTATTCAAAGCCAATGCCGTGAAGAGATAGAACCACCTGAGTCCTGAAGCTTGAAGTTTTGGCCTTTCTTCCGACCTAGTTCTAACTTCTGGAACAGCAGGGATGGGAAAACTTAAGGCTTGTTAATGCTTTGTAGGAACTCGCAGGTATACAAACGCCTTTCCTATTCAAAGGATAAAGTAGATAAGAGGGAAATATTCAAGTAGTCTTCTGGGTTCTCACATGTTTTTCAAAGCCAGATCTTTCGGAATGAATCATGAGAAGAGATGGAATCACAGCGTTTGAAAACTTCAACTCATCAAGATGATTGTATCATGACATTTCTTTATATACACCCTTGGACACGAAATAAGATGAGTCGCGACTCGCGACGCGTCGGGATCACGTGCACATTAGGGCAGGCTTTCGGGTCACGGCGGCGCTGCTTCGCCGGAGCATTCGGTTCTTTTTTCGTTTTTCATAGCATCACCATAGCATTGCTTTGTACCATTGCATCCATTTTGCCTAGCGATCCATGTGACACGGTTCCAACGGTTGTAGTAAACAGCCGGAATCAATGGATATGTGTATCACTTTCAAAGTCACGAAACTCGGAACCAATCATCATTTATGTGAGCTAATATTTGATGTATTTTCTCCCCGTTACCTTTACCCTCAAAATTAACCTTTGAGCTCAGGTCCCCGGTGGTTTCATCTGATCTAAGGACACGTATTTACGATATCACGGATCGGTTGTTATGGGTATCGTAGAAGATGCGGGCTGGGTTCAATACCGTTACGGTTCAGTACGTGTCCTCCAATATAAATAGACATTTTGGCATACACCATCATGTCGTGTTCTGAGTCTTCTGACTGATATTGACTTTTTTGTCCTAGTCAGGTTACCATCCTGTTTATGAAGCAAACTATCGCGTTGGCTTGAGGGTTGTTAGAGGCCTATATTTGTCCATCTAGAACATTTTTGTACTGAGGGCTCTCAGGGTCCCGCGGCATTTCCAAAACTGTGATCAACGGGTACGTTCAACCCAAACATTTTAGGGTCGTATTCGCCGTCTTATCTAGGTTCTGGTCGATAAATCTTCTCCCAATAGGATCCATAAAATATAAAGCAAGTTGTTCTCGAATCACCAGAGCGTTCGTTGTTCCTGAAACCCGATACTGATGGGTTACCCACACTCTTTTGGCGCTTGAGGGTTAGCTACTACAAAAGCCACAGATTACGGGAACCTATGTATACCGTGGAACTTTCTTACTTTCCTATCTGACGTCGTTTCATCTCAAAATGAGAACCGACGCCTTGTAGAACAGATAGCGAGTCATGGGTTCGCTGAACCGTGACATGATGGGGTAGCGTTGTAACTGCTGCGTTTCATACGTTCCGACCTCTGACGAGAAGGTATATGGTTCATTACCAGGTACGAACCACGCGATGCTCGTATTCTATCTTCGCTACTCGGGTGGTATCGAGTCTAATTTTAAACACCATCCAAAGGCATAAACTGGAGCCATGCGTTAGACAGTAAACACACGAATGGGGAGACCTTTCTTCCGCGGCACAGTAAGTACCTCCATCACTGCGAAGACCGCGATAAATAAATCTGTAGATCCCGAAGACAAAGAAAGCTCACCCGTAACCCCTGTCTCCATGTCCAAGCCCGAGGAAATGGCTAGATCAGCACCGTGACGACTGGTTTCCTTCCCTCCTGATGAACGTGATATCGTACTCCGTCCATTTCTTGTTTCGTCGCCATGCAGCCAGTTGAGGGAAACGGATGTAGGAGCCTCGAGATGACGTCGCAAAGCAATGCGGGAATTTACTGACAGAAACGAAGCGTTAGAGACGGCGAATGGGGGAAAGGAAAGCAACATACATGTTGCCATGAGCGTGTTGAAGTAGACTTCCGAGAGTAAGTCGGAGGGTTGAACGTGTAGTAACAAGACATGACTACGCACATTTTGAAAGGAGGCAAAATAGCGCGACAAATACCATGGACAAGGGTTTTATTGCCAACTAGCATGCATCTGAGCAGTGAAATGAGAGAAAGCAGGAAGGGAGGCTTACAGCAATAAAGGACGCCGTGGCGATGAAGCTGGGGAACCGGTCATAAAACTAGAGTAATATAGAAGTGTTGGCCATACCTGGTTAGAACGCCTGAAATAATACCTAGGTCAGTAAATTGCACGAACAGTGAAGGAAAGTGTTTTTACATGTATTGATTGTGTACAAAATGGCCCTTTCTACAATGGTTTTGGTCCTACGATCGCAAATGGCGTCAGGAATTATACGCATGATTTAGGAGACTAAACTTGAACCTAGGAACAGTCGGTCTCTTCCTGGAGAGCTGATAGCATAGACAACTCGCGATGCAGATATCTGCTGCCATGCCGGCACCGAGGGTGGTGTAGAACGTAATCTGGACCACATCAAGACATCGATTTCGCATGTCTAATCGGGAAAGCTTGAACTCACTCTGGGCTTCGGCTTTGCGATTTGAGACATATCGGCAACTTCGAAGAAAATTACCCCGATCACTAATTGAAGATGGTTTGGAGTGGAGGGCAATGAAAGGGTGAGGATGAACTTACTCATCATCGCCACTGTCACGGTAATGGCACCTTTCAAATCTGGAATCGCAAGTATGGTAGATATACTCACCGAAGGAGACGAGGGAAACGGTGGTTATAATAAACACAACACATATTGCGATCTTCTTTCTCTCTGGCGGGGTGACTTGGAGGACTACATAAGTAACGCTTGTGATCAGAAGGAGAAGACGACGTACGATGCCAGATACGTCGTATGAGGAAACTAAATGTGGGCGTGAATAAGTCTCGACTACAACCGACGCATGAAGGGGATGTACCCTTGACACAGGAAGTCCATAATAGCCTGACGGGTCACAGCGAGGAGCGGGTGAACATTAACACCAATCAAGAACAAGAAAGGTGCAGAACACGTACTGTAATAAAAACCTGGGACTGTGCTCATAACAGTCATATCAGAGACAATGTTGGTAAGTAACCGAGGCGGATGCGAACCGTATGGCCCCTGCGAACACCGTGAATATCTGACAAGCCTGGTGAACGTATCATTGCCATACCATGTCGAATGTTGGAAAATGGAGGGATCGTCAAAGTGTGTGACTAGGTACCAATAAATTCCTTGCGTAACAAATGCTTGCTGGAGCGTGTCAAGGAGCCTACATAAGTATCCGCGTTTAATGACAGCGATCAATGAAAGATGTGTGTGAAGCCTCCGTACCATAGAAAAATCACCTGGAACCATGATCAGCATGCAGACAAATGGTCTATCCATGTTTAAAACATACAAATCCCTGCATGACTTTCGAATCCTTGGGTCTATCATCGTCTTGCTTGAAGAATACATAAACTAAACGAGTTCTGACGATTAGCATTCAAAGTCGATCGAGAAATACAATAAACGCACCTTGAAAAGTTGTGATCCCATACATCCTTCAGAATGGAAGTCAAGAATTAAACTCTAGAGGAAAACATGAAGAACTGCGTACACGGCCGAAACCACCAAGCTGATAAGAATGGAGCCCAACTGCTCGTTACGGTTGAATGCCACATCCGTACTGGACATTGATAAATGTTGGACAAGTCTTCACCAAGATTTGCGCCGTTGAAAGAAGGGAGAATGGGTGAAAGAGAAAATGACATTGTAGCAACAAGGAAAGATATATCGGATGATCGGGCCGCATAAGACCGAGCCTCACAAATTTTACGTTTGGACGTTTCCTTAAGCGATTAGTGCCTCTACTTGTTGCTCTGAGTTTCTGGCCGTCCACACCAGGGTCGCACTTTCAAGTTCTAACGGCCACTTCATGACCGTAAAGGTATTGATTTTTTTACATTGGACTCAACTCAATGGAAGACGGCGTTTTCAGGAATTATCTTTATCACGTCGCCTCCACCGGTGGCCCTGTCAGGCATAATCGAGATACTATACGAATGACTAGCCGACGTGTAAGTCTAGACTACTTACTTAAACTTTTAAGCGTTCAGACGTTCTTCGTTTGACCTCCAGTTTTCTCCGTGCATTATATTGTGCCTGGTAAATGCACGGCCTCTCAGGATGGCACTCGCACCTGGGCTAAGGCTGTGAACCCTCCAGAGAAATCACCGGTCATATTTATTCACGGTTTGCTCTGCTCAAGCTTGAACTGGGTCAAGCAGCACAAGCAGCTGCTGGACAACATATACATGGTATGCGCAGCGTCGATGCTACTTTCGCCAAGCTCATGATTGCATTAGATAAAGTATGAGGGTAGGGGCAAACAATACTTCATGAATGTTCGCTTCCTTAATGTGCTTCTTCCTTCAAATAGACCCGCGTGCACGGCGGTCGTAGTAGTAATCAGTCAGGATTAGAGAGGGGTACATTTCTGCAAGACAGAGGATCTTCACTCCATATGCACCAATTTAAGTTGTCGTGAGCTGGTGAGTGCCTTGTTCCGTCTCCATGGATCTTTGGTTATAAACATTCAAACATAAGGTCCCTTGGCGGCTTTACCGCACCCGACGCCTCGTCTCGCTTCGTTACATCCCCGTTCCCTTTGAGTGGACATCATGTGCAATCCCCTGGTGCTCTATATTACAAGAAATTCTCAAACTATACACTGTTACCGCCCTTCCTCTAATGAGTTCTCCATGTCTCGTCAATTTCCAGAACGCACTGAAAGATTTCATTACCGCGGTTATTGCTCCAGACCACCTGGTAAATGTTTCTTTTGAGGATAGGCGTGCGCAATGGATGGGCGATGCAGAGAATAAAGCGAGCTTTGATGTTACAGCATGGATTCTATTCTCGTGCTGATCGAACGAGGAACATTGATGCCCGGGGTTTTTCCTTATCGCGGACGCAGGACGAGACGGATTTGTTGCGGGTATCGAAGCAGCTGACGATGCTCTGTATTCAGGATACAAAAGACACCAGGCTACCAGGAGGCATGAAGAAATTATGAAGCAGAACTTTGGAGACAATTTCGACTATCGACGACTTACTGGACCGGCCACTCGCCTTTTTACGAGCGCCCAGAAGTCGTGAATCTGATGATCCACTCCGTCCAGCGTGTTCACCGTTTATAAGGGCAGTTCGTAATCTTAATATCCTTCCAACATCCTTCTAACGCATGAATGGTTTATCAGGTTGCACTTGGGGTCATGCACGAGCTACTTTTAGGACCCAGGAAGGTCATTCAAATTCTGGATTCTCACAATGAAGCTGAGGAAGCAGCTTTATACAATTGGCCGGTGCTATTCGCACCGGCCCTGAAGCCCCACAATATCCACAGCCACCGATCATTAATACTCATGTCATGGTTCGGCTCGCCTTATCTGTGCGGTTCCGCCACGAAGAGTGGCGTAAAATCTCACACGCACACGCCCATCATTGCCTAGGATTCAAATCAGCCTAAACGACCCTGATATTTCTTTTGCTATGACTATCAGTGATGAACAGACGCCCCTCCTGAAGAAGCATGAAGACGTACATGAGCGTTTCACGAGAGGCAGGAAGAGAAGCATCGTCGCGCTAGTTTCATGGTGTGGGCTTCTACCCTGTACGTTCTTTGTTTTATGCGAGTTGTTATACATTCACTGAAAACCTGGTAGTGTTCATATCTGGTTCTTTCTTTCCTTCCGTCCCGGGTATCGCGCGAGATTTGGATTCTAGTGGACCAGTTATTAGGTTACCCGCTGCTTGTTGGTCTCCACCTGATGTCTCATGCTTGTTACCTCTAGTCTTGCGGTCAGCTTGTCGGTTCTTGCAGCGAGCATCGGTGCTCTAGCTGCTGCATCATATTCAAGTTTCTGTATGTTTAGACTCCAGATTCTCCTCCTATCGGGTCTCAGAACCTCATTAACCAGATGGGCGTCGTCCCGTATACCTCGCCAGTCTTCCGTTGCTCTGCGTGGGGTCTTTAGGCGTTGCTCTATCCCGAACAGTACCCCAACTTATGGTTTGGCGATTCCTGCAAACCTTTGGCGCTTCACCAGGCCTATCCGTCGGTGCGGGAGTTATCGGAGATATCTACAAGCTAGAAGAGAGAGGTGGAGCGATGGGTATTTTCTTCGGGGTGCGGCTGTCTAACATTATGAAGAATTTTTGTCTCTAACATTGCCAATTAGGCATGTCTCCTTGGCCCTGCATTAGCACCATTCGTCGGAGGCAAGAGAAGGCCCATCTCTAAGTGGTTCGCTAACGCATACCTATCCAAACAGGCATCGTAGCACATTTCTTCTCATGGCGGACGATGCAGCTCACCCTGGGCGGGGCAGGACTTGGTGCATTTATCTGCATGTGTCTGTTCTTCCCCGAGACGAGCCACCCAGGTGTGCGTGGTATAGATAAAATCGAAGAAAATTCAAAGGCGCGTTTCGTCTGGGTTAACCCAGCTCGTTCGCTCGCCCTCCTCCGCAGTCCCAACTTAGTAGCGGTGGTATGTGTCCAGCTGTCAAACGTTACAAGCGTAGGCTAACCGCTTGATAGACTGTAGTAGGTCTAACGGTGCTAACAACGGAATACGTTCTCCTAACAGCCTTACCATATACCATTGTAAGTGGTAAACTGAATTGGATAAATTTTCATTTCCTTGAATTCCATCCAGGGTGCTCGGTACAACATAACGAACCAAGCGTATCTGGGACTATGCTTTATCCCAATAGGTTTAGGCAACTTGAGTATGTAGCGCTTCTTTGCTATGCCTCTTTTCTGATCACGATATCTTTCGTAGTTGGCGCGCCGGCTGCAGGTCGATTTTCCGACTATATCGTGAAACGATACCGAAAGCGCCGGGGTGGAGAGTGGTATCCCGAAGATCGCCTGCGCGGCACTGTAATAGGCGCAGGACTTTTCGTGCCGCTCTCTGTCTTGGGATCTGGTCTATTAACCAAGTACGTCCCCGGCAAGGTCGGGCTAATAGCCAATTTCGTGTGTTTTTTCTTGAATGGGTTTGGTGTAACTGTTTCCCTCAAATTTCTTTCGGACATTCTGATAGGTTGGCATGTAGGTCGACTTGGTGCTTAGCCCTTCAGCGGCGTATTGTGTAGATATGATGCATTCAAGGAGCGCGGAGAGCATGGCAGCGAATAAGTGAGTCGTCGTCCCGGGTTGCTCGTTGATATACACCAAATCTCATTATATCTAGTGCATTACGATCTCTCTTTATGTCCGTACTAATCGCAGGGATATTACCCATGGTTAATACAGTTGGCGTGGTTGCCACAGACGCGATCGCGGCTGCCTTTGCTTGGGTCGGATTCCTGTAAGTCGCTTTTCAGTTCTGTGACATATTATCTGTCTAATACATTGACGCAGTATACTATGGTTAACTATCCAATATGGGGATAGGATGCGACATTGGGTTGATGTGGAATATTCGACAGTGCAAGAAAATTAATGCGGAAGAGTATGGATAGGGATTTCCTGTAGCGCTGCTATCGAGCATTAGATAGAGAAAGATACTCTCCCTGCGAGACAACATGGGCGTTGTAGTGTCATAAACATAAAGACAATTTGCTTGGAAGGAAGGAAGAAAGGAAGTAGATTCTATTAGTCGTCGGTGCTCCTGAACAATTCCGACCCGCTCTTCTGTCTAGCATGACTGGGCAAGTGACTATCATTGGTATTCTCGAACCTAAGAGTTGGTACAATTAAATCTCTATGTGGCACTTTTATTAGTCATCAATACACGCGCCTTTTCACAGCACCATGTACTCTATTAATACGGATATGCTTAAATAGCTTCACAGCACATTAGATGGTGCTCCGTTCAAATCTCAAATAACTCCACTCCGCAGTTGCTAGAGGCATTTGTTCCACACGCCAAAACTATTATACCGAATCGAAGCACTTCTCCCGACATTCGAAGGCCTATTGATAGGCGCGCTTAAACTTCGTTATATCTAGCTGCTGTTTACCCCCAGTTTTGTTCGCAATTAAGACGCGGGATGCATTGGGGCCACTTTAGCAGAGTCACGCAAAATAGAGACATTAGCATTCTCCCGTAGTTTGCGGCGGCGGCCCCTTTGCGGGCGCTAAATGTTACTCAAAATATGAATTACAGCTTTTCTACTGTCCTAACCGAGCGCCACAGGGCACCTTTCGTATTCTCCTTCACGCTTACATTAGGCGCCCCTCTTCCGCGACTGGGCATCTTCAAGGTCCGGCTCTCCACCATGTCCAAGAGTTCTTTATCATCGGCCTCATGTCCCCAAATAAGTTGCAGAGCTGTGAACTCCAGAAAAAAAACATTGTATCTGAGATAAAACACTCAATAAGCGCATCAGACCTCGACTCTGCTGCGGGTATGCCATCATGAATCGAATGCTGCGTTACAGAAGACAAGAATGTAAGCATTGTCATCTCAGCGGCTAACAGATACATTCTCTCCATAATCAAGAGAGTTATTGCCTGTGCGTGCTGAACGATGAATCGTCTCATATGTCCATGTAGGAATAGAATGAAATACTTTAAAACTTTGAGATACGAAGCCATGGGAATGATAGCTGATCAACGTAGTAGTCGATACAGCGTCCGTCCTGAGATGGCAAGCGCAAACCGAGTGAAGCGATACATGAATAATAATTGAATCGGCAGGGCTTATGGTGAATCGGGCTGGGAGGTGGTGATATTTCGAAAATGGGGAAACCGGCTGAGATGAGCCTGCGTCGGGACGATCCTGCACAAGACCGGCTTCATCCGCTGTCGGGTTTCGATGCTGGCAAACGGGAACTATGCTGACCACGAACGCATTCTCAGGGAGTGCAGCGGAGGTACCAACAGTTGAAGAAGCGTAGTACGCGAGACCTCTCCTCAGTTTCTGTGATGCACACCACAAAAAGTGAGAAAAGTTTACGAAGGATTATAACCAAATTGTATGGTATATAAACCAATATTATCTTATATAACTGGTTTATATACCATACAATTTGGTTATAATCCTTCGTAAACTTTTCTCACTTTTTGTGGTGCAAGACTTGTAGAAGAAGAAATGAGGCCTGATGAGTCGAAGGTCTTCCAGGGTGTCCATATTTGCGCTCTACTTGTTAGTCGAGCAATGTATACCGTGCGGAAGTACAGGCATTCCAGACATGCTGTACAAGTTGTCCTGGTTGGGGCTATGTACTGGAATCCAGCGACGTCGAGTACGCGGCAGCAATGCGTCTGGGTGCGGAGGAGAAGACGACATTTGTGGGCATACGACATTGAACGAAGATCTCCCAAGGGAGATTGCGAGATCTAGTGAGATAGATCAGAACGATTCTGTTTGTCCGTCTGGTAGCGTGAGATGGTAGAGTATTTGACCAGACTGACGATGTTCAGGGTATTGTAAACAAAGACCTTTGTCCAAGGTAATGGGAAAAGCAGAATTGCATTTCGTCATGTGCAACAGACTAGAGATAACAGCAGCATTGTAAGATGTCCTCCATGACGGATGAATTACCGTACTCAAAGAGTTCTTTCAAGACATTGTCCTGAAGGTTATGGATGGCGGTAAATGGCCGCAGCAGCTCAGACTGTGAATAAGTAAATGAAGCGTTGCAGCTTGCAGTTTTGAAAGCTAGCGAAACTCAGTAGGCCTCAGGACATATATCTGTTAATCCGTAGCAGTTCCTGAAAGATAATATTCGTCAAGGGAAAGAATTAAGCGGTATGGGCGAAGACAAACGGCGGAGGGTCCAGAATCTAAAGAATGGGCGAATTCAAGAAGGCAGGGGCGACGCGGTCTCGCTAGATTGACAGGATACAGCTTCGTCCAGGAAGTCTTCATAGAATGGAATATTTCACGTTGACGGAACCTAAGAATTTAGTGTCTGTTCTTAGCCGATGATGGCGGGAAGCAAGGGGACGGTCAGCGGGCCGTCTCGGTCCAAAGTAACGCGTGCATTCCACGTGGAGAGATCAACTACAACAACAGAGTACGTAGTCTCGTGAACCAGACTTAACGATCCATATGAAGAGTTGAAGTCCCTCAATCAAGAATACGCGAGTACGTTGTACCCAAAGGGCCTTACGATGAGCGTCTGAATTTTCTTGTCCCATCAGCCGGTCCCCGCCCGTCGATCCCCTTTGGATCTCCTTGTCTTTGCTGTTCTCTGCATTCCATTCCACGCCAAATTGAAAAATGTTCCTGTCATCGCGGGTTCTCGACTTACGATGCATGTTCGAGACCCTCAAACTTGTTCTCAATCTGGAGGAATCTCTGAGGGGTTCTTTTGTTCTTTAACAGATTCGACGTTCTGTTGACTACCGTAGCGTTGTAATCCTGGCCAGTACAACAAGATTGAGCGATAACATTACACAATCCTCAACTAGGCGCGACTTAGGCGAATTCAGGCTTCAAAAGTTCAAAGTTGGTAGCGGCTTGTTCTGAACAGCCTCCTGCTCGGTCAGCTCAGTGCATTAGTCAATAAATTCCTCGTCGGAATGAGATCCGTATTATGTTCTGCTCGCAGCCTGATAACTCTTCAAGCAGAGACACTGAGGCGATCCTGAAATTATTGACTACCAACAGAACCCTAACCCTAGGACCTCCTTGTTTTCTTTTTCGCACCGCCATCATGACTCTATGTAAACTCCAAAAAAGGGCCAGCATACCCCTGTCAACTTGATTGACACACATCGCAATTCTTGACAGTGGTCGAAAAAATCTCGGTTATGAGAATCATGGAGCCGTATCCGCAAGGAACTCTGGCGATGCCGTGCTAACTAATCAGTGATGGGCAGTGGTCCAAATGTCACTTTGTTGTTTCCGTTGTTTCCACGGTCTTCGCTATGCCACAGAAAGCGACGAAATACTCACGGTTTTAGCGGTGCCGACCCTTGTTTCCATTGTATCGACTACGGAACAAGGACTATAGGGCGCTGGGGTTTTGTCGAAGAAGCGTAAACGTACGTTCTCTTATCTTTTTGTTTTTCTTGATTCAGTGGCATATACGGGTCAATCAGAACAAGGCTGTTCATGTTGACATGGAAATGGTCTTGACGATATCTTGCGCTGCGCATGGAGCAACTTGTTTTGAAGGCGCTTAGCTATTCATTGCCTTATCTTCGTGGCGCGCTTTCTATTCAGACGTATCCAATTGTGAAGATATTGTAGGCACCCCCAAGGCTGTCCGCGAATCAAATACCGGAACCAGTTTTCCGTGTGGCTTGACATTGTATTCTGTTCCAGTCGCTCGCTCTACAGCACTTCCAAACGAGAGTCTATTGGCGGGAATTTGTCATCATATGGACCTCGTGCTATCTCCACTTTTCGGGATTACCGAGCCTGGTACCTTCCAAAGGCAGTCGGTCTATTTGGGTCCTGCAACGTGTTCTGCGCGAGGCATCACGGTCATGTGAGTGCTTCGAAGCGCTTGGGTGTCTTTGCTCTAATGGAGCTCATCTGAAGTATCTAGTCACGTCACCTAAACCACATCCATGGTTCCTCTCTTCCTAAAAGTTGTCTACATTGTCGGTCTTGTGGCGGATAGGCATCCATGGTCAAGGGGTATCAATCACACAACAGCACTCCTTCCACTGAATAGACTATCTGGTATATTTTCGGCCTTCACGAATTCCGTCCTCTTTCCGCGATCTCCTATGTGCTTCGCTTCTCGCATTTGGCAGGAGCGAGATTTGATTCCACCATGGTGGGAAAACAGTTCTGTGGCCATACCGTTCGTCTTGGGTTGCATGAACTTCACAGATTGCGGTGGCCGACGAACACAGAACGCGTATGTCAGAGACGTCATCTGGTCCCGCTGCTGTGTAGATGATAAATGTGCTGTACAACCCTTTTCGGATATTTCTAGCCGAGGGCGGGGCACTGCCTCTAAAGTTAGGTCAATACGCGTCGAGGTGGAGCTATATAAAACCTCCGGTCAATGAACTCTTTCTTCATTCATCCTCCACCTGTTATAACCTACGATGCCAGGCAAACACGTTCGATTCGCCCTCGACCAGACGGACAAGGTGCCCTCAACACCATCTCCCGCTAAGACATCCTCAACACTTCCCTCGTCGAGAGGCTCATCGTCACGACATGAGCCGCGACTTCCAGGTCCAACCCCATACACCCTTCCCCGACCAAAAGTACGGGTTATTCCACAGGTGCATTCGCTATTATCCGTCGCGAAGCCCCCTGCAATCAACTACGACCTCGCGAACCATCCTTCCACCGTTACCACATCCTACTCTACTCTTTCCTCCAGACCCAATTCGCTCTATGAGCCTGCCATTTCACCACCAGTTTCTCAGCTAATGCTCACGTCTCCCTATCTTCCCTGGCGAATTTCTGTTCGTCCATTGTTGAACGGCACCTATGTCACTGTGTCCGATGTCCTCCACGCAATGTATAGCGGGCTTCGGGAGAACATTTCTCCCGCCGAATTCTACGGACTTCCCTCGAAGACGGAAATGCGGAGGGTGACGGAGGCTTATGAGCAGAGATACAGGCGCATAAAGAGCCGGAGTGGGTCGTACGAGGAGAAGAAGGCTGGTGTTAAGCAGGTCGACTTTTACATGGGTCGCACGAGATTCGCTGGGCTTTCGCCTAGCACCAAAGGCCACGATGTCTGGGTTATGAACATCCTATGATTTGGATGTCGCCCACGAACATTTTTGTTTTTCATTCTCTCGAACAGCTTACGCACGCATCGGATACCTTGTTTTCTCTTCCTCCAGTCATCGCGCACTAGTTAACTTATACTCGCAATTATTTATGCATCATTTTGTACCGCAGTCATTATTTCATTTCTCTCTCTTATGACTTATGTACTTAAATTGCGTCCATTATGCCAACCTGATGATATATGACCTTCCATTTGGCCGCATCTGCGGCAGATCTGCACCGGACTGTGGATCTTCTGCGTCCAGCTCCATGGATCATTGTTTTCGCACATTGAATGATTGAAGGGTTGGCTATACGCTCTTGGCTCCGCTTATTGGGGTACAAACAAAAGAAGGTCGACATGAAAATTCCCTGCGCTATAGCCATGTCAAAGTCGGTTTAGCTTGGCCCGAGCTCGTAGCAGTTTCCCAAGCTCATTATATCCCTAAGCTGGCCGACTGTTGGCACGAGGCAGACCAAGTGATACGGATTGAAGTGGTCTGTAGAAATGTTCCCAGATGACCCTCTTCTCTTGAGGAGTACTACGTAGACGAAAGAATTCGTTTGTATTGACGTGCACGGCATCAGTAAGTAACATGATCATCTTACGTCGATATCGAAGACCATCAACTAGCGCCGAACGACGAATGCGTGTTCAGAGATCATATGCTAGAGAGGGGGGTCATATCTGTAAAGCTTCGTGACGTTCAGACCAACCTCGCCCTTCAGCAATGCCCCCGTTATCCTAGCTCCCGCTTTCAAACTTGTCCGCCTCTGATTGACTACTAGTCAATACACGGCAACTGTATAAGACCGGACACAAAAGCCTGCTGCCTGAATGCGTCCCAGAGCTAGTCAGCCTGGCTAGAAAAGATGACGTCTGCGCTAACGTAACCCTAGTTTCTCGGGTACTATCGGCCACACCGTTCTCCACTTGTCAGATGAAAACCTCGGCATCGGGTGATGATAAGGCGTGTCTGGAGATGGAGAAAAATCGAGTATGTCACTTAAGATTAGCATAGCACCGAAAGGCACAGCACTGGCGACACCGGTGTCCTGATGGTTGATATGACTTTCAAAAGGGCCGCCGAAGGTCGCAGCACTGCTATGAAAATTTCTGTTATACCTAGCGGTCGCAATGAAACTATCACACTTTATCTACGAGGACCTCAGCTTCAGTCGACGACAAATGCGGCAAAAAACACTCACTTTCCCCCCAGTTTTCCCAATCTATCCTTCCGACAGCAACTTCCGTTTTCTCCGCCAGCTCCGTAGTCACATTCACATCCAGCTCATTCAGAGCAACATAGTCCAGCCCCTCAACTTCTGTGGCATACGTACCCTCCATGGCATATCGATCCGCTTCTTCCTTCCTTCCTTCGATGCCGGTATGTCTTGACACGTACTGCAGAGCGATATTCCGTCCGAGGCGCCGCACTCTCTCACAAGGTAGCGAATGGTCGGCGTGCTTTCGAAGAGTTTGTGCTTGCTCCCTATGCAATCGTTCAATCGCCACGTTTCCGTTCCTAGAAGGACGAATGAGGATAAAGACGGCGGAAAGGGAAATATGACCACAGTACAGTTGATTGAGTACGGTTTTGATGGTAAAGGTGTCCCCATGTTTATCTTCTGCTCGGGGACGCATACAAAAGCCTGTCGAAGGAGCCATTGAGAATCGGCTAAAGCAAACACATATTTTCTTCACTGACTCGTAGTTCTGTCCAGCTATCAGACTGCCTCCCAGGACATCGTTCTGAGATGCTACTGCAAAACAAATGCTATCAGTGCTGTTTTGATAAAATGATAGCCTGCTTACCGTGGTTCATCGCGTCCCTACCAATCACTCGTCCAATACCGCCGAAGTTGCCCTTCCCTCTACAGGTGCCAGTACAGCACATAGTCACAGCGTTGCAGAAGGGCTTGATCTTCCGAAGCGGACCTAGGCCGACATACACTTCTACCTCCCTCGTCATAGGAACCTTCTTATACTTGCGTGGACGATATATATTGAGGATCCATTTTCCCTTGACAGAAACACCGTCACCACTATAGAAAAAACAACATTAGGCTAGGAAAACTGCCGAGTTCGAGTGTACCATGATGAATATATACCCCTCGTTGATCCTACTTTATATAATGGTATAGAACCAGGTTAACTGGTGATAGCCTGGGTGGTGGTTGTGGGGTAACGAAAGGAACCCGAAACAAATCCGAAATACTGTCTCGGGAGATGCCGTGCTCCCCTTTCTCCTTCCGACTCAATTTGAATTTGGGGCCGGCACCACCACCAAATCACTTTGGTCTCATTATGTCTTTTGGATTGCTTGGCTTGGAAAGATTTCTCCCCCCATTCACGGCAAAACGCAAAACAGGCAAGAAAGAGTCGCTTCAGACTCTCCGCCAAGCCACACTTGGCGCTTGCATCAGCGCCGTTAGCCTATCGACGTTTATTCTTGTAAGTGCGCACACGTTTAGCACCTGTTCTTCAATGATATCTAGTAAGCTACTTACACCCCCTTGTGACCACAATGCCGTATTTTCTGACGCTGAGTGTACAAAAAATTAGGTTGTCCACTTGAATCTAATTTCTATTCTCAGCCTTCAGTAGTCGTTTAGGTACGCTATGCGCTCCTTTCCACGCCAAAGATTCGCTACAGTCACTGATAAATTCTATGCACATTACAAATACTGTTTACTCCTTATGCTGTCGCTCTAAGTTGGTCCTTTACAACATCGCCTTAGAGCTATGTTCAGTGATGCTTCCGACTTTGGTATTCTTCGACTGTCCCTCAAACGTCGCCCAATCAAGGAGGATAGCGACAAAGGTGTCGATATCATTTCGGGTGTTTTCCGCATGGATCACCACTCGAACGCGCTCCTGGCCTCTCGGTACGACAGGGAAAGGAATCACTTGGGCAGCATATCCCTTCGAATTGAGGTATTTCGCGAGGTTCAGCGACTGGCTTGTGAGCAAGGGGAATATTGGCGAGACAAGAGGATCCTTGCTTCTATCAGCCCCACATATGGCTAGGACAGATTCTGGAACGCCTTTCAAAGCTTGCTGGAGCTTGGTAGCAAAGTACTGGCTGCAGTTGTAAACTTGTTCACGAAGCTATAACGTGGGTTTTTAACACCGTACTCGTGAATATTAGGAATGTACTCACCCTGTCACCTTCAGTTCCCGAAATGAACTCGAACGTGCTTTTGATAGCTATGAGGTGGAGATGAGGCATCGACGTCGTGTAGATCAAAGGTCGAGCATAATTGACTAGGTACTTCCGGATAATTGGAGACGTGAGAATTACGGCTAACAATATCGTTTAGTTCACCCTAACGCATATTCAAGGGAAAAAGAGGCGTACCTCCCGTCAAGCCTCTGGCTTTTCCGAATGTATGAAGGACCGTGTCCACCTCGTTCTGCAACCCTAGTTGTTCCACATATCCCCGTCCCATCGGGCCGTACAATCCGGTAGTATGCGCCTCATCCACGACCATATGACTATACGCCTTCGGTATATACCGACGGAGAGTCTCAATAATCTGCGGCAAAGGAGAGAAATCTCCATCCATGCTGTACAAGCTTTCCACCGCGACAAAAACCATAGATTTGCCAGCCAAAATCTCCGGACGCTTCTTCAAGAGCTCGGCTACGCAGTTCTCCAAAGACGCGACAGAGTTGTGGGCGAAGGAATACGCGTTACGCGTCCGCGCCGCGGTGATCCCATCCCTCACCGACGCGTGGATGAGTTCGTCGAAGACGATGATGTCCTCTGCCTGGGGTACACACCCGAAGAACCCGACGTTCGCGTCGTAGCCAGAGGTGAATATGAGAGCTGCAGGAGCGTTGAAGTAGGACTGGAGGTATTTCTCCGTCTCTGCATGGCCCGGACTGTTCCCGTTGAGCAGACGAGAACCGGTCGATCCAAGCAGTTTCTTGGCTGGGATGAGCGCGCCGAGGACATTACTGTTCAGCTGAGGATTGGTGGTAATGGAGAGGTAGTCATTGGAGAAAAAGTCGGGGACATTGGTGGGGGCTGCTGGGTGAAGAAGATCTCGTACTGGCATGCCAATCTTGGCGCGGTTGTCGAGGCTGGTTTGCAATGTGGTTTCGAGTGGGGTGTTCATGACGAGAGGATGGCGAGACATGATATTACAAGAGTCTCATTTATACTACAATCTCATCGTTTCTCAATTTGCCAGTAAGTAGTAGGAAATAATATTCGCGATCATTATGGGATATAGCCGATTGGTACTCAGGATCAGTGATGTACCATGTACTGATTTCATTTCAAAAGTGTATGGTACGCTGGTCTTTTGACATGATGAAGATATTTGTGTAGTTCTATGCTCTTATTTTAACTTCGATCGTGCCTCGCGTCCCTGGATCATATATCCCATAAATGTACGATTACTTACCAGGGTTTTTGATCCATTTGGTGGAAAGGGGTAAAGCGTATGTTTACAGAAAAAGCAGCTTTTGAAAGAGGAAGCCTAACGATTTCCCATCGCACAAAATAGGTTGACTGATCCTAACAAGGTGATTATCTTAACGCTTTGGATTTTACAGGATCGTTATGATTGTGGGGTGCTGATTTTTGCTATCCTCAGCTTACATCTTCTGTATCATATTGCGGTCTCTAGTTCCTTGAGCGATCGACTCGTTGTTTCTCCTCCTCCATGTCATTGAATTTGTTGCAAGGAACGAACTGTCCAAAGAACCAATTCCTTTCAGATTCAAAACGGGCGCAGACAACACTCGAACGTAGTAATTAGAATAAATGGATGGGCTCAAATCAGTGCCCTACCCTGGATAATGCTGGCGACCGTAGTTCCCAAGTCCTGATGCGCTCTTGAATAACCATACGGCTGGGTCGGGACTCGGGGGACTTGCTATTTGAAGTGTTGTTCTGGCTCAATTAATTACACGCCTGTTTATGCGTGATAGAAACACAATATAATATGGATTCAGACCGGGTTTGGCATAGGATAGCGCAAAGATGATCATGATGCGACCACTACGGTGCCAAGGAGCCCGGCTGCATTGAGTTTGTACTCACTGCTTCTACTGGCTGCCTTACACACATGATCAGAAAGACGATCAGTTATGGCCCTAATTGAGCACCAGAATGTGTTTGGTAGACTGCTTCGTCTTCCACAGTAAGTGGTTTAGAATAAAGCGGCTTGCAACAGGGGTAGTTGGATCCGGTCCGCATGCCGAAGGTCACGTGTACACTAAGGGCAGGACTTGCCGTACTGGCACGGCTTATGGCACCGGCGAATCCTTATTCTCCCTCTTGTATCTAGCAGTGTGTTTCAACGTTTGACGAAACTCTATATTGTACGTAGATTCCTCTAGTTTATCTGGAAACAACCATTTCACGGGTATCTAGTTATCCGTGTGGTTTCTTTCTGAAAATTTCCCCAGAACACATAGTAGACGCTGTGTCCTGTTCGCTTGCGTTACATCGCAAGACGGTGACATCATTTGTACCTAGGCCGGGACGACATGGTCAAAAGGTTATCAGCCTGAGCGAACGCACGCTTAGCATGCAAGCCATGCGACACGGAAAACCCTCTTTCTCGGAAGTCCGCTGAAACAGGGATTTCAAATCGTGAGCTCATGACATGTCGCCATGCGTCTTTACTGATCAGATATCCCCTGGCAGTGAACCTCATAGTGAACAGACCAAGGCGTTGCATGTGTATCGGTACAAAGTTTCTCCAAGCATTATTCGTCCTTGAACGGAGCTCCGTAATAGTGATGCCATGAAAGTATTCATTTAGCCGTGCACACTTGAAGCAGAAAGCAAAGTGGGGAGGGAAGAGTTGTCCTATATAAATTACCCGGTCGTTGTACATCGATTTTCTATATTACAGATGGGATTAGAGCTGCAGCGACATACCTGAAAAGCTTATGATTAGCATAAGCAAGTGATACGATGCCAATTTATCCTACCTATCGGTTCGCAGTGGAAGAGTTTTTGGACGTCGTGCTAGGCTCATGAGCTCCGCCAATACGAGTGATATTCCCCAAGCCCCCCCGTCCGGATGAACGAGATTCTCCGTCATTACTCTTTGACTGCTTCCTGATTATGTTTATGTCCTCGTGCGGTGAGTTTGACGCTGTGCGGAAATTCCCTGCCCCACCACGGCCTGTGGAAATCAGCTATTGCAAATAGTGAGACTTGAGCGCGCCAGGAAAAAATAGCCCAGCCCACCTTTTGATGTTGGATGTGGGGGTTGATGGTACGGTCTCTGCCTCGCAGCTCTGATTCGTCTGGGGGAGATTGAGGAGTTGGGGGTGAAGGTTGAGGTCGGATGTTTCCTAGCCCGCCGCGGCCAAATGAGGCCTGCCAAGGCAGAGTCAGCGCCTGCACCCAGCGCGAGCAAAATGGCACGTACCAGCGGCTTGCGACCATTCGAAGGAACGCCTGCGACATTTCAGTAAGCATACGCGCATGAAACAGAAGGAAATCACGAGATGGCGTTTTGCGATAAGAGCCAGCGATAAGGAAAATGTGCAAGTGATAAGGACGCCCGCGGGCAGAGATAAGACTCCCTCTTCTTATCTCTGCCTCTTACCACCACCTTCTCCCGTAAAAAATGAATTCTAGGACTCACCAGGCTGGTCTACGAGCGTGCTGGCGAATGATTCTCTGTCTGAGGGTCTGTTCTTGTTGCTCTCCCCACTAAGGGCTCGGTTGATCTTGGCGCCGAGAGCGGACATGCCTCTTTCTCTGTCGCGGGAGGCCTCTGAGCGTCGTCGGTTCATTAGATTATCCATGGATGCTGGTTTATAACGAGAAGGCGATGGCAGAGGAAGCAAGAAAAATGACTTGAGGTCACTGTTGGTGCGATGGCGCTACACGAGGGCAATCAGGCGTGACGGCCTTTTGAATTTCTGTTACGCTCAGACTTCGCAATAATTTGCCGTCATAAGGCCACGTTTGGGACAGTCATATGGTCACTCTAGATCCATCTCAGACGCCGTGACTGCGACTGTTATGTTCCTCAGACAATGGGCTCCTTTTGGTCGACAAAGTGGATCCGCCCGCAAAATTTTTCGTTCCGTTCTGGGTGATCACAAGAGCGGCCTCAGGCTCTCGCAGTCAAGAAAAAAATTACAGGGAAAGTGTCCCATCGCCATTCCGCGACCGTCGCGGGGAGAATAAGTTTGGGTTTTTTTCCCCTTTTCCCGAGCTCTGGGCTTCTCTTCACACGGAGATCATCTCGGAGAACATTGAACGTGCCCTGGGGTCGAACGTGCTGCCGGTTTGGTGCGGCAGGCATGCATAGATCTGTTCCTTAACCAGTCAGACAGAGGCGTATGTTGTGCAACTGATGGGGTGCGCGTGATGTTTCACTTTTTTGGGGACTGTTTCTTCGTGGACTGGGTTTTCTAGGCGCCCGTGACTTGATTTACACCTCCGGGTAGGGAGTGCGGAGCGACAGCCTTTATGGACTCGCTACATGGCTTTGCTCTGGCGAGCTATGGCGCGAGGCTCCTGGTTCTCTTCCCTCAATCGCCGGATGGCGTTTGGTTTGTTCTGGTATGCGCGATTGATGGATGACACCAGGACTGCTTGCGGTGTCAAGTTAGCATCCCGCTCTCGTGTGATCCCCCTTTACCTACGGCTTGGCTAGTAACGCCCTTAAACGGATTGAATGCATATTTGCACTAGAACTCCTTTGTGACGAGACACCTTTCCGACGAAAAAAGAGGGGGGCGTCTTCACGGTGCGTTCTCAAATGTTGGGTAAAAGCAAATGTGCGTCCGAGAATCAGATGGTTGTATAGTCGAAGTTCCTATTGTGCCGCAGCAACTACATCAGTTGTTTGCATCTACGGAAGAACAGTAGCACGTTGGTACTAAAGGCACGAATGCCGCAGAGATTAATGTTAAAAAAGTCAAATCGACAGATTCACACACAGAACTTTGACGAAAAGTCCTCCCACTTCACGGCAGATGGCGAGATAAAAAGGCGGACTATCAGGCGAGATTGTCGATGCCCAGAAGCCGGTTAGATCCATCGTCTACTTCATGAACGAAGGCCTGGAAACCCCATGACTGCAACTTTGCAAAGCACCCATCCACATGTCTATTTTACACCGGTTCGACAAGGTCCAGCTCCTCTGCAGGCGCTCAGCAGGTATAACAGTTATAGTTCCTATGGATTTCCGAGGAGAACATGACGTTACACTAGAGTTGAATGGAGCAGTTAGTAACACACGTGAGGGAATTTTCATGATACATCTCCCATATTCCCTTTAAGAAACAGGGTCAGTGAACGCCTTGAAGGGTCAGTTATGGAAGGTACTCGTCTACGGTAGAGCAGACATTGTCAGCTTTTCTTCATGGAATTGTGGCGGGCTCCAGCTATGAAAGGAAGCCAGTGAGAAGAATTTGAATGGGGAAACAAAGAGGCGCAAGAAGAACTATGGCGGAGGGGTAATTCGTCAAGGGTATCGAATATAAGGTAGTTGGCCATAAATTCAGCAGAATCAAGAGGACCGGGGGACGGGGATGTACAAACAGTGTGACGAGCAAGTGATGGAGGATCCTGGAGAATCCCGCACTCTCCGGATCACGGACCGGATTCCTTTTTCAAACTCAAACCACCATCACCCAGTAGGCTCTGCGGGCGACCGTGTCTTTCCTCTGCTTTGTTCTCAGATATTTTCAGGTGCGAATTTCGGCTTTTTTTTGACAATATTCTCAGACCTGATGAGGCGACAGGTCTTCCTCTGGACTACTTTGTCTTGCCCAGGAAGAGACCAGTGGTACCATGGGAATGGCCTGAGAAATGGCATACTAGACTGCATGAATTGAGTACCACATTGGTGAGTTCGGAATCTTCGCGGATAATTAGTAGCTAATGAGCGGCAGCACAAATAGGTCTGCTGAAGCCGTCTTCCAAGTCAGAAGATGACTTCGACAATCACATTAGTCTTCGTGTGAGGTTACACAGTATAGCTGCGCAAATACCCCGGATTCAGGCTTTATTCCACGCTTCTTGATTTCCGTGTTGGCGAAGTGTCAAACCCCTCCGAGAAGTGGCACAAGGCTCGATATCAGAAAGAGAGAAGTGAAAATGACTGCGCGCGAAGTCGGTCATTTTGCAGCGTATCCTATGCTCGTTTGTGGTATTTCCTTTCTCGTCCTTGAAGGTGCGCGCGCTCCTAGGGAAATGCTGTACTGATAACTGATGTATTTCGTCCGTTATGCAGACGTGAAAGAACGCCAAACATAGTCTTTCTACGGGCAAAACAGACCGATATTTTTCACCCTTCATCTCACGATTGTCAGAAGCAATGATATGGATCCGGTATTCATCACCTGTGCGGCGCTCCTTGTCGTCGGCACCTCTGACGAGGGAGATTGCGAGAGGTCTCCGTCTGAGTGAAGGCTTCGAAGAGAAGTCCTTGATCTCCTAACAGAGGACGTGGCCAAGGCAAGCATTAAATCCTCTTATGCCAGCACTGACTGATCATTATCGACCAAGATAGACTTATACCACGACACTTTCGCGATGGGAACTTTGAAACGTGGTCGGCTTTATTTTTAACTCAGGGCCTCTCTTACCGCTAGCCAACATAGATGCTCTCAGATTTGCGAGCTTGCTGGCCTGACGGTCAGTTAGGCTACCGGTTTTTGTGATCGGAATGCACATTGACGTTTTCGGCAGATCACCTCAGACTTTGTTGTCTAAATGACGACGTGCGAGTATCCGTGACAAGGTGTCATATCATGCAGAAATTAACTCATAGGGATGGCGAGTTCTTTGTTGACAGATATCATTCTTGCGCTTATGATGAAAGGCCAGCAGCAATTGGCTGCACGTGGGTGAAGCTATCCCCTTTCAAAATCATCTTTTGTTACGGAGTGAATGCATGCACGAGGAAACCCCCTCTATTGATTGATCTTGTGCTCGGAACGGCAAGCATTGCTAGGCTTTTCCGTAGCTATTGGGAAACGCCGCCGGTAAAAGAAGCGAGGCTGTCGGCTCGGCCCTCTCACTTTCAGTTGACAGACAATTGGAATCCCTTCTTGTGCTAGCCCTCTCAAAGTAATCGACCTAGTTGACATGCAATCTCATGCTTCTACGGAAGCAAGGTAAAACCTGTGTTCTTTTCGTGTCTCTGCTCTCTGACTAATCATTCTAGGAAAACGCTAGCACTGCTTTCTTTATTGGTTAGACATTGATTCCGCATGCATCCTATTGCGCTTCCTTGCAATTGTACAAGTTCGATAGATCATCTCGTACTCAAAGGATGCTGGGAGCTTCTTTCCCGTCGGCGGGGCCTTTGGCGCGGCTCTGATTGTTCCACAGGCTGACCGTCGTCCCCTTATTCGCTCGAATGCCCGCCTAGACTATACATCGAAGAGCGACGGATATAATATCATCTGACGGTGGTATGCATGTTTTCATCTCATGGGATTTATGCCTGACGTGGCGTTATATAGCCCCTCAGATCTACCCGGAGCGTTACTGTAAGCATGTCATCGATGCCGTTTACTCGCCCTAATACTAGCGTTCATGTGGAACTTGTAAGCTATCGCTCTGCTCTGATGTATAACGCTCGCTAATCCATGCGATAGTACCATGCCTGTCATATTTCGGTTCTTTCTTTCTGGTGCTCTCAGGTGCCCCCCCTTGATTGATCAACTTCCTGGACCAATCACTTTGTGGATTTTTTTTGATCCTCCTTCGATATTTATATGTCGGGATGTGAACCATTGAATGAATCAAACTAGCGGCGAGTTCCTCTGGTAAGTTGCCTTCATGGCGTGCGATCCGACGCTAAGGGTCCATTTCAGGTCTGCCGTCTTGCGCGGTTTGACGGTCATTCTGGCCCAGTTCATCTTATGTGTACGAAGACCTAGACCACGTCTTTTCGGCTTGCGGCCCGGTTACCGATGTCGTATTATTAGCGTTGCTTTCTCCAGTGCTAAAAATGCGACTGTCTTCCATGTCCACACTTCACCTTAGGGATGTTCCATCGGAAACAATCATCACTCAGCCACACGTCGATGTTTGTCGCGTGAAATGACTGGACAAAGAATTGCTTGTGGCGGACGAAGCATTGGGCTTTGTTGCTGAGTAGGGGGGGATGTGGATCGCCACATAAGAACACCGCAGCAGCGATATCTGCACCTGTTTCACCGCTAGGCCGAATAGCAATGGCGCCCAAAATTTTGTCTACGTAGAGCCCGCTGGCAGAGACGTGGCAAGCGCTGATTAGGATGCCTCATGATGCAACATTCGGGCCTGGATATGACGCTCAAGGCCCTCCTGGGCTCAATGTGTGGAGATTTGATATCGAGCCGGTATGGAACATTGATTTACCGGGTATGTACAGATTGTTGGGGACCTAAGAATAGAGGCTGATGCCATGATGCAGTGTCGGATAATCTGGTCTCGAGTGTGGTCAAGCGTCGAACGTCTGGAAGAACCTGGATCTGCCGTGCGAGGATAGTTACATACCCTCAACCATATATCCTTGCGCTGTGAGTCTTGCCGCAATGATGCTGGTATAGACCTATGAAGAATATCGAGGATCTGCAGAAGCACAGACACTGTAGACTCGCTACCGAGAATCTTCGTATGGTACTGCGCTAGACTGCAATTCAATACCTGAAGGATGATGTAGAGCTGTGAAGGAAGGCGTGTAAGGCAGCATTTCCATCTCTAATGGAAGCGTATGAACTTACGAAGACGACAAATTTATTTCGGGTAGGCAACCGAAGGGCAATCGCGTCGCAGTCCGAGTTCAACAAGTGATCAGAGGGGACGTTTAAGAGCCAGGTTGGAGATGTCTTACCATTGCCGGTGTGGTTAACAGTGTTTCTGCTCAGAAACGAAGTCCGGAAAGCTAGCCGACGAAGAAGACGTTGTGAGATGGTTTGATGGACGGACGTTTATCGGCGAATAAATATGAGGCGACTCGGGGCGCCGACGGGCATACTGTTAAGACGCTACTCGACACCTTTCCACACGCATAAGGCGTGAGCATTTGATCTTCTGGGTCATTTATCTCTATCTCAATGCTATTCCCAGTTCGACCACTGTACCTACTCTGTTACCATCAGCTATCGAAGGGCCTGCCTGAAATCTTGAACTGACACGTTTGCTGAGGGTTTCCAAATAGTTTCGGCGTGGTAGGCATCCGCCAGTGTGTGAAATCTACAGACGCCGAATCCGTAACTGTATCCTGAACTTTCCTTCACAGTAATTATTATTCTGTTGATTCATCACAGTTGTATTTCAGTAGATGACTACGCGTGTTACTTTGGAGCTTATCGTTCCTTTGTTGTACAACGGGCGACCAGGAGCCCGTGATCCGCGGGAAAGATTAGATGGCACCAGGAACCGGTTTCCTTCCCGTTATGAACTTCGGAGAGTCCGAGTTGGGAATTATTTCTGAGCATGAGAATAAATGATCTCCACCGTGGTTGGGAGGACAAGGATTCTTTACTGCGAGATGAGGCGAGGTGTTGTAGTATTTCCTTAGCTTTGCGAGCACGTTTCAGTTTCTCACTGGTGCGATGAAGGCTCAGTTGAAGTGTTCCACCTTCTTCGATCTGCCCTGAAGGTGATGTTACTCAAGGTTTCGTCATGGCTGCATCGGTTGATGTGCCGGATGTATCTGTGGAACTTCTCAGGACGTGCGCTCCAGAATAAGAAGTCACATCACCAATCTTTATCGTTTCGCAAGGTCGACTTAGTCCACACAATCGTTCATCCAATTGCAAGCAGCAGAGACAATAGAAAGACAGACCAGAATAAATCAAGCATACAAGCATGCAAGTGCTAAGTATAATCGAGGCCGAAATTTGAATGCCCTGTATGGAAAATTCAATTATGGAACAGGTCCATGGGCAGTTGATACATCAACATCTCAAAACTCTCAAGGAACCAGAACTGTGAACATCAATTCAGTACTCGACGCTCAAGAGATCAGGTTTGACAGATGGTAATACCATCGCGAACTTCGGAGCATTAATTCTCGCAGGTATCATAGATGCTGGGAGTGAGGTGCTTATGAGATGCATTCTCCGCGTGGTTAATCTGGACGCTCCCTTCTCCTCGTCCTGGTTTCCCCATCAAGGTCGGAAAGGATCGGCTGGCCCACATCAAAATCGCTCCGTTTCTATTACCAACAGGTTTTCTCGCCCGTATGACTTGAAATAAGTACATAACGTTCCCCAATTCCTGTGCCTTACAGATCGTACCTCACACCGGAAACAAACACTCCGTCGTAACCGTTATATACAATACTGATATCGAAATCTTCGCCTCTCCACGTACAGGAACCGTTCTCTACCATACTAATTAGTACGTTCCCCTCCAAGCAGGACCGAGCATCTGATGTCCTTGTTGAGCGCAGTTCCCTCCAAAGGTCAGCTTTCATCTCAGCTGGTCTGTCTGGATCTCATTCGAGTTTCATGGTTTTGAGGGAAAACATTACAAAGGTAGCCGAGAAATGATCAAATGGGTACACTTGTCAAAAACTATGAAGTACAACGCCCCGACGTGTGCCGTTTCAAGAAAGGACTGAAAGTCTTTGCTGTATGGTACTGGATCAGACGAGCGTAAACCTCAGTTTCGCCTAATCTTACAGTTACGTCAGTCCAAAAAACTCAGTAGGATAGTCCCCCAAAAATCTTGAATGACTGACATATTTAGGTCTTCATTAGCGATCTCCGAGCTAGGTTTAGAGCCCGCAACCCGAGCTAACCTAATCCGACCCTGCCCCGAAAAGTCCAACCTCTATGAAGGGCTCTGGCGGGCTGAAGGCTCGGGCTCATACTTTGACTAACCTCAGAGTCCAACTCAAGCTCCTCCACAGCTGGCTGGTGACTATTTTGGGGTGGTCAAAATGCGAGCGAAATGCATGAAAATGGTATAAAGTTTTGGCACCGGATTTTGCCGCAAGAAAATCAATAATTTTAACTAAGCAATATACAACTAAATTATATAATCTTGCTGGTGTTTAACCCCCGGGGAATATAATCATTTTGCAGTAGCTAGAATAAAAGCAATGTTATAACTTCACTCGCACTTCGAAAACCTCCGTCTGGCAAAATGCAGGATGTGATCCGCATCTTGACTGATCCGGAATGCCTTATTTAGACTTCTGACAAAATCCAGCCTTTTGCTGCTCACCAATCTAAATAAGGCATTCCGGATCAGTCAAGATGCGGATCACATCCTGCATTTTGCCAGACGGAGGTTTTCGAAGTGCGAGTGAAGTTATAACATTGCTTTTATTCTAGCTACTGCAAAATGATTATATTCCCCGGGGGTTAAACACCAGCAAGATTATATAATTTAGTTGTATATTGCTTAGTTAAAATTATTGATTTTCTTGCGGCAAAATCCGGTGCCAAAACTTTATACCATTTTCATGCATTTCGCTCGCATTTTGACCACCCCAAAATAGTCACCAGCCAGCTGTGCTCCAAAACCAGCCGGACCCGACTCAGAGATTGTTACTCTTTATATGAAGGCATTTCCATACCATTTCATAGCAGCACGGCTACATAGGGCAGTTTGTTAGCTGCTCTAAGGCGTCTAGCGTTAATGACGCCTCAACCTCTCAGGACAAAAATCACCGCAGAAACCCCACCTAGAAGAAAACATTCTCCGAGTCTGTCGGTCGAGAAGGACGGCTCACTTGAGCTTCTGGTGAAGTCTATGTACGAATTCGAAGCTGCAACCTGCTGTTGATACATGATCAATGGAACATGATGCGTGATGTATGATGCAGGGTTGAAGAACTAATGCGTAGCAAGAATATCGTTCAATCTCGAAGACAACACAACAATGATGGAAGATTCATAGTCGTTGATGCGAGCGCACCCACCCCTCCAAGTCCAAGGCAAAACATTACGGCATGCTGGATAAACAAGCGTTGGAGCGAACTCGAGTACGCGAAAAACTATGTACCTATGTTTCCCACTTGACAAACAAAGACGTGTCGGAGCCAAAATCGCCATGAACACTATGGAGCTTACCTTTGTCATCACCCATTCTGGATAACCAGTGGCCGCTGCACCTTTGGCTGCCAGCCCTTTACGATCGACCTGGCCTTTTCCAAATAAATGTTCCTCATCGATCTGAGAATGGGATAGTAAGTACGCCTGGGCGAACGAAATTAGGATGAATTCTACCTCGAACCCAAAATGAGCGTATATATCTCTATTCTTCACGGTTGTCGCTTCGAGATGGACGGATTTTGGTGAAGTGCGTGCGAATCCTTCTTTCATGAGAAGAGATGACATGCCTGAGATGGCCCAATTAATTCGAAGGGCCGCAACAAGGGAATCAAGTACAGACCTTTTCTCTGCCAGTCTGGATCTACGACGACCTCAAGCAAGTGCCACGAATCTAGACGATCAATGTTTCGTGCTTTGTACGCTTTTAGGAGAGTGTCCTCTACGTGAGGCGTAAAGTCCACAAAGAGACGCTATGGTCAATGATTAATCAAGACTCTGAATTAATCTGACAAAATGACCTACTTTGAGACCGCGTATGCCCCAACCTATCGCAACGGACCAGGCTCCGGCCCTGAGCAGCGTACCCAGGGGTAGATCAAATGTTTGTCCCGGTTTCAACCAAAGGGAAACTGCAACAACGCGCTCCCCCTTCTCGTTACTCGACGGTACTACAGCGAGCGTAACGATGCCGCCAACAAGCATGGTAATCTTGACAAGGCAGCGCTGAAATTTCCGAAGACGTTCCATTGTCTGCACCATTGGACAACTTGGTGAATTATAGTCCGTTACTTCGTCTTCTCTTTTAACACATCCCCACCAGTTCATGGCTGGATCGTTCGAAAATGCGCGCATCAATACCGTAGCAGCTACTTCGACATCATCCTGAGTCGCTATTCGTACGGTTGCGTTTACGCCAGAGGGTGTTTCAGGTGGTGAAGACATCCTGGTAACAAGCAGAGCTAGAACACGAGTTGGTTTGTAAAGAGAACGTGCATCCTGCGGAGATCATGGAAGAGAGGAGATGGAAAGTGGCTGTGCAGTCCTCTTTCGGGAAAGCAGCGCTCAGGCCGAGGCTTCCCACGCTTGGTTCAGTTCCTTTGGGTTTCGCCGTGGATGTCCCTGCAGCATCAAGTTTTGATCTCTACAGAAGACTTCGCGTGATGATTTTCTCCCGAGATAAGTCTTGTGAACAGAACCTCCCACTACTGTATTACTTACACCGCGCTTTCGATGCAGTGATACCGGTTGCCTATCCGACTTCGAAGCAAAGCACTTTACCTTGCTGTACCTTGACATTCACTGTGGTCTATGTACTTGTAAACTCACCGGCTTTCTCACCAATTGAGCATGCGATGACCCAGATGGTTCGAAGCTAGGTGCAGCTTAATTTAGCTCATATTGTCCACTCCGAGGCGATCCCGTCTGATGTCAGCCTTATGACAGCACTTGAGCCTGAGAACGGATGTTCTTGTGCCGAGGTCTATATCTTTCTTATACTTTGTGATCAAACGCGGGCGCTTGGTTCCTCCTAATACCTGCTGACTACCCTAGCCTGTTAGTCATGGCACTATCACTCCCCTCAGCCTACTTCATTGCTTTGGGGCTTGAAATTCTTCTAAATGGTGCCGTTAAATTCTCTCGCAGTTCGGTACAGCTAATCGCCGATATAATAGGAATGTACACTAGCCTTTTCATCGCCTCGATGTATCTTCTATTGTGAGCGGCATGTCTGGCCTAATCATGACGATCGCTCATAGTATGTTGTAGAATGAAGAAGAAAAAGACAAAGGTCATCATGGCTATGACCGTTTTGAATTGTATCATGTGGGCGGTAGCGACGTCCCATATGTCCGTCAGCTTTGAACAGAACTACTTTGCTTTTTTGAAGCAACATGCCGCAGAAGGTGGCGATGTCTTCGAAGACAATGCCTCCCCGACGATTTATTCGCAGCTATCTTTGGAGTCGATCAATGTGAGTGGATGATATTAACCACGAGCTCGCTGTCTGTACTTACACTTTGATTGTAGATTGTGATTGGCGACAGTATCGTGATATGGAGAGCATGGACTTTATGGAGTCGAAAGACCTGGGTGATAATAACATCGGCGACACTTCTTACGGGCACAGCAGGTGGATAGTCATTTTTTTGTCCCTCAAAAATGCATACGCTAACAAGCGCGAATTCTTAAGCGGCTGCCGTGGGACTTGTTAGAGCATTTGCGACCGCTCCTCCGGGGATCAGTGTCTTCAATAACCCCAGTCTAAGTTCGTGGGCAATAGCCTTCATCGCCTCTACGCTGGTAACGAACGTCTGGGCCACTTCTCTCGTAGCTTATCGTACTTGGTACGTAGGTAGTTTTCTTCAAGTTACTTGGCTAATTCTGGAATCAATGCAAGGTCACATAGCAGGATAATCCGTGAAATCACAGGAGAGGGCCTCATGGATAGATTTCGTAGGCAGAACGGTGTTATGGCCATACTTATCGAGTCAGGCGTTTTTTATTCTACCACCTGGGTACGTCTGTCCTCTTCTTGCGCAATTAATTGCAGAAGAATTGAATAAGCGACAGTTTATTGCGATCATCGCCTTTATCTGCGGGAACAATGGAGTCTACATCGTAGTAGATATGCTTTCGCAGCTCACGGTAATCTTCGCATCGAAATATTCAATCAACGTGACGCTCACTTTCTATCTATAGGCCATCTACCCCACTCTGATCATCACTCTCGTTTGCCTACAATCTACCCTTGAGGTCGCTATATCGACATTCGACCAGACAACACAGACCAATCCCGAATGGGCCGCAAGAAGTGCCTTCCGACGCAGGAGACGCAACGGACCAAGCATAGTCACGGGCACATCAATGGCCTATCCGATGCAACCTATGAAAATTGGAATGCAAACAACGACTCACACATCTACTAGTGGGCAACCAGACTTCGAAAGTACAGCTGAGGAACTCGCCGTTGATGGGAAACCTCGAAGTCTTTCTGGTGATAATGGCGGGGATGATGGTGATAAGAACATGTCGCATGCTGTCTAAACGCATAATTTGGGTTCTCCTGGGAATTGATAGAATTACTTAGTTAACTCCACATGTCTTTCTGTATTCATGACTGTATTTGAATGGAGGCTTCTTTGATACAATATACTTTTCGGTTCCTGAGCTGATACATTGCATACTATTGCCTATAAATCGGGATTTTGTTTTACGCCTTAGAAGTTGGAATGGAATTATCAGGCCCAGCCAGTGAACTAAAGAGCGCATTGTGCACGTGCACGGGGGGGTGCAACCTTTACGCTATCTAATTCAAAAGCGGGTTATAATCGCATGTTCAACTTTTGCTTCCGTCAGACACGGATAGGTATCCATTTAATCGTTACAAGAGAACTGGGCTGCAACTAAAACCCCTGAATTCACTCTAATGGCCGTATTAAAGATCCCGGCTCCGCGCTCATCCAGGATCTAAACATAAATGCCACCTTGGCAGTTTGTTCCTGCCAAATAAAGATGGCAGATGGGGGTGCAGTAAGGAGTGAATATCGTAAAAATAGCGCTTACCACGATATCGATGGCCAAGCATGACCTTTCCAAAGTTAGGCTTAAAAGGTCATGTAGGAGCTATATACTACTCTGCATATTTAGACGGGGGGGAATTAGCAGATGGCGACAATCATTTGGCTAGAATCAGCCACCGCAATGAATGTGATGTGCTTGTATTTGGACAGCTATCAATATCCACAATTTGTAAAATGATCTCCTCTTTCGTGCTCTGCAGACCGTGTAGTCCGATGCGCCCGATAGTTTCGTCATGACCTCGTCCCATTTTCAGGGCTCGAAACAAACTGGCACCCAGGGATGGCGAAGAAAAGGGCTACGAAACGCGATCAACGAAACCCTGATAATCATTATTGTTTACGGGATACGTGCAGTGCAGATTCCTACTTACCTCGCGTCTTCAGCCCCTTAAAGGGAAGTTCCGGACGCAAAACTTGCAATAGGTATATTCACCGGATCAGGAAGTGCTCCGATTACCTCTCATCACTTGAAAAATGTTCATAGTGATGTTCTTCATATTCCAATGGATCAACGGGTGCTCCATCAGATGCTGGGCGTTAACCGACTATTTCCCATAGCTACCGTGAACACGGCGTTTTCCCCTGCTAGAAAAATTGACAGAAGATAAGTTATAGTATAAATAAGGCTCCCTAAAATATCCATGTTGCGCTATCCCATCGTCATGAGTACCCCACTTGAAATGTCACTGCAAACGAGCCTGGACAAGCGAGCTAAAATTGGCATGCCAGTGCTCGATCTTCTTCGCCCAGCAGTCTCCACCAACGTCCCCGACTTCTTCTCCAATGACTACCTTTCCATCACCACCAATCCTCAGCTGAACAGCGATGTTATCAATGCACTCATCCCGTCAAAAAAACTGCTCGGCTCTACGGGTTCCCGTCTGCTCAACGGGAATAGCCCGAGTCATGCAGAGACGGAGAAATACCTCCAATCCCACTTCAACGCCCCTGCAGCTCTCATGTTCACCTCCGGTTACGATGCCAACGTCGGATTCTTCGGGTGTGTACCCCAGGCAGAGGACGTCATTGTCTTCGACGAGCTTGTTCACGCGTCGGTGAGGGATGGGATCGCTGCAGCGCGGACGCGCAACGCGTACCCCTTCTCCCACAACTCTGTCGCGTCTTTCGAGAACTGCATAGCCAAGCTCTTGAAGAAGCGACCGGAGATCTTGGCCGGCAAATCGACAGTTTTTGTCGCAGTGGAAAGCTTGTACAGCATGGATGGAGATTTCTCTCCTTTACCACAGATCATTGAGACTCTCCATCGGTATATACCGAAGGCATATAGTCACATGGTTGTGGATGAGGCGCATACGAGCGGATTGTATGGCCCGATGGGTCGGGGGTATGTGGAACAACTAGGGTTGCAGAACGAGGTGGACACGGTCCTTCATACATTTGGAAAGGCTAGAGGCTTGACGGGAGGTAGGCCTCTTTTTTCCTTGAGTAGGCGTTTAGGTGAACTAAACCATATTGTTAGCTGTCATTCTCACGTCGCCAATTATCCGGAAGTACCTTGTCAATTATGCTCGACCTTTGATCTACACGACTTCAATGCCCCATCTCCACCTCATAGCTATCAGAAGCACGTTCGAGTTCATTTCGGGAACTGAAGGGGACAGGGTGAGCACAGTCCTAATATTTATGAACACAATGTCAAGAACCCTCGTTATAGCTTCGGAAACAAGTTTACAACTGCAGCCAGTACTTCGCTACCAAGCTCCAGCAAGCTTTGAAAGGCGTTCCAAAATCTGTCCTCGCGATGTGTGCGGCTGACAGAAGCAAAGATCCTCTTGTCTCGCCAATATTCCCCTTGCTCACGAACCAGTCGCTGAAACTCGCGGAATATCTTAATTCAAGAGGATATGCCGCTCAGGCGATTCCTTTCCCTGTCGTACCGAGAGGCCAGGAGCGCATTCGAGTGGTGATCCATGCAGAAAACACCCTCAGCGATATCGACATATTCATTGGTATCCTCCTCGACTGGGCGATGTCTCAATGGTATAAGAAGGGTAAAGAAGTCGGAGCTATGTCAATGTCTGAACCTGGTCCCAGAGCAATGCTGTAAAGGACTGCCGCGGTGAAGATTAGACGATCTTCGAGTGATAATATATATATCCAGCTGGTGGTAACAGGTCAATAACCCGAACATATGTCGCCGATAATAGGACACGACGTACCTCCAGTTAAATTATGTAGATGATCTGCATAGTGGTCTAATGGCAGCCTAGTCGGCATTTTGAAATGCAGTATTTCGGTCATGAGGTGGCGTAAGAACCTTATTAGGATACCATTTGGAAGAGGTAGGGTCGTTGGCTCTGACATGCAGCGTCACGGTCCTTGGATATATATTTCAGGTCGTAAAGCGTGGAAGAGATATTGTTACCTGTTTCGTTTCCAAGGCGCATTAGTGCAGCAGTGTAGTTGAGCTCAAGAATGTCGCCATGTTGGGTACTTTATGCTCTGTCGAGCGGTGGTTTGGTCTGACTCTGGCGGCTTTGGAGGTCTTGGGAGGCTGCCGCCAGGGTTTGTCCGGAATTTAGTATATTTCAGACCCTCCAAAAAGCGAAATCTTCGCCCGTAGATAGCGTATTTCAGGCCTAAAATTTGCAACCCTTGTCCGTAATTAGCGTTTTTAAACTGGGGCTCGGGGAAATGCCTCCTGTTGGGATCCCTGTAGTTGACAAAGCCCATTGCGAAGACGTGTTGGGATCTGAAGGAAGAGGGTGGAAGTGACACCCAAATTTCATCCAACAAATGTCACAAGGTAAGAGGGACAACGACGACGATATTTGGCCCGCGGCTCTGTCTGGCCCTGTCTTTCCCGCAGGAGCCTTGTCCGGGTTAGCATTTGAGGCCCAATCTTTGCATATTCGAGGCCAAAAATCAGGGTTTTTGTCGGACAGACTGGCGGGAGTTGGTTGGGAGCGTCCAGGGTGGTCTTGGACTCTTGGATCGACAAAGGCACGTGACATGTGACTGATTTGAATTTCCTTTCTTGCGGTACCAACACCAACACCAACACCTTCACCACCACCTTGTTCGATGAGCAAGGTGAAATCATGGTTCTATGCCGTTAAAGTTGGAAGGACAGAAGGAATATATTCCTCGTGGTGTGTTTCATCCCGACGTTTCAACGATTTTGTGGCTTAACATAAATTTTTTCGCAGGAATGACTGCCAGCTTCAGACGAATGGATTCCCCGGTAGCAAGTACAAGAAATTCGCGGCCCAACAGGATACAGAGGAATATATCGTGTCTGCTCACGACCTTGCAGCCGTCACTCGCAGTGCTTTCTTGAAGAAATCAGCTGGGTACTATGCCGTGAAAGTTGGGAGGAATATGGGTATCTACACGACATGGTACGTCCAGTGATCTTCTCAAAGGAAGTGGAACTCCAATGTAATGTGTGCAGGACAGAATGTCAACGGCAGATCTCAAGATTTTCAGGATGCAAGTACAAGAAATTCTCCACGAGGAGAGAAGCAGAAGATTACATTGGACTAGGCGCAGTATCGAGGGTACGACCAGCTAGCGATGCCGCCACTGTCTATTGCGACGGTGCCTGTAGGGGGAACGGTAAGGCTGGCGCTATCGCTGGCGTAGGCGTTTGGTGGAGCCATAGTGATTCACGGTGAGTAGACTATTATCTATCGAACGGCTCTGATAGAACTTTATATCATAGTAACGTCTCAGAACGTTGTCCTGGGAGGCAATCCAATAACCGGGCAGAACTCATCGTCAGTAGAGAAAACTTTCGTTTACTTGAATCGATTTCACTGACTCGTTCGGTAGGCCCTGGTACGTGTTCACGAGCAAACGATGGACATGACGACTCCCCTCACCATCAAGACCGACTCAAAGTACGCCATCAACTGTACGGTAGCCCTATTTCCCCCTTTGCCACCCTCATCCTCATCGTCTTTTTAGGCATGGAAACGTGGCTGCGCACTTGGCAGCTAAACGGTTTTATGGGGAGCAAGCGCAAACCCATCGAGAATGAGCCAATTATTCGGTACCTTGCGAAGCTCCGAGAGAGGGCGCGGCGCCTTGGGCGAAAGGTCGCTCTCGACTACGTTCCAGGGCATACGGGTGTCGAAGGGAATGAGGAGGCAGATCGACGTGCTACGGAAGGCACGTATCTCCCAGAGGTTAAGGAGCCGGACTGGGTCACGCTGAGGGAGGAACTGGAAGTGAAGATGAATGCGGAGCTAGCGGAGAGAAAGCGGAAGCTGCTATCGGTAGCTTGCTAGAGAGTGAGTTTTATTTTTCTGTATTCGCCGTTAACTGAAGCTGAAGTCCTCTTAGACAAAGTATAATATTTTCTTCGAGATTGCTTGGTAGTGACAAAAATTCTCATGGCAGTGCTGTGTAGGCTTCGGCATCACCCGCTGAGGACCACACCGATATCGATGCTGCGCTTTTAGCGCTTACCAGCTGCTAACCTTACCTGACATCCGTTGCCGCTTGGATACCAGTCTTCTCCAGAGACGCCTTGATGACGAGGCCTGTTACGCTTCCAGGCGTCGGTTGACCGGTCGTGTGCACTTTGGGCGGGAGAAAGTAGTCTAGTTTCAGACTAGCGCTGGCAGCGGGCTTTGTCGTCTGACTCCATGGAATTGACACGTATTAGCTAACGGTCAGTCAGCAGCTGAATGCACATTTGAAGGGGAAAACGTGGGCTACGACAACTGCAACTTTTGCTGAAAGGTGAGGTCGATGCTTGCACTTTTCATCTCTCTGAAGCTCTCAACTCACAGATATTTGTTTCGGAATTATTCGGATCTCGGCCATTGCCTCCGACGGAGTGGACGGTTAATGTCGGACGATTGTTCGTACCCTATAACTTTTGGGTTTTAATACATGTATTCCCAGTGACTTGGCAGTTTTGGAGCGTCACTTGAACGACTAATTGTTTCAAGACTCGTCCAGCTCTTCTGGTCACAGGCTGTCGAGCGTGTATCGGCAAGGCTCCAGGCTCTAGGGAAGGATGCTCGAGCAGCACAAAAATGTACGTCGGAGCCAAGCAACGTTGACAACAAACTCCTTCGCCTGCTTATTTCCGCAGAGGCGGTCCAGGAAGTTGCACAGTACTTCAATGATTGTTACTTATATTGAGGTTGCTGGTAACTGGTCAGTCATCAGTCTTCCTTAGTCGACCAGGTTACGAATTACAATGATTTTGTGGGTGAGAAAACGGTCTATTGGCTCCGCTCAAGTTAGCTCTGCATCCGAAGTCGACATGATTGGTTCTTGGTTGCGTTTTACCTAGCTATGCCCGCTTCCCGATGCACCGGAAAATCGTACAGCCCTTCGGCCCATAGACGAGGAACCAATTTGTAATTTGGAGCTCGAAGTAGAAGATCCGCAGGTCCGGCAGATCTACCGCAGATTTCTCCAACTGAAGGTCATAAATCATAAATGGGCATTATTATTATGTAGGCAGCATGAGTACATAGGTCATAAGAGAAGGAAAAAAGATGACTGTGCTACAAAGTGATGCGTAAATAATTGCGGGTATAAGTTAACTAATGCGCGATGATTGAAGGATAAACTACGATATATGTGTGCGAGAGCTTTTGACAGAATGAAAAAACGAAAATGTTCGTGGGCGACATCCCAAATCACAGAATGTTCATAACCCAGATATCGTGGCCTTTGGAGCTAGGCGAAAGCCCAGCGAATCTCGTGCGACCCATGAAAAAGTCGATCCGCTTAACACCAGCCTTCTTCTCCTCGTACGACCCACTCCGGCTCTTTATGCGCCTGTATCTTTGTTCATAAGCCTCTGTCACCCTCCGCATTTGCGTTTTCGAGGGCAGCCCGTAGAACTCGGCAGGAGAGATGTTCTCCCGAAGCCCGTTGTACATTGCGTGGAGCACGTCGGAGACGGTGACATAGGTGCCGTTCAACAATGGACGAACAGAAATTCGCCAGGGAAGATAGGGAGACGTGAGCGTTAGCTGAGAAACTGGCGGTGAAATGGCAGGCTCATAGAGCGAGTGTGGTCTGGAGGAAAGGGTGGAGTAAGGTGTGGTTACGGTGGAAGGGTGGTTCGCGAGGTCGTAGTTGATTGCAGGGGGCTTCGCGACTGATAATAGCGAATGCACCTGTGGAATAACCCGTACTTTTGGTCGGGGAAGGGTGTATGGGGTCGGACCTGGAAGTCGCGACGATGAGCTTCTCGACGAGGGCAACGTCGAGGATGTTTTAGCGGGAGATGGTGTCGACGGCACCTTGTAGGTCTGGTCGAGGGCAAAGCGAACGTGTTTGCCAGGCATTGTAAGAGGGGGGAATGAACAAAGACTCCACTGGTACTAAGCTTTAAGTAGCCAAGTTTTTCATTGTTGACGCGTACTGACGTGACTTCCTAAGCAGTGTCCCGCCCAGAGCACAGCTCGATCGGACGTCCCTAAAAGGGACGTGCAGGCAAAGATACGCACTGTAATCATCTACACAGCCTTGTCAGCGCAGTGCTCCGGTACTAGATGACGTCTGACAAACACGTTCTGTGTTAGTCGGCCACCGCAATCCGAGATGCTAATGCAACCCAAGGTGGACAGTATGGCTACGGAACTGCGTTCCCACAGGTTAACACCGCGCGTAACCAAATCTCGCCCTTGCCAAATATGAGAAGCGAAGCATATAGGAGATCGCGGAAGGAGGACGGAATCTTTGGAGACCGAAAATATCAAACTGTCCATTCACTGGGAGGAGCGCTGGGGTTACCCCTGGACATGGAGACCTATCCTTGCCCGCCACAAGACCGACAATGTATGGGCACTTTAAGAAGGAGGGGACCATGGACGTGGGTTGGATGATGGGACTAGATGCAAAAAAACTTTCAGATGAGCTCCATTAGAGAAAAGACACCCAAGCGCCTCGAAGCGCTTACCTGACCGTGATGCCTCGCACAGAACACGTTGCAGGACCCACATAGACCATCTAGGGACCACCTTCGAAAGGCACGAGGCTAGGAGATCCCGAAAAGTGGAGATAGCACGAGGCCAAAGTAATGACAAATTCCCGCCCATTTACTCTCGTTAGGAAGTGCTGTATAGTAATGATGACTGGCACAGAATACAATGTCAAGCCACACGGAAATTCAATTCCGATATTTGATTCGAAGACAGGAACAGCCTTGAGTTAATTGGCTACCGGTAATTGGATATGTTTCAATGGAAAACACACAAAAAGGACAAGCGTCGAGCGAACGCACCTCTGAAGGCTAACCCAGTGCTCCAGAGTCTCCTGTTCCGCAGTCAATGAAATGGACGCTTGTCGGCACCGCTGAGACCGTGAGTGCGTCGTCACTGTCAGCGGCGTAGCGAAGACCGTGGAAACAACAAAGAGGCATTTAGACCACTGCCCATGGGAGCTAGCACTGCATGGGAATCCCCTTGCGGATATGACTCCGAAGATTTCAGTACTAGAGAGAAAATTTTAGATCATGCTACAAGAATTAAGATGTGTATCAACCTGTCCAGTTAAGCCCATGTCTACTGGTTGGGACCAGCAAGAGTTTTCGGCGTTGTGTCACGGTAGGCATAGTAAAACCAGAGATGGTGTGACATGATCGAAACCATAGTGGCACGTGCCATCTGAGGTTCGAGTTCTAGACTCTTACGGACTCTTACCCCACTGTACAATTGATTTCTGACTGTAACGATAGTCATAGCGCCTTCGCAGAAGGCCCAAAAATCAGCACCTAGTGCACACGTGCTATATACCGACCCCTGGAGGCGACGAGGTATTTGTTGAGATAAGCGGTAATTCTCCAGCCGCTCACCCGGATACAGCAGGGAACCCTCGCAAACAGGCGAGGGTCATCGTCGTTCGTCTACCTATTTATCTACATGCCGTGTACACTAATAGAAGCAATATGATGTAATAAGGAAAGCCGAGGAGGAGAACAGATGAACGGTGCTTCCTACTGAAGATCCCGACGTCGACTGCACCATGATGCGCGACACTTGACATTCCAACAGTATTCGACTCGAGAGAGCAATTGTCATGCACTCTTATAGATGCGCTGGACGAACTGAAGGATATAGGAGCTCACATCTTCCGGGCGCTCATAAAAAGGAGCATGTCCAGCCCCAGGAAGTCGACGATAATCCAAATTGTCCCCAAAATGTTTCTTCATAAAACTTTCATGTTTCTCCACGTCTACTAGCACGTCTTCTGTACCCTGGATACAGAGTATTGGCAGCTCATTAGCCACAGAGAGCAAGGCCGTTTCATCTTGCGTTCGTGAGAGCGAAAACTTCAGTGCAGCCGTATTCTTTGCCCATCAATCAGCCTTCCAATCAGATCCTTCGCGTAAATTAAACTCACCATACCCACGGCACTGCCCATCCACGCGCATTGATCTTCAAACGAAATCGAATTCCCTGGAGCGACAAAGGCACTTCCGATGAATTCTTTCAGCCCATTTTGGAATTCGGCGGTATGTGGGGACCGAATCGAAGAGATGACGGTAGCGTTGTAGGGTCTAGGGATCTCCCTCAACATGGAGATCCAGGCTACGGCGTTGAGCATAACATGCCCAGCCACTGGAAGAGGAGACGCGCCGTATCGAGACAAGACGTCAGGGATAACGACGCCTCCCAGTGACCTATGCTTGAGACTGTGAATAACGAGCAGAAAAGACAGGGTAACGTACGCACCAGCTTACGACAATAGGTTTGGTGACATTGAAAGCAGCGCACACTGCCTGAAAATCTTCCGCATGTTTTGCAGAAACGTAGGCATCCTCTGATTCCGGCTGGTCGCTACGGCCGTGCCCCCGGGTCTATTCGAACAATAAGAGGATTTCACAAGGTGTAATTTTGAATCACCTCGTATTTGATCTGGAAGTATCGACGTCAAAACCCCTGCTAATGTAAGGGGGGAAAAAAACTGTACCATATACAAGTTGTCCAACAACCGCCTGTCATTGAACTGTTTAACCCAGTTCAGGCCTGAGCCAAGGAAACCATGAATGAAGACCACGGGAGGCTTTCCCGGGGTTCCGGCAGCATCAGCCCAAATGCGAGTACCGTCTTGAGAGGCAATCAAGTGGGAGGACATTGCAGGTGAAAGTAGAACGAAAGCTTGGGGAGGTTTTCGTCATTTATGCTGACTCTGATTTCCGTTTTCCGTCATGACCAAGCAATCAGGGAGGCGATGAGGTGATCCTCACCGACCAGTTTGAGTAAAACGTTGGGGAATTGCCCAGCTGCAGCCAGTTGCTTAAAATTTCGCCCAAATGTGATAGAGAAGTCACGTAGGCGAAACACCGGCTGTAAACGAGCCTACTCAAGGGCTACAAACCTGAATGTACCCCAAAGCGTCAGTACATCAACACAGCTCAAGTCCCTCGATAATATGTTTTCTCAACATAAAGATTCTGGAGAGACTCACCATAGCTAAAAAAGAACAAAGCACACGCGGGACAAAGGCTACCAAGACGTCTTGAAGTTTTTATGAAGTAGATCGCAGTCAAAAACAGCCAGCGACCGTCTGAATAAGGCGTCAGTAAGGGACATCGCACAGCCACCCGGTAACTATAGCACTCGGCCTTCACATGGTCTGATGGCCATGCCTCGGCTTTCTTCGGCTCAACAAAGCCCATTTCAATCCACGGAGTACTAGGAATACGTTCTGTTATCAACTGAAAGAATTGAATTAGCTGCTATTTTGAATGTTGGTGCCGAGCAAACAGCTCAAAAATGACTTCGGCATTAAGCCGATTATATATGAGCCGGGACGTGGCTAAGCCGTTTCAAGCTGGAAAATTATCGGCTCAGCCACTGCGAGACTATCGGCTCGTCACGGCATTCTGCGGCCCGATCTTCTATTGCCTCGCTCCGTCGCGAACTATCGAGGCGAGTCATTGCACTGACTTCCTCTGGTGAGAAGTCCCAAATGACGGCATCCTCAAGCGTGTACCATTTTGGGGCGGCCTCGAGCACGTCAAGAAAGCAAGTTCAAGTCAAGAATAAATGAATAATCCTTAGTACAAAACGCCATAGCTCAGGCGTTGAGCAAACTGGAGGATCATCGGGTTCACAACTTCCAGAAGCTCGTAAAAAGGCGCGTTCCCTGCTCCTAGAAGTGTCCGATAGTCCAAATTAGCACCAAAGCGTTTCTTCATGAGCTGTTCATGCTTCTTCGAGTCTAGCAGTGCGTCTTCTGTACCCTGGATAAAGAGTGTTGGCAGCTCATCAGCCACGGAGAGCAAGGCCGTCTCATCCTGTGTCCGTGAAAGCGAAAGTTTCCGTGCAGCAGCATTCTTTGCCTGTCAGTCAGCCTTCCAATTAGATCCTTGGCGCAAGTCAAACTCACCATACCCGCGGCGCTTTCCACCCATACACGTTTGTCTTCATCAGAGATTGAATTCCCAGGAGCTACAAAATCACGCATGAATGCTTCCAGTCCCTTCTGAAATTCGGTGGTATCTCGAGACAGGATCGAAGAGATGATGGCGGGTTGGCTTGGCTTTTGAATCTCCTGCGACATAGACATCCAGGTTATCCCATTGAGAAAAGCATGCCCAACCACTGGAAGAGGAGATGCATCATATCGAGATAAGACGTCAGCTACGACTATCTCGCAAAGTGACCTATAAAATATTAGGATGAGAGAGCGAAAGGAACAGACTAAAATACGCACCAGCTTATGACAATCGGTTTAGTAACATTAAAAGCCGTACACACGGCTTGAAAATCCTCTGCATGTTTTGCAAAAATATAGGCGCCCTCTGATGCTGGCTTGTCGCTACGACCGTGTCCACGAATCTATTCCAGGAGTAAGAATATTTTATGGCAGTGTGGTTTGTGATCACCTCATATCTGATTCTGGAAGTACCTATGTCAAATCCTTGCTAGCATTGTGAGGAAAGACCGTACCATGTACAAATTATCCAGCAACTGCTTGTCATTGAACTGCCTAACCCAGTTAAGGCCGGAGCAGATAAAACCGTGAATGAAGACGATGGGGGGGCCTTCCTGGCGTGCCAGCAGCGGTGCCAAGATGCGAGTACCATCCTGAGAGGTGATCAAGTGGCCGAACATTATAAAGGAGAAAGGCTGAACAGCTAAAAAAAACTGTGATTCGCTCGCGTCAATGGATGGGACAGGATAAGAATGTTCAAAGGCGCCATCACAGTTCTCCATCACACCTGGCCGAATCATTGAGAAGGCACTGAATCCTGAAAATTCCAATTTAGGCGCAGCAGGTGCCGGGACGTTCTTAAAAACAAGCCATATACAATACTCTGAATGTAGTACGACCTTCCGGTATCTTGTCGTGGATCACTGCACTCGGGTCCTCCGGTGAGAAGTGGAGAATGCGGGGTCACCAGATCTGCAGTTCCCAGAGCAGTCAGTCGCATTGCGGTCTCGCGCACTTCAAGATGGCTTCAAGGGCTAAGAATAATTCGCATTGGCATGAAGCGCTATCGTACACACGTTGAACCGATTGAACGACCATCAGATTCACAACTTCCGTAAGCTCGTAGAAACGCGTGCAGCTTGATCTAGGAAGTCACCGATAGTCCAAATAAGCTCCGAAGTGTTTTTTCATGGTTTTACTATCGTTTTCCGATTCTATCAGCTCGTCTTTGTAACCTGGATACAAAGCACTGCATTTGAGTACGGGAGAATGTCTGCGCAGCAGTCCCTCACTTGTTGATTAGCATGACGATCAGATCCGTGACATAAGTACATCACACCCACCCTAATTGCCGCTCTGCCTATCCATGTCGCATGCGTAAGTACCAATCATGGAATTGCTGGGACCTACGACTATGTCTACACACTCTGGGGACTGGTAGTGCAAATTGCAATTTGAGTGCAATTCTGAAAGTCGGCGATAACAGCAGAAGCAATGGATGAGAGAGCTGTCGGATTTAACCTGACAACTTTGAACTTTGTCGTAGTCATAGTACAGCCCAAGAACGCGGTTCTGGCTGGAGGTAAACAAAAAACGTAAAGTTTGAACCTGACGGCAGATATCCGGTCCGACGTTCCGGTCATCCCTCTCTGATCCTGCCTTTTTTTAATATCCAAAACTAGCCTTCTTCTTGTTGGCCTATTCAACATTCCCTTAGTTTGCTACGGAGGTTATTCTTACCCTAGAGAAGAAAGACATGCCCGTAAAATAAACGGTGAGAAGGTGAGTATTCTAGTCATAGTATTTTGAGTAAGTATTGTCTTCACCTGGATCTCAAACCTTCTCCTAGACAGAAGAGCGACGCTTGGAAGAAGAGAACGGTCAAGTAAAAAATCACAGTAGGGTGTAAAGACACCTTGTTCCAGGAGGATCTATCTTTTGTGGAACTGACATTGTCCCGTTTTATGCATGATGAATCTTTCTGACAAACACGCTCGATATCCTTGCAGCTATGGTTGCCGGGGTGGTTCAACGATTAGGGCATGTAAATTTTCAAGAAATAGAAAATAATAGCACTGTGCTATAAATAGAACGTGCCGTTGGCGAGTATCGTTTCTGATGATGTTGACTTGTCTTAACCAGCGATGGGGGTGACTGAAAAGCCTGAGATAGATTATCGATTTTTTAAAGGGTATCATTTCCATGCATGACTACGAAGCAAAAACTGAATGTCATTTTTTCAAAACATAATCTGATAAAGCGGTGAGAATCGATAAGAGTTTTAAATAGTGTAACGAAACATTGTAGATGCTGCCCACTATAGACGCTTCCGAGTGGAGGGAGAATTACGACCGAAAAGCACAACTTCGTCGTTCCCGCGGAAGCTTTCGGCTGATCTCGAGTGCGGAAGTATCCGCAAGGCATGAGTTCTTTCCCAATTTGTCTGCAGCAGACGTCGATACGGGAAGGTTTGTTTCGAGAGGGGCTTCATGCTGTATACCGAGTTAGTAACAAGGTACTCCTCGGATGGAGTGTAGGTGACAGAGCCCCGCGCAAAGAAAAGCATATGACAATTATAGTCTTGCCGCGAGTGAAAAATTATCGATGCATGAGTCGACCGTTGTATGACGCGAGAAAAAGGTCCTGAACGGCCTGTGAAGACCTTGCTTCCTGCGAGCAGAAACTTTGAGGAACTTGAGTCGTGGAGCTGAGCTTTTTCGAAGGATATGAATGACTAAGAGTAGAAAGCGACTCGGTATAAGTAAGCATGCAATCGAATGTAAAGAGTGATGAGGTGCGGACGCATACCGACCATTCCAAAAATTTAATTGCCGAAACTAGTCTGCTCCGACTGCTTGACATACCAAGGAGCGCGACGAGAATACACACAATTAATCAGCTAAACCTCCGATGTCCCAAGCGGGTTCTTGTTGAGCCAACCCTGTAACACAGCAGATGATTTGGTTGAGATTAGGAAATACATACACCTCCACAGAGGCCGATGAAGGTTGCGAAAGGGAACAGTATCTCGATACGCAAATATCCTGGTATCATGGACCAGCCTGTAGACAAGTATTAATACCAGGGCTCTGTCCCAGATCTATATTGAAACCTAGGAACGGAATGAAATACCAGTAGTATTCCGCCTCTCCGGATCACTAGACCGATCATTTCTGTAACTTGCCTCCTGCCCACTGACATAGGGTTATTGAAGAGAAACAGTCCGCCTCCAAGATCTGGGCCAGTTTAAGTCGATTAGGTAGTGAAATTTCACCTCAGACTATGAATATACCCAGGCAATTTAGTGGCAGTCGTCTCTTTCGACAGCAGGCTGGTGCGGGGGAATTTGTTATATGCTGCACTTCTTCATGGCGTTGCTGCATGTGCTCTTGGCTGACGTCAATGCGAACGACGTCATCAGTATATGATATGCATGGACAAAATGAAGTCGCATTTCCGGTAAGAAACATGCATGAGCAAGGTCACCTTAGGTTATGCTGTAAGCCTTATCGTCCTAACACGATTATGAGACTGATGCACCCAATCTAGTTCGTGAAAGCTATGCCTGAATCCATCGGGCACTTTGAATGTTGGTATAGAGCTCCTCTTTGGTCGCAGTGTTTCATACTCTGATTTGCGACCATCAAAGTCAGTGGAAGACGCGGGACGGAGGAACGGGACCATAGAATGGAACTCGGAGCACAGGACAAATACATTCGGCAACGTTAATGTGTCTTGGAAAATAGTATACAACGTTCGGATGGGTATAAATGATTGCATGATCTTCACTGCAGCACTCAAGTAATCTCATGTCGCCAGTATCCACTAAACGAGTCCATTGGGAGGACGACTCCAACCGCTACGCAGCACCGTCACCTTTCTATGTGACGCTCCTCGTTAGCCCTACGCCTCCCTCACACCAGCTTCCCCATTCACCAGCCTGGCCCCTCTCGTCTCCCAGACACCGGCTATCACCTGCTCCTAGACCATGTCTTCGACTTCGACCACCGTCGCCCTTCCCTCAATCACCACCGCAAAGACGTTCGCATCGGCCCACCAGTATGCAGACGCCTCGACCCAGCACAGCTCCTCGAGCCCCTTCTCCCTCTCCACGACCACGGCGTCACTCTATCTCGCATCCCCACAACAGCCCGCGTTCACCATACGCATCTACGCGAATTCCGCTCCCGTTCACGCGTCTCTCCATTCACCGTGCCCTCCGTCTGGGGACTTGCCAGCCGATCGACTTCTTTACCTCAAATCGTATCGCTCCACACCCTCTTATAGCCTCTGAACCCGCGTCTAACCCACCTCTCGGGAGGGTGTTCATCCTCGTTGAGATAGACAGGGTCGAGAGGTTCAACGTCGAAGTCTACGCTGGCGGAGTGGGGTTCGTCACAGTGAATGACGTGCTTGCACGGATGCAAACTGTATTACGAGAACGCCTCGAGCCTGGGGTGGCAGGCGGGTGCTATAAGGAGAGGTGTGGTTGTGGCTGTCAGGCGCTTGTTGATAGGAGGAGTGGTTTCACGACGATGTTCGACGGCTTGAGCGTGAGGAGCAGCGGCGACCATAACAAATGGCGGGTACATTTGAGGAGGGTAAGGTATAGGGCATAGACGAGGACGCCAGGGAAAGAAACAGATCAAGCACATTGTACACTCAACAGCATCATACGTAACCGGAATGTACCATCACTGTAGTAGTAGTAGTGGCATCATCGTCACAGCTTCTAAGGACGCTGTCATGTCTTCAGCACAGAAACAATTGTAAAGTAAACAAAGACTTACACGTTGAAACGGCGCATGTCTCTTCTACTTTCCATGGCGACGATCGCATTGAAGTGCCCAAGAAATTACAAGGGGCATAGACCATTATGGTGGAAACCGCTAAGGATGTCTCTCGAGTAACATGAACGGCGAAGGTCGGGTTCTCCGTGGGGCCGGGACTTCGAACACGTTATTCAAAGTACGCCACTCCATGTCTTGAGCCGCGTTCCGATCCTCCTCAGGGTACCGCAATATATGCCCGTCCATGAGGTGCAACCCATCTAAAATTCGTTATGTGTAGGCGCGGGACGAACGCTGCAGCACTCTACTTCGCATACTGGAAGAAGTAGAGAGTAGGCAGATACTAAAACGATCCTGCGTTAGAAGGGTTGGTAAATCACAGACAACAGTAATTTACGGCAATTTTGGATGATTGATGTTCCGAAGTTATGATCGATGGAGTCATAGCTGGGATGAAGCCGAGGTATACGGACATAATTCCAGTCCGTTTGATTCCTGTTCCACTTCAAGCTCGCAGCAACGGAATCCAGGACCTGTTGAACCCTAATCCATTCAATATGGTGACAAGAAGTCCAGCGTTCCGGGCAGAACATAGCATCTCCTCTCTGCTTCCGCGCTAAGTGCGTCTCGCGAGACCACGAGATCCAAATTCCAGGATGGCAGCGAATGTTCTTTGAGAACGGCATAGAAGCAAAATCCGCGCTGGTATTACGGTGTAGGGATCAAATCGCAAAAGTTCCACTGTCAAGGTGGAACAAGGGCAGAACCGGGAGGTGGAAGCCCGAGGTTTGATAGTGCCCAACGCCGAGTGGTAGTAGAAAATGCAGACTTTGATGTCTGCCAAAACAAAGAGAATCGACAAGATACATGAGCGGTGGATACTTCGACGAATAGTGTAGACTCTGCTTATTATCTACTCAAGTAAAAAAGGGAACGATGAGAAGGGTTGGTAAACGACAATAGGACTAAGCTTACCATAAGTCCGGCTGATCCAGGGGAATGTGGCACAATGGTTCCAACACCTACGAATAGCGAAGATCGTGCCGGGAGATCGCCCAGAACCGGATGTCGCCACGTACGTTTTGGACAACTGAACCCTAACGGGCCCAGCACTAGTCCCATCAAATGATAGGCCGCTGGGAGTCAGCTTCTGCTCCCAATAGTCACCTTTGCATCCGGAACCTACGAGGACATTGAACGTTCTGCGCACATGTTGCTCAAATTGAAAGCCCTGTCCTCGTCATACGTGCACGTCCCAGGGACAGTAAGAGGTGAGGAGCCGATTGGTTCACGTTAACATCTTTACAACGCACGCGGACAAGAACCCACAGATATAATCATTTGGCAGAGAAAAACGCGCTGCTGATCTAAGTCCCGTGCATCTCAACATGAAGCACAGCCTGAACCAGTTGAAAGCTCCCGCAGATGCAAAACATATAAAAGTTCAACCACGAAAGCAGCAGCTACCGGCTTTCTAAATCCCGGCGACTCTTTGTTGTCCAACATACTATGTTCTTAAGTGTTAGTTACTTAAACACTAAGGAAAAACGTGACCATACCTCGACCTGATCGGACGCGACGCCACGCTGATCTTCGACATTTCAAACGTTAACGTCCATCTTCACACGACCCTGACGTCATCACGAAAGCCTTGCCGAATCCCATAAAGCAAATGTAAGGTTCGACATTCAGCGACGATTTGAACATCAGAGTCCGGCACCAGTACTAGTCACTGCCCGCTGATCAGGATCTTTAAAAATGACGCAGAAAAGGGAGGCAGGGCGCGAGGATGGTGACAGCGAATGGAAAACCATAGGTAAGTGAAAAGCACCTAGACGGGAAGGACGTTTCCGGGATCGTTAGATATTATGAAAAAACGAGGTCTGGCTGCGACCCTAGTGACGATTCGAACGTCGGAGTCCTCTTCACTACCGCTGACATATATCGAACAAGAAAGTCAGTAAAACGCCGAAAAGTGGATACCTACAAAATACCCACCTGTCCTCTGCACCCGAAAAGAAGGTCCGCCCCCCCTTCCCTACTACACCTTTTCTCTCGATTCCCCGATTGAGGAAGTGAATCTCGCCGGCTGGGGGTAGCACGCCCTAGGAACTGGAACGCGCATTTGGTCTTCGAGGCGAGTCTTGAGTACAATTTATGAGGACTTTCAGCTCCGCGACGTTGGTGGGAGGATGGAGAAGTAAAGGTTTGGGCTATTTGAGGACGCAAAGATGTAAAGCGTTGTCCTTTGTCAGCAGCACATTGAACATCTCCTTCCCAGTTATGTGAGGATTGAAGTAGTGGAACTGCGCCCAAGGGAGGAGAACGTTGGGACCATCTCTAGATAGAGGGTGGGAAGATAACACGTGTATTATGATGAAGGACACCCAGCTCGTGTCATGGGATGCGAGCTAGACGTAGATGGGCGGCGAGACGGCGTGCGAGAAGGAAACGAAGATGGGACTTCAAGCTTCAAGCGATCTCCATTCAGTGCCAGTACGTCGGCGCCCGCACGCTGAAGACGACACAGAAAAGAAACGTTGCGGTTGGGATATAGCTACCATACAAGACCTGCCAAAAAGTCAACAAACGCCGACCAAGGGCGAGAGACGCTTACATCCACACTCCCCTAAGCCCCGTCCGACTGATTGATTCATTGCCCCTTTGTCCTTGTAATCCTTGAGCACGTGTCTCTCGAACGTAATACCTAGCCCGTACACCGTGGAATCACTTTGCATGGAGGACCTGTTGAAATCAAGTGATACAGGACATGAGAAGCTCGCTGTGACGGGAAGCACCAGTTCTTCCAGACCTGATACCTCGCTCGCGAGCATCTGAATCGACGACTCAAGGCAGAGAGATACGCAAAGTGTGTGTGTGTGTGCCATAATCAAGGCTCGCGCAAGACTTTGGCATAAAGGCGGAGGGGAGTCGTGTTGAACTTAGGCGGAAGATGGGGATAGTATGGCAATGCTAACCACCAGGCGACGTCGCCTTGAAGTGACGATTCCGCCTTAGTCAAGTATTAGTTTTCGAGAAGAACAGCTGCTCCACTTGGACCACTAACGAGAACCGGAAATATGGTACGGGGAAATCGCTCGACACTCTCGATGAACTTGTTGAAATGTCAGTAAACACCGCGTAAAGGAATTCCTGCCGAGACACGCACAAGAACCTCGAAAAGGAAGTCTGCCGGATTTCCAAGCATCCATCTCACGCGTCACCGCACCCAAGCTCGTCAGTCGGGGGTACCACGTCATGCGGACTTGTCCCTCGTGGAAGAGCCGCCAGAAAGGAGGATTAGGCAAGTGTTGAGCCCAGGACGTGTGATGGGATGCAAACCATACGAGATCCTTGTGCGTGGGAGCGCGACTTGAGCCATCGGCGCTATATTCATGAAGAATCGTAAGCATACGCAAGACCGTCTAAAACAGGTCAACGAACACCGACAAGAGACACAATATCGAGATATGCACGCTCCCTTCATGAATCGAGAGGAAAAGTGGCTATACCTCATAAAACAATGCGCTCTGGTCAATCCAACCTCTAGAGGGCGACGGGATCGCTAGAAGACACGACTCTATCCCAAGAACGAATGTACCGTGACGGTAGCCGGCGAGGAAGGGAGGTATGGTATTGCTGTGGTGAGTTACCGCTGATGAGAATCCTGCTAAAATGTCAGTAAACGCCAAAAGGAAGATACCGCCTACGAGAAACGCACCAGAACATAGTAATCCGTTCCTATTTTCGCCAGAAAAGACAGTACGCCCAATTTCCCTCAAACTACGCCTTGTTCCCCTCAGAACACGCTTCGAACTCCTCATGCGTCAACACCCTCGAGAGTCGTCTCGTGTACCCGTAAACCCAAGGAATATACAACTCCAGGACCGAGGCCTGAGGCGGTAAAGCTCATCAGATCGGGTTAGCACGCCCATCCTGCTCGTCTCATCCGTGTGGGGGTAGAACTACGTGCGCGAGGGAAAAGGCGTCGGGATGTCGGCCTGGCATGCAGGAAGGAGGGGTAACGCGAGTGCCGAGCGAATTTATGACGAGGACGCTCATGGGATGCAAATGATACGATATTTTGATGGAACGGCATGCGAAGGGTATTGGAGAAGGTGGTCGAGGGCGCAAGGCTCGACGTTCGGCGAGTCAGCTCCATATCCAGGAAGCTCGTTGCAGTTAGGGCCGTAGTCGTCACCTGCTAAAAAAGTCAGCAAACGTTGGCGAGGGTAGCAATATCTCGAGACGCACCAGCACTGTCGTATTCTCCTTCATATGTTGATTAACCCCGCTCTCCTGCATCGAATCCATGGCCGTATGCGCTCTGTCGAGTAGAAGACGCCGTGTTGCAATGAAGAGGGCTTGTTGGTTCATGTTAACGGGCTCTGTTGTTCATAGCGGCGCCTCCCTCTTGTCAGCAGCACATTGAGCGCAGATCCTGGAATCCACGCGCTGAGGTCCGTGAGCTCGTGATACCTGGGATGTCGAGCGTTATATCTTGACGCGTGTTGTGTACGTCTGTCCTGGGAGGAAAAAATGGAATTAGCACCCCTACTACTTCAGACGCGTGATTAGTTACATTACCAGAGATAGAAACGTAGGTAGAGGCTTGGGCATGATGAGCAAGAAAAAGGTACGCGTGACTCGTGGTGGTGGTGGACGAAAAGAAATGAAGCACTGATGATGTTTGTTTGTGCCCTCTAGATTCCGGAATATCGTTTCTCCGGCTCTTTGCTTCCCCTCTCGATCACCAGACGGGCTACTAATCCCAGATACAATCATTCAGCAGAGAAAGACGCGTAGCTGATGGGAACCTCCTCGTTGTGTGTTTTATGGCTGGGCAGATCCACGACGGGAGGCGCATATACCACCACAACACATGGTACGCTCTGTCATCAAGCCAGCCTACAACTCATACAGCCCCTCTCCTCTCTGCGTGCTCTACCCTCGGCCACCCAATCCATCCCCGAACCGCCTCCTTCCACTCCCCTTCCACCCTAACCACGACACCCGGCCTCAACAAATGCGCCCAAGCCTGCCTCACACCCTCGTCCAATACCACAGAGCTCCCATTGCTACATGCTGTTGTTCATGTCTATAGCTACCAAGAACGCATGTTGCTAACGTGACCTGATTTGCGTTGCTAAGATTATATAAGGACCTTAACTCTTTTAGATTCTTACACAATGACCAGCTGCGACACCGCAGAGATACCATCCTACTCCCCTACAGTCGACATCAATCCCCTTCTGCGCTCATGGTGCTCGCCTGGACGTATTGATAAAATGACAATGGCACACATACATCTCGATATGATTGCCCTTGACGGCCTTGTCCAATCCCGGCTGGATCGTATCAAACAGCTCGAATCAGAGATTGCGCGCCTCCGTGTAGAACTTGACAACATCAGCCCCACCCTCGACAAGTATCACTCTTTCCATGCGCCTATGCGCCGCCTCCCGCCAGAAGTGCTTCTATCTGTATTCCGCCACATCGAACCAGGTCCAAGGCCGGATAAACGTGCGACACCGTGGGTTCTCACAGAAGTCTGTGCATCGTGGCGTGAGCTGGTCATGAATACGCCGACGTTATGGTCGACGATAAGGATGGACTGTCGGCACGGTTGGGATCAGTATTGGAATTTGCATGGGGTCCAGACTCATCGTACCCGTTACTCCAACTCGCCGCCTCGCTTCGGTATTCGACAAATACGCCCTTGGATATCATTCTGATCTCTGGCCAACAGACCACCCCTATCGATCGCATAGCCAATCTGCTGAGGCAGCATTCCACCAGATGGCGCTCTCTTGTAGCCGACTCTGATGAATTCATTCCAAATTATCTCCCTGTACTGGAGAAGCTCGAGTTACGGGTCTTCTCGACGGTACTCGCTTCTCTCCAGGCACATCGCCTACATACCCTCAGCATTGGCCGACTCTACAACATCCCTTTTAGCATGTTCCCCTCCCTCCGCCATCTCAAATGCGCCATCATCGACTCTATACAGCTTATTGCCCTCCTCGAAGATGCCAAGAAGCTCACCTCTCTTCGAGTCGACTGTAAGGTTTTCGTCCATACCAACTCACCCAGTGCAGACATAACAAGCAACCTCCTTGAACTCCATCTCTCCACTGAAGTACCTGAAACCCTCGCGTACATATCCTTCCCAGTGCTATACTCCCTCACTCTCGGTCTTCCGTCCATTTATGGCCCCATCTACACTCCAAGCGACGTTGATATCCTGAACAACCTTCACTGCCCGCGTCTGCGCACACTCATCTTCCACCACTCCGTCAGCATCCTTTCTCTCGCCAGACTCCTCTCGTGCCCCATTAGCCGCTTGGATCTGGTTGTGCACTGTGAGAGCGTGTATCATGCGCTCAATTCGATACCTCTTTCTCATCTTGAGGACCTGCGTATCACAGACATGTCGGGACCGTGGGAGTCTTTGGAGATGGTCAGGATGGTCAAGGCAAAGAAGAGCTTAAGGAACGTAGAGGTCAAGTCGGCATCGTCTGAGAGGACAAAGGAAATGTTTGGGAAGGCGCGTTTCCCGGAAGGATGTACAGTGAGTTTCAGTGATTGGTGACACAGACACGGTGCTCTCGCGGTTTCTTCCACGGGCTTTTTCATAGTAGCTTGTTCCTCGCGGAGAATATACGGGAGAATGCGATCGACGTGAGAACACAATAATTCCAAGTCTTGTCGTTTCAGTAGCAGTTAACGTTTGAAGGGAATTTAAAAGTTGTGAATGGAAACAGTTGATCCTTGGCGGTATCGTAGGCCAGAAATGGACCTGGTCGAGGTCGTATGCCCCTGCTGCGCTTCATCTATCTTCGGTTCATTCATTATTACCTTGAAGCAATAATAAAGAAGCGTTAGGCATGTTTCGCAGAGAGATAGCAAACCCATATGTTGATCTTCAGAAAAGAGGTGGAGTTCTGGTCTGGGGTAAGCCGACCATAGAGCTGCGAGCATTTGGATCGCCGATTAACTGGACAATGTCGAAATATATTCCAATTCTCAGACGGAACAAACGGCATGCACACCTTCAATTCGAAGTATCGAGGATAGCCAGCTACTGAGTAACTTCAAATCTGGGCATCAAATGTTGAAGGGCAATAAATCTGAATTCATTGCGTCAAACGTGATGGTGTTGGTGTTGGTGTTGTTACCGGCACAAGGTCCCAATAAGGAACGGCCGGGCCCACAGCCCTGACATAGCGAACCATGTACTGTGGCCACGAAGGCTCATACCGTTGTGATCACGCTTTTGAGTGTGTCGCGCGGAGTAGAGACTCTTCATGGGGTACCCAAAAAAAGTCATTCACGAATAATATAACGGTACGGTACTAAATATGCGGAAAACGTTGAACACATATTTAGCGAGAGCTCCAACTATTTTCATATCATCTGCTCCCAGTAGGACGTGTATTACTTCAAAACAAGACGCCGCGATTTCAACAGATTCGCAAAATGGCTGGTGGCAATTAGGAAATCAGACCGCAAATCTTCCAAAGATTGTGATCTGTCGCAGTACAACAAAGCGTGCGACATAGGTAAAGCAGGTGAATAAGAAGCTGAAGGAATGTGAGCCACCGCGGCAATGGAGGAAATACTAACCACCGAAATAATCTCGGCCCGCCGCTGAACCACTTCATTCCACTCCGGACCTGCCCCCCCAGATCTTATTCAAATGTGTATGTTAGCAACTGGTACCGATGTATATATCTCCGTAGCAGATTGCTTAACTTGCGGGAAGGAATGCAAACTTTTACTAGACATATGATAACCACCTTCTCTTTACGCACGGTTTGCCTTTGGTACACGTTACCGAGTACATGGTCATCAGTTCGTTGCGTTGTTACTCTCCTAATCAATCCCTTCATCCATCTACTTGCATTCGTGGTTCTCTCGTCCACAATCACCGTAGGAACAAACTGGTACTTGAAACCGACCTCCCGGTCAAACGCTCTACTCCATGTTCGTATCCTTCATCACATCCGCTGCTTTTTTAACTTTGGCGAACAGTAATTATCAGTTTCCTGGTGCCGAGCTCGTTATCACACAGGCTTCCCCTCTTCTCCCACTGTCATGAGAACTAACCGGCGTTTCATCTTGCACTTTGTTCGGATGTTATTTCTTGTATAGCCGGTGGATCGTTTCATGCGGTTCTGCGAGTACTTATATCGAGTCATCCATATTACCCCCGATGGTGTGTAGTCTTTTCTGATTGAAACATGCATATAATCGTAAGAACGTCGGGTATGACGGTCGCCTACTTCATGGGAACACCAAAGAAAGAGGTGACTGCTAGGTTTTGGATCTATCTATGTACCTGCGACAATCCTCGTCAAAAACCATAGAACGAGCCTGAGGCAAGGTACACCTTCAAGGAAAGGAAGAAATAATAGGATGAATGATATCAACATAGAACGTGCGACGAGTTAATTATCCTGAGAACTTGAGGTAGCAAACGACGAGAGATACATCGTTGTTGTGATTGTGCCGTGGTGAATGTTAACAAGAACCTTTAACTTCTTCAAGAGTTCCAGCCCGTGGCACGTGACACGGTCCGGCCTGCCGCAGGTATTGGTCTATTTTTGATCACCCTTCGCTTTGCTTCTTTTCTTTTCCTCCAACACGAACACACGGCCACCCTCTTCGTATTTTCGTCTCCCATTTCCCATATTCGTGAACTTCAGACATATCCATACAATAATGGACTGAAAACTACCTTGCCTTCCAATGCCAGGCTGATCTCGCTGGCGAATTTCGAAACGTGCTGTAGTGGAGTCTCTTTAATACAACGAAGGGTTACATTTTGGCCATTTCAGGCGCGCGGTGCAGGGAGATGTACGTATATCATATTTTCCGCTGGCTGTCGGAATTCAAGAAATTTTGCGATAGTCTCGAGGCTGCAGTGTCGAGTCTTTGTTTGCCATTATCGCGAGGGTTGAGATCTAGTACATGGATGCCTGAACCTGTGCACTACCGAGTCTCTTTGAGCGGTTTGATCCCTTACAGTAGGGACTCAACTGTTGCTTGGGTATAAGACGGTAATCTAATGGATCTCCCGCAACGCGTACTTCCCCGAAGAACCCTGTTGTAAAGCGCACACCCGTTCCTGGACTAGCCAGGCGTGTCCGGCCTAAAGAACTATCACCATAATCAGCTTAGCTCAGACCTGTTCCTACCATGTAGGTGTTGGTTTGTGTTCACGTCTGCGACATTGTGACGACTGCTGAACGACATAAAGCTCGGGGTTACCGCGCTGTGGTAGTCGTAGCATGGCAATGCTGTAAGCCATGTTCTCTGTCGTCTCTTTCCTGCAGTTTCACGGATACGCATAGTTCTAGAGCTGGAGGGGTATGCTATTGCTTGCTTTCGTTTTGGTACCTATTCGCCCTCAAAAGAGTTCGAAGATAATATATTCGTCGAATCGTTATCCCCGGGAAATATACCACTCCGAACAGTGTAGTAAGCTCATTTCGGAGTTTTATAATGATGAGCGTTTCGTTTCAGCGCTTATAATGGGTCCAGCCAGTTCAAAACATTTTATTTTTACTGAAAGTTTGTACCGGTTGCAGCGCAGGAACTCACCGTTCACAGTTGGCACCCGTGATCGTTAGGAAGAATTGATGTCGAGAGAAGATTCGACTACTTTGAGTTCGACCGGTACGTAATCCACGCTGTCCCCCTCAAAAACTGATACTGACTCGGGGTGAAGGTACTCACTTGTTGTCTACTGTCTAGCTGTCAAGTGTGACTCCCGTCGCAGACGCAAGTCTGAGGATCAGCGCCCTTTGTTTACGACGCGAAAAGAAGGGAGTATCTGACATCGAAGACTGAGGGATATATAGGCGCGGGGAAGGTGGCAAACACGGTGCAGCACGTCCACGCCGACAAGCAGAAAAGGATAGGAAAATTCAGGAGAAGGTAATTTTTGTGCGTCCTTCCGTATAGGGTTTCTGACCTCAGGTCTGAATTCTACGAAGCCTTCGAAATCGCACTTTCCCACCTCATATATACTTGGCGGATCATATGTTCCCTGATCCGTAACGGCAGTCCCGCGCAGGCACTCCTACAGACACCTACGTATACAGTAAATCCCTCGGTGTATTCGATTACCCGAAGTGTACAGAGTGCGCAGAGGACGCCAGTTCGAAAACTAAAGAAACAACTCTAGACGTTTTCACTTCCAGAGTACAGGTGATACATGACACAGTGGCTCGTTGTCAATGATAGAATTTGATGATGGTTTAACCTGATGGGATGGTCGGGGTGGAACTATTAGCGAAGCTAACGCTCCTTGGCTAGGAAGCCTTATTAATGGCAGTGGGTATTGTACGCCTGGCAACGGGCCGGAACGAGTGCTGATTAGAGGGTGATTGGTAGGTACAATTAAGAGAAAGTCTGATTCTGACTGTGTTAATGGACAACGATTAGAAATCATGAACAAGGCCCGACGTACGAGTGTCATCGTCAGCTTTCTTCGAGCCATATATCGAGGTATCTTCTTCGCAGACACTTCACTTGGTCATTCAGGTCCAGTATCAACCATGTGCACGGCCCGCAAACTCACAAATAGTCTTGACAGGTGTAACACTACACAGAAGTAGACTTGCGCTCTTATGGTTACATGCGGGCGCCACAATACCCCATAAAGTAACCGGACCGCCAAAGTTGCACGAAAGTCGCTCGAGACATGACTTATCAACCTTCCGGCATCCTGGCTTTGTATATATTAGTTGAGCATTGGAATAGAGGGATCTCTCTTACAATTCCCCAGACTGCGACCAATGGAAGTGTTGGGCACCTACGGTGCGATGCTGGCGGGCGGGTTCGTTGCAGCGATGTAAGTGCGTATCTCTTGGCTACTATTCCAGATGGCTAATCTCAAAGAACAGGTTGAGCGGAATCGTCACTATACAAGCTCTCATCTATTTTAGGCTCTACATGCAGGATTCCTGGTGGAGGAAGACCATGGTGCGCAATTTTCTCGCTTCCGTTTGTATGGCCAGCTAATTTGAGGACACACAACAGGTGCTAGCTGTTTGGTACGCCCGATTTCGATACCTCCATGCCTGTAACGATCACCAATTCACTGCTAGGGTCCTTGATATTCTCCATTCCACATTCATTTTCATTTCTCTTTTTGACTATCTCATTACATACTTTGGTGCTCTGGATAGGACTGATCACATTCCTTGGTGAGCATGAGTTCTTTCATATTCCTGAAATATCAACTCATGCCTTAGACGCACGAAGGTCTATTGCTGTAAGCGCCATTTCCACCATAATCGGACGCTATTGGCTCACGTCCTAATCAAAGCTTACTATCGTGGTTACTGTACGCTCCACTGCTTTATTTTTATCGTATTACGATGCTTAGTGCGCTCCTAGGCCATACAAACACTAATCGCACATTGGTATGTACCCATCAATTCCGCAATAGTATCCGAAAGGCTAAGCTGTTACTCAGCCATTTTTCCGAGAAGATACATAGATGTACGCGATACGGTTGCTGCTGTCGGAGCCGCCTGCTGACAATTAAACTTTCTAGCTAGTGATAAGAATTGGGCTATAACCATTCCTATCGTAAGGGTTACACTTTATTTGGTGCCGACTGGGTTTAACCTTTTGTCCGTCTAGCTTTTTCTTGCATTTTTGCGGCTTGGTGAGTGATTCCGATCTCTGTGATGACAATCCTGTTTGAATAATTCCTACCCGCCGTTTCAGGAGCGGCGTCTGGTAAGCATCTTACCAGCTGACCCTTACACAAGACTGACCATGCTGAATTGTGATGTGCAGTTTCTACGTATGAAATGTAAGCCTTCATCCTCACATCCGCTTGGTCCCATCCTGAGTCACTGTGATAGGATACGGCTCCACCGATTCTCCGTCTTCACGGAATCTTATCCTGGCGTTAGTCTCATTGGTGTAGATGGGCGTACTAATTCAAACTGACATCCGATGATAGTGGATCTTCACTACCGGCCTCTCCCTCTCCTCCGCTGTTGATCTACTCATTACGGCTTGGCTGTGTTATTTCCTGCACTTACTGCGACGGAGGATTGACGTTCAATCCTCGTACGTACATCCCCTCCCTGAATAGCAAATATGGTGGCTGAAACGTTTCATGGATAGTATACTACAAGTCATAGACTCGTTAACTCTTTACACACTAGAAAATGGACTGCTTACGAGGTAAGGAAACTTCGTTCATTATTCGTCGGAGCACTAATCCATTGATTTACAGTGTAGTAACAACAGCTTCGTTGATTTGTGTAGGTCCTACATGTTATTGTCTAATTTATCCTGATCTCCCTGGTTGAACAGTGGCTCGTCATGCCCACAAACCTTGTATTCCTTGGTCTTCACTTCGTCATTGAGAAGTGTAAGTGATTCAACCCCGCTGATGCTTGCTGCTTAGATGATCTCTACCAGTGTATGCTAATTCCGTCCTCGCCTCGCTCAATACGCGCAAGGAACTTCGCGAACTGCGTCAAAAAATGAGAGCATGGGGCGACCTACCGGTACTTTCGTCAGAGGACTTTTACACGCAGTACCAACCCCGGCATGCAGAGGTAAGATGTCTCGTATATGTGGCATTCCTTGTGGAGTTTAATGGATGGTTTCATTCGAACAGGTTGCTTATCGTCCGAGGGGGAAGATACGGCAGGTGCGCTTACTGACTGCCTTTCATGAATGAATGCTGATATTTTTGTCATCATAGCTCGAGGTAACCGTCAAGAAGACAGTTGAACGTGTTGTGCATGACGAAGAGTCCATGCTCTCCCCCCAACGGGAGTACTATTCGCCCTACTCGAGGCTGACTCGAAAGCCTACAGTGTTGGAATGGCGTAACTCCAGGGGTGCTGAGAGATGGCATCTTTGATATTGGCTCCTCCCTTTCTCATATTTCTTACTCTCACCTCTCATGTACCGTTCCCTTGCCACCACTAGCTCTTGCTTTCTTCACTGCACCGAATTGTATCAATATAATTGTCTTTGTGTAATGCTCTTTTTAATCGTACTGAGTAATTCCAAAGTAATTCTTCCATTCCTTAATACAGTAGTTTCTTATTACTCCGAGCTTATAGTTACTCCTCTTCGCGCCGACCGCATTTAACAGGAAAATAAATGAGAGCCTGTCTGAAGTCTGGAAGCGCACATTGACCTTGTGCAGAGGTGCTTCCGGGAACTCGCATTTGCTTTAAGATTTGCGCAGGTGGACCACGTTTCGTTCGACCAGTAACTGTATGATCATCCTTTAACACATACTGAAGTGTTTCCACTAATACCCGTAGTTCAAAACTTCCTGCTTCTGGGTCTTGAATTGACCTATCAAGTTCTCGATGAGTTGGAAGGTCGTGTCATTCGCACTGGAGATTTCGTAATTATACGTCTGGAGACGGTTAGGAAAGAGCAGAAGGGCTGAGCGTGACTAGCAGACACGAGATACGGCCATTTGGTAGACACATATTCTTGCGCCGACAGTCCATATAGAAGTTCATAGATAGGCGGATGAATGTGATAACAAGCCGCAGGTCACTGCACGCATTAATGAAATAGCTGTATTGAGATAGACGACTGCCGAGGCGACTGAAGCTTCCCCCCCGGGACATTGGCATTACTGTACCATTTCGTTCAATTCGAATGTCACGCGTCACAGCGAAAAAATCTGGCAATGGAAATGATTTTTTCTCGATTATTCCGATTTCTTTTGAATTTTTTTTGGTCGAAAATTCTTGGATTGCATTCGAATTGATCGAAATGGTACAGTAACTCGTTCGAGAGCGGATGTCGGGCCACATCATTGATATCAGAGTCACATTAGATGTTTGATCTGGGAGTAATGTTCTGAGTGAGAAGTGTGAGCGCAGAGGCTTGAATCGGAATAAGATGCTCAGTCGCGTCCGAAGGGGGGGACCCGGGCCGAAACAGCGGATCTTCCCAATCTGTATGTTGTTGTTTATCCATCCCATCCTTTCTTCTCGACCACCATCTTCTCTCATCGATCAGCCTCAGCTGTCCTCTTGTATTCTCTTTTCTAGTGTCCCGTTCGTTATGAGATGCCTGACTGCCTTATTATTCCTCTTTGACCAAAAATATGGACCCTTAAGTTAGCCACCGCCGCGATGCGTGCTCGCAGGTATGGATTGTTTTTTCTCTCATGTTTCTTTGTACATTAATGCCTCGTACAGATATTTTGGTTCTGCATTGATTGAGCGCCCGTACAATGCGATGGCTGCTAATATCGGACAGTTGAGGCAATGAAATAAAAAGGTGCGTAGTTGACATGTATGATCCGTAAGATTGTCCTAATAAGAAGTAGGTTCCCCGTATTTACCCTCATCTAAGAGCATTGGACGGTCTTGGTGTGCATTTTCAACCATGTCCGGCCAGAAGCGTCTATCATCACGAACGAAAATCCGTCAAAGACGACGTTCTCTAGCAAATAGTCGACGAGTTTCAGAGGCGGACTCGGGACGAGTATTCCCACTTTCAAGTTGTGTTCGGTCTGGACCCGATTCATCCACGCCTTCGCGATCTCTTTTCTCCTCCATCTTTCAATCGACCTCCACCAAATCCTACTCTCGACGTTCTTCATCAATTCTGAATACACAAGCTTCAGCACTCGGCGTGCCGACAAGAAGCGCCTCTCGCTGATTGGGATCTCGATTGGGTTTGGCAGACCGTCGACTAGAATCACTGCGCCATCGATCTTTGGAGTGCAGATTGACTGCTTCCAGTCGTTGCAATCTTGGAGTCTTGGGTCGTCTGTCAGGAAGGTTTCCACCAAGGCCGGGTTGCCGTGCTCGAATTCGGCCAAAATTTTTGGTGCAGAGGAGACCGGATGTTCGGGCCGACGCTTGAGAATTCCACTGGGTGGGGTGGCAGTAACTGGAGGCGCGTTGTTCGTGAAGATGGGCTTGCATCCTGCCGCTTCGATCCATCGGATATGGAGCTTGTTGTCGAATTCGACTTTTTTGTTATCATTTTCGTTCGGGCCTATGTTGTTTCGAGCGTTTCCTCCTCCTCGACCTACCGTATTTGATCCTCGTGGATCGACCTCTGCACTACCTTCCGGATCGTTTGTTCCTGACTCTGGGTTGGCGGAGATCTGTTGCTCCTTACCCTCGATCCTGAGTGCGATTCGCTCGCATGCAACCTTGTAGGCCCGTTCGCGTTGGGAGAGTGGTTTGCGGCCCATTTAACTGGATAGCTGTTGATTGGTGGAGAAATCGCTGTAAAATGGTGCCCTGGCAATCTATCGGTGGTGGCTGTCGTTAGCCTCGGAGATAATAACGTTGACGACGGGCTCAAGTATCACGGAACTGGTGTCTGTTCTGGGCTAGAAGGGTGATGATAGAGTCAGTTGTCAATTTTTCTCGAAGGAAAGAAAGAAACCAGGGTCTGCTAGTCTTGGGGATGGTGGTGGTGGTGTAGATTGTGCGACAGGTTGCACAGGCCGCCCATTTTCTGCTTATAAATTGCCCGTGACCGTGTTTTGTCGTAACGCGATGAAATTTAATAAAAACGTGACAATCTAGAACAGTCTTTTGTTCGCGTGAAGGGCAATGATGACTTTCAATGAGAACTTGTCAGGGTCCTAGCAGGTTTACCAAGGAACATCTTACTGTAAATGCGTGTTTCCGTATATATCCTTGTATTTAGAGGCTGCGCTGGGTCCGATAACCGGGAGAGCGGATATTGAGAAGGCAGGAATGCGAAAAAATCAATCCGGTGAGCCTGGGAAGTGAAAGTTTGGACTTTACGGTATGGCCGGGACGTCATTTAGTGTTACAATAGGAACGGCGCGTCTGCGTCGCGTGAAATGAATGTTTAAACGAGTCGCAATATCGCAATACATATCTAGCATGGTGAGGGACGGAGCTCTTGCATCGGGGGTAGTCTGGCCGGGGTCCGGTTCGGTCCAGGTTCAGGCATATTTGCCTGAACCTCGAACCTGGACCTCGAGGTTCACCTGCCGCCCCCCCGAACCTCGAACCCGAACCTGAGGTGCAGGTCCAAAAGGTTCGGTCCAGGTTCGGTCCGGGTTCGAACCGGGTTCAGCAAAAAAATTTTATTACGCGCTGTAGACTGTGATATTCATACATGTGATACATGATTACTCTATGACCAAGTTTCCATCATCAAAGCATGGCCCGATTTCCATCTGTGCTTCGTTCTGTGCACTGATACGTCCATCCCAATAAGCTTCCTTCATGGTGCCGAACTTCTCTGCATCAAAATTGCGACAGCGAGGGTCAGAGTCTGTGCGACCTGCATATGAAAACATGCATTCTGAAGGCACAGAAGATCCTGGAATGGCAAAATAAATCTCAGTTCTATGTATTAGATAGCAATCAGCAATTTAGCACGATATAACTTCTGAAAGCTTGACCTGAACTTTACCTGAATTTTTCGAGGTTCACGAGGTTCAGACCGGGTCCGAACCGGGTTCAGAATTTTCAAACAGGTCGAACCTCGAACCTGGACCCAGGTGGCTGTGCCGGACCTGAACCTGAACCGGACCTGGACCTGCAGGTTCGGTTCGGGTTCGGACCGGGTCCACACGGTCCTGAACCGGACCGCGGCCAGACTAATCGGGGGCATAGCTCAGTTGGGAGAGCAACAGACTGTAGATCAACTGTCCATAACGGAGTTGCGAGGCCTGCGTTAAAGTATGAGGTGGCTTCGAGTTCGTTGATTGATGTGCTGACAGTGTTGAGCACGGCCAAAGTTGCTCAGCATGTCCAGGATTTTCTCGATTCCTTCCCGCCCATTCAGTACGAGTAGACTGATCCCAAATTTTGAGATGAAGTTATCATATGACATGGTCGCTTATTTCGAAACAACCCGTAATCTAAGATAATAAGAGGGATTTCCGGTTTTCTCGTTTGTAGAGCTTGTGGTGCCTAGGGCAATTGACGGGTAAAGGCGGTCGATTTGGACTAAAACTGGCTAATTCGGAGAGTCTAGGGGATCGAACCGGTCGCGGCAGGTCCCCAGTTCAATCCTGGGTGCCCCCAATCTCTTGGATTTCTTGCCTTTTTTCTTTCACTTCGGATATTTTGATTATAGTCCTAAATACCCTTCGATGAGATAGCGCACGAAGCCTCCAAGGGCTCAATTATAGTTTCTTACCGATCCTCTAACCAAGGGGGGTTTGATACCGTAATTTACCGTTATTTACCGGACATAAACTTCGGTGTATCAAAGTGCTTTTCCCTACACTTAGAAAATTTGAAAAATTCCCACTACCTTGGTAAGAAAACGCTAATGGCACCGAATCTTGCGGTAGATTCGTGGGATCTAATTGATTCACCTGTCTCCTGAATCGGCTGATCCAAGGTGGAGCGTTGCTATGTCACGTTCACTGTTGGTAGTCTTGTTTTTTGCTCTCTTGTCTCACTGTCAAAAGCCTACTACTAGGATCTCTCTTGTCTCACCCTTCGACCACCTATCAGGATTTCTCTCGCGATGTTACCGAGTACATGCGCCCCCAACGGTGCTCCTTCCTCAGTTTCCGTCTCCCGAACACGCTCGCTCTTAATATTTCAAAAACGACGTTGGATGCTTTCACCATCTCGCTGGTGACATCTCGGGGTTCATACGACGTGAGGGTTTGGTCCAAACAGCAGGAGGTTCATTTGACATTTGTCTCGGTTTAGATTGGCTTATAGCGTTGCGGATTGGTGCTCCTGATGACGGTGAGCATGCCATCTGTCCTTCCACATCTCTGTACGACCTGATCCCCAGCTAGGATCAGTACCTTTCGAATTCGAAAATCTTCGTTCGGTGTACAGCCTTCCAGACTCTCCACGCATTTTTCACTCAACTTTCGTTTGACTCCCCCTTGCACGAATTGGCAGCCCATGGCATACTACAGAAGATTGACTGTATGTCGACGAGACCACCTCTTTCTGAACTTGCTCGTTGAGCATTTCCTATCTGTCATATTTCGTCTCTGAGTGGCCCTCACGGTGTCAATTCTACGTTTAGGCATACCGTACCGACCTCTTAGCCGTGTTCCCTCTGCCTGCGCTCTTGCCTTTTTGGCGCTTTCAAGTTTCTGGCACCATCTGCATGCGAGAATAAACGGACCAGGCAATTGACAGTTTAACAGGACTCTTGGCACTTGTTCGCTCCCCGGTCCTGTACAAGGGCACAGTTGCTTATATGACAGCTTATGTTCGACCGTTGCTTCATGATGCTGCCTAGAAAAGACCTCGCTAGAATGGCGGATGCACATCTCTCATCAGGTACTGTTAATTCGTCAGTTGATGATTCAAGGGATGTCCTCTGAGTGACCACATTTTTGGGGTAATTGCGCTCGGACTGGCTCTCATTCTATCCGGTGGGCTGTTTCGACCCTCCTCCTGCATGACGGGGTTAGGAGTCGTAATAGGTGTTCGTAAGTTCAGTTCGGATCTCGGACTTGTTCGAGGTAGTTGACAACGCAAACAAAACTATGTGAATGTTTTTAATGCTAACCTAGATACTTTACCACCATCCTGGTTTCCTTCATCAGTTGACACCTAAACTCCCCATTGAAAGATCCACATATTTCTATACCCTCTCAGCACCTGACGTTCAATATTTAGACACTCTACAGCGCGTGCCTTATCGGATCTCAGGCTCTAGCCGTTAGCATAAAATCGTAGAAGTTTAGACTCTGATTGGCAACCACTACTACTCGCACATCGCACAAAACTTTGGAGACAGAGCCAAAAATGAGGGGCAATCCACCAAAAGAGCTGACTGAAAATAAGGTCCACGATACCGTCAGGGAATGATACACAATACGGGTGGCTGCTCGTAATAATATTCATCTGACTGGTGAGAGGGGACGGTAGGACAGGAAGGGAGACCGAATCGTGTTCTGATTCAGTAATGACAATTTTCTTCTTCTGCTCATTGAGTCTTGACATGAGCGACAGCCAGCAGCTAGTACTAGTATATAAAGTCAAGACTTACGTGTTAATGTCATCATGGTAGGATACCAAATGCCTGCTTGATGTGTGGTGTTTTGGAGACAACTGGGTTTGTCATCTTCACTCACAGCGAAAACCGCCGGACAAGACGGTTGGCTCCAGTTATTTAAGGTAGCGGGCTTTGCCGCGCGCGGCCCTATTCGTTATTCAGAACGGTCGTTGACAATAGATAATCCGTATCCTAGTACGTTTGTGTTCGACGAAATCTCACGCTGGTGTCGTACTCTATTTACGAAATCGTGATTCGCTGTCACTCACTATACCTGGGCTAACCATACGTTGGCTTTTAGTCGGGACCCTAGCTGCTGCCATTTTACAAGACATCTGCCCTAATGCACCAGACCGTACTCCCGGACTCAAATCGGCAGGTTGGGCATAATTTTGGGTCCATAAAGCTTTGCGTGACGACTTGGCATATTGATAACATTGATATATTACCGGTCAGAGACACGAATAGGCGCGCGCCATAATACAGACACCGCATCCCGGCATTCGCACTGGGGGGATGGTTCGTTTACGAGCACATTCCGGTTCTTCTGATTCAACGGGGTCAAGCGGTAGGAACGAGGGTTCTAAAGGTCAATCAGCGCTGTGATTCTATACTACGCGTCTACATGTCAAGCCGTCTAAGCCTGACCAATGGCAAGAGCTTGCTCTACAGTTAAGTCTCCTTTAACAACGGACTGCACGACAGGCAGTGCTCTAGAGAAATCATCAAAGAGGATATGCTTAATCCCTTCGCGGGTACAGTACGCCGCCAAGTCATTGTCTCCTTGATCTTTCGTCTTTACGAACAGAACATCCGCATGCTTAGCAGCGGACATGTCTATAAGGATTAAGATGAGCGCGCTGCTGGGACATGCACAGATGATACTGACCCGATACTCCGTCGCCGAAGAAAAACAGCGTTGGAGGATCTGGAAGATCGCGGTAAGGAAGAATCGCCCAGGACTTGTCGTGTCCAAATCCACTGCGACGACATCAGGGAGTGGGAAAGGACCGGTGGAAAGAAACTGACCTAGTAGGATGTCTAAATTTAATGGACCACGTTCCGTCCTCGTGGAGGTCCACATCGTTAGATATGATCTCTATTTCATTTGCTGCCTCTTCCCCAAGGAGATTCGAAAGCACGGCACGAATAGTTGGGGTCATACCGCTTGTTTCATGTTAGATCAGAAATGCAGTGCATTGGGAGGCTGGGCCAACCTGGAGACAATAATGACTGGGATGTCGTTGGCTTTACACCAAGCATAGAAGTCCTTGAATCCGGAATCGAGTTGTATATCTGGGCAACGTGTTATTTCATCCGATGTCGAACAGGAAACCGTGACTGACTCTTGCGCAAAACATCCTTACACTCTTCAAATGAATGTCCGTTAGCAACGACGCTGGCTAGCATCTCCCGAAAGGCATCCCTAAAGCACGTGTAAATTGATGGAATTTTTGGTGTTTCCACTGGACGCACCTGAACGTAGCCTTCTCTGTGAGAATGTCCAAATTCCCTTGTCTCCTTCTCTCCTTGCCGTACCCAAGGTTATCGGTCATATCTTCTCAGCGACGAGTAAGCACCCTCATTTCCTAATCCATGAATATATTAGACGCACAATCATTCGAGTCGCACGTCGTTATCGTGCCATCCCTAATATACGTCGGCACGTTAGTACCTCCTTCCTCCGATGATTACGATTTCAAACCAATCGGATAGAATAACGAATTTTTTGTCCTTGTGGACGGGCGGGTAGGGTAGTGTGCTTGCTGGCGCTGAGTCGGACATATCGTGATGGCAGTAAAGATGAAAGAAAAGGCAACGCCGTGGAGACCGATCAGTGTTGCGGGCGGACCATTCCGATCTAATCTTATCTCGGCGCGTATAGGGGTGTCGCAAATAGTTGAGGAAGGAAAGGTCCCCGAAGTGCCCCGAATGTGATGGAGGGACACATTTTGGAGAAATTGACTCAGCAGATGAGAATACGGAATACTCTAGGAAACATCCGGCCGGAAATTTTCGTGAGTTTTCTTTTCGCTTTTGGACAGTGATACAATCTCACAACGTAAGAGATTTAAACTACCTGGATTTCATACTCTACTTAGATTCCAGTTGTTTTTAATGATTTCATAACTTGGTACCGGGAGGAAAATAACCCAATCCATGGTTCTGGCTCCTGTCAAGACTTCAACTTAGACATTGGCTTCACATCTCCAGCGGGTTTGATACAAAATAAAGAGAATGACCCTATGCTTGTTCAAAGAGATTTCAAGATGAATCCTAGAAGAAACTGGAACAGCCATCGCCAGCGACTACAAAGCAGTTGCAGAAATTTGACACTTTACGTTCATGCGATTTTCCTTGGATTACAAACTCGGTGGTCATGGCCTTCCGACCTGTATAATCTGGGCGCTGAGCATCAGCTTTGAGGCAATAGGGTGGTACGAGGGAGGAAGACGAATCTAAAGGGGAATAGAATCAGATTCGGTCCGACTCGGACCGTAACGGAGTATTGAAGGGACCTTTCTCCTGCTGCCTTTTGGCCGTTTACCGCATTATCGCGGTAAGCCTGTATTCTATCCTCGACCCTTAGCGTTATTAAAAGATTTCAAGATCAGCCTCTGAATCTAAATCGCGGGAGAGAATCACCAGCGATCCTCGGTTGGCGACGCCGTTTTACCGACCTTCGTCTTTTTTCCCAACACGACAGGTTCCGCAGCTCTGATATCCTCATATTAGAGGATGCTGAAGGCCTTTATCCTAATACGATCGGACCCTATAAGCTAGCAGCTTTGGCATATCGTCGTATCATTTTAACAAAATTTGCAGAAAAGGTGCTGGTCCTTCCCGTACACTCCAAGGGTGCCAAGCGAACAGCGGTTTCGATAACGCTTTTATCGGACTCCCGTCTCCGCCCTCCCTCTTGCAGAAGAACTCGCGGCGCGATTATTTTGGACGTGTCCACTGCTAGAGTCTAGGACTGAGCTGAACCCGGGTACACAATGAAACCAGTTTGACCACATCTGCTGAAAACATGAAAACTACTAACGAAATTATTCAGGCTTCTATAGTGATGTATACTACGGAATGTTCTCAGAAAAGAAGCCATCGCTTGAGGAAATCGCCGTTCGAGAACCCAAACGGCAAGGATAGCCATTCGTGCGAGGTTTTCTTTGCAGTAGCTTAGGCGTTCTTCACGCTGGTTCCAATTTTCAACCGTTGTTGACGGGATGACGTTAGATCCAGTCCGATGGCCTCAGTATACCATCCCTTAAGATCTCCTTGGGGAATTGCCGTCTTCCGGACAGGCTGCTAGGCTATGAGTATCTATCTCCTTCATAGTTGAATGAGGGCTTAGCCCCTTGACCTACTACATTGATACATCTAATTTAATTGCATTTAGAACAATTTACTTGTCATGTTGATATTGGTGGGTCGTCTAGACCATGAGCCATGAAGTCCGGCACCAAACTCCCTTGATGAAGAATCGAGATGTTAATGCCCCAATATGGGGTCTGATCTCAAGGATAGTCAGGTGAGCGTTCTCCTTCGGAGTTTTTCCCCGTTCCTCTGACAGCGCCTACATTCATCCATCTGAGGCAACAGAAATATGGGGCTGACGGTAACTTTTATGTAGCCGACGATGAAACTTAAGAAAGAGGATGACATGCATTACACAACCTGCGCGCGCAATGGAGCAGTACCGGTGTAAGCAAATTCCAGTGGTTACATTTCTGCGCCTTGTCTTGAGGGTTATCCCTCTGATCCTATCAAAGGACTTGTCAAGGACCTGAACCTGACACAGCACGTGGCAGTACGTTTTTATGCCAGTCTCTTTCCACGTGTACGACGAATGATGCCTGGAATGAATGAGAGAGATTGATTCATACAGTTTTCAAACGCTGTTGATACAAGAATCACGATCGAGGCTAATGGGTTCGTATTTCCAGGTGCGATTATCAACTAAGGACTCCTGGCCAAGTAACCAAGGAATTGGTAGTGTGCCCAGGGCTCCAAGGGGGTCCTAATACCAAATTAAAAGACAGTGGGTCGATTAAATAATTTCGTGCACCGGCGTCGGACCTACCTACCTCCACGTGATATATATGACGTCATGTACTATTTTTGGTATCCGGTCCGTTTTCCGACTGTGAGAAAGGCGACGTGTCACCATCAACGACGAAGCAGTTGCTTTGTCTCGCACTCTCACCACTCATGTTTGACTGTTGCACTCAAGATTACATCTCTTCGGGTGATTATCATTATCCTTTCAGTGAAAATTATCCACGCTAACATGATTATACCGATTTGACCTCAATAGTTGATTGATAGTTGACTATTTGAATACTACCCCATACATGCGGCGTCATCGTCATCGGGGGCCCCGCATATGTCAGTGTTTCCCCCTTTTTTTGCTACACGCATTGCAGCGCCATCCTACAGGGACGTAGTCGACACGAAGACATTCAAGATGGAACTAGGACCTCAAAGGTAAATCTCATTTCCGTACTGTGGAGGTGAGAGCATGTACTTACCCAGATTGTTTCACAGCCTCTACTCGAGCAGGACACCGCATCTGACCTATCATTTTTAGGGACGGCATCGAATGCTCTTTCCGGTGTGGTAGCTTTGTTGGCCCTGGCGCAAATGTGGTCAAGGAGATAGGCTGATTTTAGAAGCAGTGGTGCCTGCCGCGGCAGGATAACAGTAGATAGCACATGCTACATAACAATATTGATTCTTTCCGCTGCTGTAGAGTGTATCTCTTTGCTTAAGTTGGTTTTGGAACATTAGAACAGATTTTATGTGTATTTTGGTTGATTTCAGCACATATTTAGGCAAATATAACTAGGGTCAACTTTTTTTTTTCGTGACATCCGGCTGGACCTACCTACCTACCCGGTGTACCGGGCCGGAATTCCGGTACCCCCTTGCAGGGCTCACGTTTTCTCGTTCGCAATCAAGCCGAGCGGCTTCTTCGGGAATCGGGACGATCAAAGTGACTCAGTGTGGATTCTCGCCGTGTATGCTCCTGGCTGTGCGGATATCTTTAAATCATGAGTGACGTGGCCATCAACGCAAGGCAAGTAGCCGGCGGCGGCAGATGCTTTAGTTCCGTATGTTGAATTCATTCTGCTTGTCACATTGCAGATAGATTGACCAACAACATTCATATCTGACATCTCATTGCTAGGTATCATGTGGGTCTGGGTGTTTGCGAGTCTTATAGCTTGGAGGGCTTGGTGGCTTCAACACCTACCATGTTATCAGTGCCTACCGATATACCCTTTTCGAGGTTAGTTATCCCCGTAGTCAACCGTGAAATGCCACCGTTCATATGAAACAGAGATCTGTAGCCCAGGCCCGCACCATCTTTACAGCTTGTGGGGTATGAGTCGCGGCAACGGTGTAAAACTACCCGCTCGTTGATTTAGTCATCCTGTGTTTACTCTCCAGATAGCTACGTTGTGTGACCCAGAACAATTCCTTGCCGTTTCAACCTATGCTTCTCGATATATAAAGGTCAGTCCAAGCAGCCTACCTAAAACTGGTCCCTCGATGAGCCTCTCTTCTTCTTTCACTTTCTCTACCTTAATCTTCCTCGTCTTAATAATCGCACGGGCTTATAATTTCACCCTTAGACGTCTTTCCCTCCCTCCAGGACCCCGAGGGAGCTTATTTCTTGGTGTCAAGAATCGCCTCACTACCTCTGCGCCGTGGAAGCAGTATGCTCAATGGGCAGTGCATTACGGAAGTAGGTCGCGTTATGTGATCCTTGACGCTTCTAATTCATTGATCATTAAGGCTCGGTGATATCCTTCCGTGTATACAATCGTCGCGTCATCGTGCTCAATGACAGCAAATCGGTACATGACCTTCTTGACAAGCGTGCCAACATCTACTCAGATCGGCCAAAAGCATGGATGTATCATGAGATATGCGCTCGCGGAAAATCTGTTTTCAATATATCGTCCTTGGATAATCGCCACAAACAGTATCGACGACTACTTCAGGAAGGCATCGGCGCGAAAGCGACACAGCAATATTCGTCACTCTTGGATGCTATGGCAGACACGATGGTGGAGAGTTTCATCAAAAGCCCTGAAGAATATGTACATCATTTGCGGAGGTAAGCCCCCCTCGTGTACTTACGTGGTGGCATTAATCCATCTAACATCACCGAGTAGAAATTCTGCTGCAGTAATTATGAAAGTGGCATACGGATATACCGTTACCGAAAATGACGATTTTATTGGCGTTGCCGAGGAGTCGGCCAGGATTTCTGCACAGGCGTTGACCCCTGGCAGGTGGCTTGTCGATTACTATCCCATTGGTACGTCTGGTTATTCTAGTTCCGTTGGCAACGATAGTAAATACCCAAACAGTTCGCTTTCTCCCATCTTGGTTACCATTCACTGGTTTCAAACGTCAAGGTGCGGAGTGGAAAAAGCGTCTGGACTCTCTATCCGGAGTTCCGCACGAATGGGTCAAAAAACAAATGGTCAGTGTGTTCATTTACGGACAAGCATAAACGATACAACGGTTCATCAATTGTAACAGGCCTTGGGCGGATACACCGAGTCTTTCACCTCCCGTCTTCTCAATACAAAAAGCGGAAGTGATCCTGAAGAGGAGGATATTATCAAATGGTGCGCCGGGGGGTTATACGCGGGAGCTGCGGATACCGTGAGTAGGGATCAAGTCTTACGAGCTTGATTTAACGTAGTTCTTCACAGACCGTTTCAGCTATGATATCATTCCTCATGCTCATGGCTCGCTATTCCGAAGTGCAAGAGCGAGCTCAAGCTGAGATAGATGATGTAATTGGACGAGACAATTCTCCTCGTACAACAGATCTCTCCAAGCTGGTATATTTACCTGCGGTTCTCAAAGAGATTCTTCGATTTGCCCCTGTAGCTAACCTTGGTGAGTAACAGCGTCCGGTCGCATTTACTATTGACTGAGACCTCTCTTTCCTTGAGCACTCCCCCATAAATTAATTTGCGAAGACGAATATCGTGGCTTTCGGATACCAAAGAACGCGACAATAATAGCCAATGTTTGGTGGGTCCAATTACCCACCGTGAAAAGCGAACGTTGAACATAGCTATTCTTCCACAGGGCAATCATGCATGATCCTGAGCTATATCCTCGGCCGTTCGAATTCGACCCAAACAGATACACAGCGCCAAACCAAAGTTCTTTCCCTATAAATCCAGACCCTCGCCTGTTCGCATTCGGCTATGGACGGCGTACGTGTCCAGGTGCGGATCCTTCGTTTCTTTCCCGAGGCTCTGTGCTCATTAAAATGCCAGGTATTCAATTCGCCGAAGTGTCCATGCTGCTTTCCATGTCCAATATACTCTCCAAATTTACCATCAGTTGTCCAATCAAGCCCCTTCCAGACATTGAATTCTCTTCGGGAATCACTAGGTAATGTGCACTGGTTTTACTCTGGTATCTAGTCTCTGATAATACATGGAAACACAGTCATGTAAAGCCATTCGAGATCTGCATCACACGTCGCACGTGAATGTAGAGAGAGGGATTGACGACTTCCATCATACAATTTCCGGCTAAGCTTTAGGCTGCGAGAACCGCACTCACTCGGCGCAAACAATGCCCGATATAATCTATAAAAGTTCGATGAATAGAAACTGGTTATAATCAAGGTAGGTATAATATGTAGCTTAGTACATAATGGAATAACTAGCCACGGAATGTTCGTAAAGACCGCCTATCTTGCCACAGTTCCTACCAGAACGTGGTGAAAATTAAGTACATGCTAGCAACTGTGAAACTCTACCGTTATTCCTGACTTATTCACGGTGAAAGTCAAAGTTGGCAGGGGTACAGGAGTGTTTGTGTTCGACCACATGTTCTTTAAGACGATTGTAGAAGGACCTAGCGTCGCTGAGGAGGGAAATATTGTCTACGATTTGGTATATTAGATAGATACGACCCAACAAGTTGGAACCGCGTCACAGAATCCAAGAGATGGAATAGGGAATGGCTAGTGACCGTGATGGTCGTAGCTACGATCAAGCGGGAATCGACGGAAATGCTACACGTTATTTAATCGAGATGGGCATGCACTATTCGCGGTCGCTTTGTTTTATTGCGTGAGCCTGAAACTTATTTCACACTAACAAGAAGTGGCCTCCGGGGCATAAACCAGGGCGAAAATATCATGGAAGAGTGTTATCAATTTTCGCTGGAGGACTTTGGGGAAAGTCAGTTCGATGGCGGGAAACGTTTAGGTAAAGCAAAAGTTTGAAAAAGCCTGAAGTTGTTGGAGAGAGTAGCCGCAACACGGAGTATATCTCTGATAACAATGGCTAGAAATATCGCTACTTGTGAGACATTCACAATGGCCAACACAAAGAAGAAATTATGAGACCAGGCGTTATTTAACATACTGCATACTTGTCGGTCGTGCTTGTACTATCTTGTAGAGACGAGACATTACATCATATAAACGTCAGCCTCGTAGTCTTGTACAGCCACCCTATGTTCCTTTTCTTGTGCCTCGAAGGCGCGAGGAGCGGAATGAATGCTCTTGGTGGATTTCAGTCGTCTGTGAGTCTTTTAAAAAAGACTGGAAATAAATTAGTGGCTGACCAATATTTAAGCAAAGTTTGCTCAATTTCGTAAGATTTACTCGGGAAGTGATTGCGGTGATAATTCTCGGGACTGCAGCACCTTCGGCATGACAGTTCATATCTCCGCCTGGCATTTCTCTACTCTCCGTAGCCTGTTGTATACCCCCGTGCGCCGACGATAGCAAGTAATCTCGTTCTTCGGTACCGCAGCCTAGCTGACGCGATATTTTATACAGTTTTGACCGTCGTTAACATATTTTGTTAGTTCGAAAGAGCTGCGTTTCACTAAATCATTTGCGTGCTCTGCCTGTAAAACCGTCCCAAGTGCTATTTTCGCAAGCCAACGGCAGTTGGATTGAAACAGCCTACCTTCTCACTAGAAATTCACATCGAGGACATCAGTCGACCGACATCTATTATGATTGACACTCAAATACGGCATTGCCATAATTGTTCAAGGTTGACATGAACCGTCGACAATCCGAAGAGGTCTTCGTATGCTACTATCATTTCTCTTTCACCTCGCGCCTCTGGCTTCCGCCAGTGTGTTCCATCGGCGGCAACAGGTTAATCTGAACCCCACCGTGGGCGGTGATCCTGATAATGGCTGGAAGTCATTCCCTCAAGTAAGAGACGCTACAGCATACCCTGGTTGGGTTGTGAGTCAAGACGATGGCGCTAAACTGGTTCGGCTGTCCCTCTTCCTGATCATCGCCTCCGAATCTGACATTCAACTATTAGCCTGTATACCAATCGAGCGGACTCAACAACTCTGAAGTAACAAGAGCGGTCATTGTTTTACCTGGGAAGGTAGGCATTTACTTTCAACTCCTCATCACGTTGCTCACCGTAGCCACAAGAACAGAGACTGCTGGTACTGTAAGTCTCTCTCTGTTACTCCATTTTCACTCGAATGATCTCCTTACGAACCAGACTGGAATGTGATGAACAATGCACTATACAACGCCACGTATCACGACCCGAGTATAAGACGCGAACAAATCTCCATCATCGCTCCTTGCTTTTTCACCCAACAGGATAGGGATGCAGGCGCAACGGGGGACGACGTACTACTGTGGGGAATGACAACCTGGATTGATGGAAAAGCCAATATTCTGCCGAATTTTGTAGCAAATTTCAGCAGTTTTGATGTGCTCGACGCGTTGGTGGCGTATTACATGGATACGCGTGCTTTCCCAGACTTGAACGTGAGTTTATATTCATCCAGTTTTCATATATTACGAATCATCTACAGACTGTCGTTATTGGAGGACATTCTGCTGGAGGGCAAATGACACAGCGTTATGCTACATTACGGAAATCGACTGAGAACGATAATCGGCTTCATTTCTGGATCGGTAAGTTCTTTGTTTTGCTTCTTTTCGTGAGCAGGCCTTTCTTCATGGTAACCCTTTCAGCCAACCCAGGCTCTCTATGCTGGTTGACTGAAGACCGACCCATGCCAAATAGTCTTTGCTCTGACGCCGACAAGTACAAATACGGCTTAGCTGGCAATTTTCCGGCCTACGCCACGTCGGACACGAATAAATTAGGCCGGCGTGGAATCGTTTCGAAATACAATGGACGGAATTTACACTACGCCTGGGGAACGGTAGGCACCTATTCTCGAAATACTTTACCCGTCGGCTACGTTTCTTATTATGTTTTCCTTTTCTATAGGCAGATAATGGCCCTGGAGATATTTCTTGTCAGGCATTTGTGAGAATTTGTATTACAGCACTGATCCGTTCATCCATCTAATAGTTATCATCATTTGCAGACTCAAGGACGCACGCATCTAGAGAGGGGAAAGAATTTCGTCGCCATGCTAGAAAACCTGGCCGGCGGTATACCTGCTCTCTCGACCATCGATTGGATAAAGGGTGTATCTCACTCCAACGAGGATATGATGAGTAGCGAAGCAGGGATAGATAAGGTAATGCAGATTCTCTTATGCAAAGTATTTTGAGTCTCATTTGCACCGAAGTTGTTTCGATATGCGTCAAACGCCACCACTGGAACTGTATACGGGCCTTCGGACTCGAGTTCGACCTCGAATCCAGAGCCGGTTCAAACAGCGAATGCTATGAACAAACAATCGCCATCTTTTATTTTCTTGTTGGTGTTACCTGTGGTTTTCTATTTCAAAATTTAGCAGAGATGCTGATACGAAGTTATGCCTATTGCATACACATTTCAACCAATTCCTTCTACTATTAGAACTCCTAATATCTAATAGACGACCATTTTTTTGACGCAGTATCTCCAACTGACTTCCGATCACAAGCCGACCGGGTGTATATGAGATACGTACTACTCCACATTCAAACGCCGGAATTCCGATATGAGTGTTCAGGAAGAAGCATGATTCGGTTGCTCTTTCTTGCGATGGGTCTTCTGACAACGCCGAAAAAAATCACCTGCGAATACCTTCCATCACAGAGTACCGGACTTACATTGTCCTCCCACAACATCTGCCGAAACTCCCCACGTAATGGATAAAATCTCAGACCGACTAGGGCCCAAAGATCATCATTGAATCCCGGGAAAAGATTTCAAGAAGGGTTGTCAGTCCAACATTCCTTGGTTCGACGATGGAGCACGCGCTACAAACAACACGAGGCTCCCATGTTCTTAAGGGGCACGATCTGCTCGAGATAGACATCTTCTGAGAAGTTGTCCAGGAATGGGTGCAGCCGGAAACAAATTATTCGTATGCTGATCCGACCCACCAATGTGATTTATCGGCAGCATTTTGGATAATAAAGTGTCATTTTTATCTTGATGGTCAGAAATTGCATACCGACGAGGTTCCACTCCTCAGTCGTTGAAGACTTCAATAAGTGAGTGTTTCTTCGTGACCCGGAATCAGGCCTGAAGGACCAGATGTTGCTTGGAAGAATGCCGAATATATTGGCGAATGGCTTATTATTACAACTAGGCATCTCTACATCAGAGGGGTGAATTCTTAACCTCTACGTGTCTATGATCAAAGCGCAATTGCCCAACTCGTGCACATGAATAGTAGTTTGGCATCTCCTCGGTAGTTTTCAAACCAAGGACATAGAGAAGTTATAGAGTTCGGAGGGCCACCTGCTGACAGAATTGAAATGTTCGGCTTGGAGTCACGAAGTTGGCAGACCTGGGCAGGCAATGACAGATGAGCGAAAACCACCGGCGTTCGCACGATGATGGATGTCTCTGAACCATATGATGTCCCCCAGACCCTCTCGGTACGAACTTTCTCCGAGGGGTGCGAAACAGTCGCATTCCCATCGTCCTCCGGTAATTCTTTCATGACGGGACTATGATATGGCGAGGGGATTGGTACTTGTAAATTTGATTCTCTTGGGCTTGAGCAATAAAGCAGTCACATATAAAAAGATGGCCCCTTGAAATGCCTTGTTTCAAAATGTCCGGATCCCAGATGAGGGTGTATGCCTTGGCAGTGAGTAGAGAGGCCTAGGACGCGAGTTAGTCCTATGCTGCAACATATGTAGTAGAATCAATAGGATTGCTGAGATAGACTCCTTGATAGAAGCAACCGCATTGCTCAGCATTAGATGGTGCTGTTCAGTAATGACGAGGTTCAGGACCGCCAAAATGACTAGTTCGGAACGTCAGTCATGAGCTTGACATGGAGAAGACATTGTTCATATGGTGAGTTGGTTCTTCCTGAAGTAAACGAACAACAAACATCGGCGTAACTACGTACTCTATGTTACGAGCCAGAACACACTCCCTACGGCAGCCGTATGGCCGTACACTAATTTTAATCAGTTTAACTACTTTGTACCTCGATAGTGTCTATGCGTGCGTAGATCCCCGGATCACTCCATGTACATCTGAATTTGGGTTTGCGAGTAAACTAACGGAGGTCAGGACCGACGTCGGGAGGCCCTTCATGGCGTCGTGGCCCGGCCGTACCATCGGTGGGCACCTTAATGAAGTGGACTAGCTTTGTCAAATTTAGCACTTTCGTATGTGAGGGAATACATGCCCACGATACTGAGTTCCATATTGTGAAAAGGAACTTTTTTTTGTCTCAACTGCGAGTGAATATCTGTGCTCGTAACTCCTTGATATCGTTCTTCAAAGTAACGATATATAGCCGCTTCAGAGTCATTATCGCGTGTCTACATAGGCTCATCAGGGCGAGATACTCACAAAGGCCCTAAAAGCGTTTCAATTTGGTTGAGGAATGTAAGAGTTTAGAAAACTGGCATATAGAGGAATACCAAGACGCACATAAAGCAGACCATGACTCATATGGCATACGTAGATCCCTTGCCGAGATTTCTTGCCATAGGTTGAGATGGAGTGTAGTCAGAGAATTCTAATCGATAGCGACAAAAGACTATGGCCATTACATCTCGAATTCAACAGGAGCCTTTTCTATACACTGTATGACTTTCTACTCTGAAGTAGACATGTCTGGACCTCGATATACTGAAAACAAAGTTATGCATCGACTGACCTTGCTCACCTCAACGTACAGGTTCCAGAGTCTGTTGGATATATAAACTTTTGCCGGCGGAGTTAGATTGAGAGCTCAATAGAAAGGAATAGATCAACAAACTTTGGTAACAGACTACTTCAATGAAATCAACGTTAGCGCGAATTTCCAACCTGTAGAAAGAGTGAATTACGTAGGAGCAGGTCTTATTCCTTCTACCGCAGATCACGCTAGTCTCTCATAGACAGACGACGATACACACCTGTTGACGGGAGGGAGTGACGGTGTGTATGTACGATGACGCATAATCATGGCAATATTATTGCGCTGTCAACCCTGTCGTCGTGGTTTCGTCAGGGGATTCACCGTTCGCACTATTGGCCGTGAAGACAGAGATTCCGATGAAGAGAAGAAGCTCGTTGACGATCATTGCCTCGAAGGACGAAACTACCCCTGTGGAACAGCATGTCAACAACCACATTGGCACTTCTCAACGTACGATACTTTAGACCTTGTGCTGGCGGATCTTCAGCGATCGAGAACTAGGAATTAGTCTCCATGATATCGCCTTCAAGACCTTCCTGTTTAGTTTGGGTGTGGCGATTAAGTTTGATACCAGACCGTTATCTGGGACATACTTTCCTTATCAAGAGACCGTCATCGATTGCGTCGTATGGGTCCCCTCGCGAGCCTGAGGCACGAAATGATGCATCTAGAATAAATACAGCGCCACCCCGACCCGAGACCAGGGAAAATTATCGGAAGGATCATGAACACGACGTTGTGTGTAGTTCCGCTGTGTATAGGGATGTCAGAGATAGTGAAGCGTTCATAAGAATTATTTAAATTGCATCGACGGAACTAAAGTAAAGTTAGCGACAGTAAATGAAAATACGAATTCTCTTTGGCAGGCAGATTAACGGGGATGATATCTGGAGAATGGAGGAGGCAGGTGGACTAAAGAAGGGAAGAAACTCGTCGTTCGATTGGATTTTAAGGGTAAATTTGAAAGTGTTCTAGAAAATAAACGGAAGGGTAGAGAGATGCCTTTGCATGTGATTACAGTGCGTATGCTTTAGTGGGACACGTTGCATTTCCCAGGAAAACATTGCAGTATATTCGTCGAGGCTCAAGCATCACTCTGTGGAGAATCAGTTCAAGAATATTCCGTGATCTGACACGTTCAGGAGGCATTTTGGAGCTTCACATGAAGGGTCGAGGCAAGGTCGAGAGATCGAATATTAAGGTATCAACATTCGAGCGGCGAACGTGAAATAAAATATTCATTTGGTGTAGTGTCCCAGAAGGAGGCTACGGAGATGCCAATTGGTTCTGGTATCGATGAGAGGGCCGGGGAGCAGTAAGAGTTGGCGTCGGGGTGCAGGGTATATTTGGGCTACCACCCCGAAAGATCCGAGTGCAGCTAGAATTCAGGCCCAGCAGGGAAAGGGCAGGGCGAACACAACGAACCCTGATGGTGACATCGGAATGCGGGGTTGGCCTCGGAGACGGGGGCAGATAAGTAACCGTAGGCTGCGGAACAATTGATATTGATTTCATGTGTTTTCAATGAGCAGGAAACAAGTTAATGTCTATGTGTTGGAAAAGGGAGCACTGCCGTTACATATTGCAAAACACGGCAAACTTACGCGCTGCTGATCCGTCTAGGGTATCTTAGAAGAAAGATAACGGATCTGTGAGCGAGGCCGGAGGACTCAAGACGTAAGAGTTCCCCAATACTCACGAATCAGAGAGGCTTCCTACGATTCAAGCTAGAATTGAACTCAGGCTGGATGACTGCCTGCCTCTAGAAACAAATGCAAGCTAGACGTCGCCACAAACCCGCATACCGTGCGGCGATCACCGACATAGTCGAGGAGCTCCATGGCGAAAACAGTACGGAAGTCTAAACGTAACTTTGAGTAGTTGTTCCATAATATAGAGTTACAAGGAGAAATCAACACGCATACGCCGTCATTGACAATGAACTGTTGAACGTGTCTGCACTGCCTCTGGATGAAAGCGAATGGTGGGTCATGTGAGTGGCGGGCTACTTGTTAGTGCCTGGCACGCTCGATACTGGTAGGCATTCACCTCGATAGTGTAAGTAGATTGGATGACGCCACCGCCGTCATCGCCGCCCAGATGGAGTCAAACGCCCCGCTGAACATGGAACAGATGCTTCTACGAGGCGAGGACAATAGGATCCTACAATTCCGGTTCTGCGAGGAAGACCGAAGGCGCTGACGAAGAGCGGATATATCAAACTCGCACGGGCGGGATCGTCACATCATAAACACGCTGCTGAAAAGAGTATGTTCAAAGAGTTGACGCCTCGAGTAAAGACTGCCGCTTACTGCCGCTGGGAGGGGGGGGAATGCCTTCAATGGGACAATGTTCCAGGAAAATTCGAGTAGGATCCTATCGATTATTTTAGAATCTTTCCGCGATTGGCGCACTTTCGAGTCATACAGGCAATTCAGGCCTTGCAGAGTGGGGATAAGACCCTGGCTGATGGTACAACGGAATAAATTCACCGCTGAAGATCATTGTGGCGAGGCAGAAGAATGAGAGCAGGTGTACTAATTGATTGTGGCACGGCAGAGTCCAGGACTTGCGACGCGTCATAACACCCGAGCGACGGTACAATATGTTTCGACCGGCAGAAGACGTACTCGTTTCGAATGCGCGCCGGATTGAGTCTGATGATCAACTTAGACGTATTTCTTCATCAGATTGACATGCGACTCACCGGATAAAGAGGGATTGAAAAGGGACACAGCTATATTACTTTTTGATTGCTGGAGTAGGATCCATAAGCTCGGAGCCTTGACGACCGAAGAAGATCATTGGGGGGGCCAGCCGCCAAATTCCAGGAAGGAGGGGTGACACTGCGAAAAATATGACGCGATGTCAATCGCCAATTCATCATATGGCCCAGATAACATATTCTCCACCTCGACTCACTCGGATTTCCAAAGACGGGGCGCATTCTGGGAGTTCTGAGTCCATTTTGCAGTGAGTGGGAAAACCAGCGACGCCGTGTTATGACATTCCGTATGATGACCCTGAGTGCACGGTATCCTGCTAATATGGCATGTCAGATCAATACATTCTTCCAGCATGGACTATGGCTGGGACTTGAGGCGTCACTTTCTTTTGTGTTTGAGAGTATTTGCGTTCCACGCACAAATACATTCTCCCCGGGGAAGTACAAGGATTCAGTGGATTGGTGTGTGTTCGAATTTTGTTCAAGTGTATTTTTGGCGTATTTCTGATTTCGCGGGAGGATTGTTCCTGTCGAAGCGGGGAAAGTTGCATCAGACAGGCTATTATCGTAGATGGCGGAATACGGGTGGCGCGGCATCGGTGAGCCTTACCATGCGGGAGGAAAGGATTGTAAGGCGGTAACGAGCAGGCCAGGTCCGCTCCAACGGTACTTTCCTGAGGCTCGACCACTGATATTTTGGAGAACCATAATCTGGACCTTCTTCAGGAAAATGTTATGTACCGGTCGCATGATTTCTCATAGGCCTACCGAGTCAAACTGCTTGTATTGGTCAAATTGTCCCCGGGACGAAACGAAGTTCCCTGAAATTGCTGCACATGCATCAGCTGAAGATTCTGTTCTCATGGATATATCAGTCAGAAAAAAATAGATACCTACTATTCCTTTCCTGATACGCTTTCCTTGTGGTCTACAATTCTGTCGTCCCCTGGTGGTACCTTAACTAGAGGTCCCAATGCATCCAGGTAGGTAAATTTAGGTGATTCGTCCCTCACACTGGCAGCGGTATGGTCAGTACATTGTCCGCCTAGAGGAGGAAATTTCTATCCAGTCATTTCTATCTTGACATGTTCATCATGGTCGTGTAACGTATCAAACGTTAAGAAGGGTGATCGCGTCAATACGGACTGTCGCATCAGGTTCGTTTTGGAGTTGCCTTGTTAGGTGCGATGACTAGGTCGCGGGTCGCGGGGACCGAACGCGTCAAATCGCTACCCAAGTATAATAGGTTGTCGTACGACGCTCCGGCCGTTTTCACCTGCTTGTTTTTCAAGTGTTACCCGAGTCACCACTACGATATTATCCTTGACAGGCATACCAATACTTACGTCCATTGTCCGCCCATTGAGGATAAGTTACAGATCATTATCTCGATTCTATCCGGGCATGGCCCTCGAGGGTTTTTCGTGACTTCTATTGGGGACGTATCACGGCTGAAGCGCTTACTGTAACAATTCCCTGTCAAACCGTGTTGCTGACCGGTGGTGGTGAGACTGAGGCTATTTACGGAGTCAGTGAAGTTGGAAAAGACACCTAATACGGAGATGCCTACATTTTTCAATGTAGGACGCGTAAGAACGCGCTGTTGGACCGCTACCGAGGAGCACACTGGACGTGTGGTGAAGGTTGCGATCGTAGTGGCTGTGTCGGGATTTGTCATCGGCTGCCAGAGCCGACTTCGGACTGCCAGCTGTACTGACCGTGCCCACCATGACCATATCTAACACGACGCACGACGTCCGTGGGTCGCCTCTTCTTCGCGCATTGTAAATATGTTGTTCTAATGGCTCCTTATGACGTGAGATCTAGCTCTGTAAGCACATAGGATCTGAATTTTTTTGTTGGGTCTGACAATTTACTTTTTTCACAGCTAGGCCAACAATGGCTGGAGCGTAAGTTCCTTCTTGCGTTCGGAAGCTCAAGTCGTTTAGCACTGCACTTGCGCTACTTGAAAGTATCGGGGAGAAAATACGATCTCGGGGCAGACCATGTGCGTAACCAAATTTTCTGCAGATTTCGTTGCCTAATGCTCGAATACCAGATTTTAAATGTGCTGTCAAGAGCTGCATGGACGGTTCAAGATTATATTCATTATGCGTAAACGGTGTTGAAGGACACTTTGCAGTATTTCTGTGAGGGCTCGACAGTGTGTGCGACCTAGTCTCTCTGCGGATATCAGTCTAATTCGGGAGGAAAGTAGGCTCCATTTGCAATGCTTTTATCTTCAGAGACCGAAGCTGACGGTCGTAGTTTCCTCGTCGATTCCGTGCGGTTGTGAGACCTTGATGCTTCAACATGCATCAATGTGGCTGGGCGAATTGATATGTGCGCGGTATCCCACTGTACCTTTCATCCTTCAGCTGCTGATATTCATTTTCCAGTTTGGTTCGCAGACATTCGGATTCTCATTCAGGCTTCTTTTGGTTCTCAGGTCAACGTTGCTCTCAATCATTGGCGTCCAACTGTACGATTAACAAGGGTAGGTATATTATGTTGTTTGCTCCCTTTCCCGTGACTCAGGCTAAGGCTGTCTGCAAGGAGGGACCTCAGAGAGTGGAGACTTTGGCTCCTGCAGGTTCGAAGGTATAAAGATGTCACTGCCACCTTGCTCTGCTACTCGTCCATCTGGGTTAGTTCATAGATACTTGGTCGAAACATATCAGAACGCTGATGGTACCCTTCGCAGCATCGGTGGTCTTATTACCAATAGTCCTAGCGAAGACGCATCATCGTCATTCGGCGTGTTTTCTAAGCAGAGTCTGTGGAACGATGACCGCTATCAGATGACGACGTCAAACCTTCCCTCGTCACTGCGGTTTGCTTCCGATCCAAAAGTCTCTCAAGTCAAGAAGGAAGCCTCGCTCTGTCTCCGTGATGTATGCCAGTTCCTGGATCAAGTCCTCTCAGCGGTGCCCTTCGCAGTGAGTCTCTCTTCTCTTCTTTCATTTGTATGTTCTATTGTTGACCGACAGTGATACATCGTAGCAGCGGTCTTCCCTGTCAGGGAAGTGCGAAGTCGATCAGACTCTTTTCCCCGGTTGAGCCGTCGAAGAATGAAGCGCCCATATTTGTACACAATGTCGTCAAGGCGAAAGTGGGGCGTTTCATCGTGATCTGCATCTTCGAGTTCGGGTCTTGCTCGTCAGTCGGTTGCTACCGATGAACATAATATCTGTTCTAGTCTCCAGTAAGCCTTCGTCTCTTTCTGGTGGTATGCAGAGACTGAATGATGCTTTGTTTCGAAGATATTCTTCGACGTCGTTGATATACAATATTCACTTGGTTGCCATGGGTTCCCTATAGGTGTATCGGTCTGTAGAATGCTTGCTTCCCCCACGACGGATGATATTCGATGTCATTAATGCAACCTAGTTTCACTCATCCTTGAACTTCAAGACACGTTTTCGATATCAAGGTCCCAGCCCGAGCTTCGCACGCCAATTCGGGCTCTAGCAAGGGCTACTAATAGGCGCTGGTCATTGCGGACCTACATGCTGTTGTAGGTCCCCAATGTCAGGGATGTATAAAGTTGCAAGCGACCCTTGCTATTGTGGTGTTCCTTGGTGCCGTGTGAGCGCTTATTCGTCTTCTGAACAACTTCATGGGATTGATGATACGATGCTTCAGTGTTTCCCATTTGTTGCTATACTCCGAGCGCCTGTGGTCCAAACGCCGCGAAAAGGTTAATCTTTTGGGATTTACGCTGTTATCTCCGACGTTTCATGGCGGGCGGGGATACGGAAGCGGGTACCTGTTCATTATGGACCTACAGTGACGTCGTGGGCCCAGTAGTGCGCTGTCGGTTGTATATCTTACCTTATTGTCTTTCGCGCAGATAAGGGTGATTTCCACCGACGTGTCTATCAGCTTGGGTCTGGAGCTGTCAGGCAATTTGAAACTTGGAATATTAATGTGCGCACGATTTCGTTTAGCGGCGAGGTGACGACGCATATCTATACATGTTGGATTTTCATTTCTCTGCTTTCAAGTTTTCTCCTCCGAGGATGCTTCCGCGGATCGCAACCTTTTTGTCATATCTGAGGAACCCTTCCGCGAGATGCGGAAGTTTTCTCTTTTTCTTATGACTGGATTTTTTTGCGATGCTGTTCTTTGGTTGCGCGTCGGGGGCGAACTTCATACCCGTTTATCTGTTATCTGTTATGTATATCCAATGCTAACTGCGGAGTAATAAACTGTCGTCAGTACACAGCCTGGATCAGAAAGAAGGTGGAGTGTCTGATATTAAATCGTCCCTGAGTTTCGTTTCGGGAGCGAGTATTTTGGAGGAATGAAGACTTTGTGGGGGAGCGAGCTGTTCTCGGGATGTAGCGTAGAGGGAATAAACGGGTAGTCTAAGTGCGTTGGTAGCTGATGTGGTACATTTCATCGCAGGGCTATCATACCTGTGGAACCGAGGATACGTGCAGGGTAGAACCCTCCGATTCAGAGGCAGCGAAGTTGCTCGAGCGGAGAAATGGCTAGTTACTATTCAGTAGCCTTCCTGGAGAAAGTTCCCAGGAGGAAGACAGATTGTTCGGTAGACGTTATGTTGATTGCGTAAATGCTGTGCTGAACGTGGGTTCGATGCAACACTCAGCGTCGGGTTACCCTGATTTGCATGATGCCCGTGGCTCTATAAGGTTATGAACGTGTTGACGCCGGGTAAGTGGTTAATGAAGTGAGGAGAAGAGGGGAATAGGTCCCGTGTTGGGATGTTGGGGACGAGTGTCGTACACCACCAACTCGATCGGATGTAACCAGGATAGCGTAGCTGACACATCGCGACGATGAATATATTGATGTCGCCTTTGTATCATAACAGTAGTAAATTGACATTTTGGGCAGGATATCCCACGGACGTGTCCTTGTCATCTGGATACATTTTTCGCGATGTCCTGTGGATATCTTCTGTTACCTTCCCCAATGTGACTTCTTTCTGTTGAATTTCTGTCAGCTGCTACATTCCGCTTACGACTCTGCCTTGGACATGTCACAAGAAGATGGTCTTGCACCGCCTGGCTTCTATGGAACCCAAATTTCCGACACCTTGCCTGATCTGCCGACTCAGGATATCAAGCTTTTTCGTCAATTTTACGGGACAACCCAACCAGAGCGATACACCTTGGATTTATCGGACACTCCCAGCGGACAGGAACTCCAAGGAGAATTAGAGGCTCTCAAAGGACGGCTGGAGGAGCTGATGGGGACTATTGGCAAGGTACGTGTCCCATCTTTTGGATTGTCCATCAGTTGCTCATTGTTCCTAAGTGGGCGATGCATCTGCCAATACTTTGGATGATGGGGAGCTTGTTGCTCTTATCAAGGACGCACTGCAGCTTCCGCGCAAAGCCAGGAGAGTGGTAGACCCTGACAATTCGGAAACTGAATCAGACAGCGATTCGGACAAGGTAAAGGTCCATGATATCGTTTAGTCCTTTGCTGATTATCGGCACCTCCAGCTCTCGCTCTCTTCGCGTGTCGACTTTCTTACCAATCCCGCCCTCGAAAAAGACACTAAATGGCACATGAGAGGCCTCGATTTGTATCTCACGTTGGATGAGCAACTAACAACAGCACGCTGCGTCGAAGCCACTGCCGAGAGTGCTCTCGTTCAGATCCAGGTGGAACAGGAGAAGCTGCGCTTGAAAGCCAAGGCATGTCGAGAAGCCATTGGGGAGAGACGCGATAGATGTGAGAGGCTCTACAATGCGAGGATGGCTTTGAAGAAGCACCTGATGAATCCAGACCTTTCTCGTTAGTGTAGAAAATCTGTTATATTGTGCTAATACGTATGGTTTGTCCGTAAAAATATAACCCGTGTTTTTGTCTTGCTGCCTCGATGTTGTCAGCGCTCAGCCTCTGCGGTGAAAGCCTCCTTGGCCTTCTTGTTGCGCTCGCGAGTGTCTTTCGCTTTGGCTCTAGTTAACGCTCGCTTCGCCGCCCCCGAAACCTGCAGCTTGGCAGAGAGTTCTTGATGAAATTGAGCTCGACAGTCACGCAGAGGAACTGGGGCAACAAGGTGACGGGGAAGGGCCTCTCGAATCAGGTGGGCATTATGGAGTGCGTGCATATTCAGGTGGAACTGCGAATGGTTGGTATGCACGATGCATCGTTGTCGCGCTGCTGTCTTGATCCTCTCTTGCATGACATAACTCGTCGATTCGCCAATCTGGCAGTGTCCGGTGACACAGTCGTGCTGGGCATTGAAGTCAAAAAGAATGTCCTAGGGAGTTCAGTGTAAAACGCAGCGACGATGATAAACGGCGCACCAACCTGGGCACCAACTGCAATCAGATCTTGACTGTTAATGAGTAATGGCATATTCAGTCGACCATCCTTCACGTCGGCGACTTGGAAATGCTCGATAATGATTACCACATTGTTGTTGGTCAATGGAAGGCCTGTTTTTGCCAGTATCTTGATAATTCTTCCCGTTTCCGTGACCTGAAACTGGCGTCAATCCTCGAAAAAAGATAATGGCGGGGTTTATACTGGCCTCCTTGTACTTGAAAAACACCCATGAGCTAATTCGGCACAGATTTCTGGAATTCGAAACCACCAGAACACCATTGTCCCAAGTCTGACAGTCGAACGGCCTTGAATCCAAAGGAGCATTGAGGACATCGAGTCCTTGCATACATGATTCCCAAGTAGATGTACAGCGTTTGGTACGTGGCGCTAACTTGACATGCCCTTGAAAGAACAAATCAGTGGGTAGTTGATAAATAAGAGGACTGACACGAATACCTGGCTGAAGAAGTGTCTCGTCTGCCCATCCCAGACGCCGTTGGAGTTCGACATTCTTCTTTAAGAAGATCTGAATCTTGTGACCTGCCTGTATATATTGCTCACTTTCATCCTTCCACCATCCACCACTGGCCATGTGTTTAAATCGCTCCATATCAGCCATCGTAATAGCGATGTCACGGCTCGGAGCCAGGTGGTTGGAAAGGATGCTGCACATGCGGAACACTGCATTGAAGCATTCAAAGATCTCGGTCGCAAAAATGACAGCGGGTCCAAAGCGACGAATGTCATCGGGGAGGTGAGTCAAAACATGAAGCTTGACTTTGGTGATGATACGTCGTGGATCAACAATGGCCCATGCGTCGAGAAGATTGTCAATCAAGACTTGTAAGTCAATCTGTATAGAATAAGCCTCTTTGAATGTGAAGAAGGCATCGAAGCTGCAGTACGAGATACTGGTCAATATCCCGAATTTCTGGATACCACAGTAAGGCCCCCAATTCGCCCGTAGCTTTCCATAAAGTGAAGATTTGTGGGGGGCAAAGCTCATGAAGGTGAAATATGGCCAGCTGCTGCAGGGTTTTGAAGTGCTTGCCAATAAGCGAGTTCTTGTATTGAACCAGATAGGCTGCGCGTGGCTGGGCAATTGTAAGGCCATGGATGCACGAGGATTGTAGTCGGATGGCAAAGGTATCGTCATTTTGCTTGGACCATGTTTTGCTGGTATCGTGCCATACATACTTGTCGTTGCCGAGAAGATACGTGTGGAGAATTTCTCCAGGGGTGTCGCGATGTGGATCAATACCTGAGGAGATGTGAGACCAGTATGCTTGGCTGTGGTAAATTACAGTGGTGAGCGCACCTCGTGTCTGAAGCAACACATTGAAGTGGTCGCCTGCACGTAAGTCCCTTGAAGAAGCTGTAAATGGAAGCAATTAGAGCACCAAGAAGAATCTCGTGTTGGAGGGCAACCCACGATCATTTGGAGAGAGCTTCTTGTACGACTCCTCTGGTTGTTGAATAACCCAATCCCATAACTCCTGTTGAATCGCATAAGTTATCTCCTCCACCACTGCTCTTCATTTCTCTCCCTTCAATGCTTTGTCCCTCAAACGGGAATCGCATGTCTCGGCATTCTTGATTCTCTCATCCTGCAGTGCTCTCGATTTGATTATAAGCTGCTCGATCCAATACTGCGAGAGCTTATCTTTAACGCCAGATGAAGCGGACGCATTTTTGACCCCCTCCTGGTTTCCTTGACAGGCCAGCCAGATCTGCCACCGGATAGCTTGTATCGTTTGCGTGACAGTTCGTTCATCCTTGCCTGGATGATAAAGAGCTTCATAGCCATCAACACTCTCCTTTTGTTCACTTGAGCCTCCTGTCAGATCACGCCGGCAGCTAAAATTCCCATTCACGCCGATGTGAGAAGATGTTTCAGATTGCTGAGGATTGTCGGCAGGAAGGACATGGGGGATAATTTGGAAGAGGATGTCTTCATGTATTTCGCAATCGTAAGCTTTTTCCCATTGATCACGGTCACTGTAAGAGCTTATTTAGTATGCATAGCCTCACATAGCTCAAGGAAAACGGCCTACAAGTCCTCGCACAGAGCTACAAATTGTTCGGATGATGAGGCATTGGCAGAGGTGGAACAGTATCGAACAAAATATTCCTGAGATAGTTTTCCATGCGGAAGATTGGCATTGGTAACGTAGATGTTGGTATGTGCGTTATATTGCTTGCTGACATTCCCTGAGACATCGTCACTCCATGGCGTTACACACAAGCGATACATTGGGCAGCCTCTTGCCACCTCCCGAAGTGGGTTGGGCATTGGAAAGATGGGAGAATAAGCTAGATCAATCTCATTAGAATTGAAACCCTTGGGAGAGGCAAGCGAGAAAAGCTGTACCTGAGAATTGCACGCCTCCCGGAGCATGGACTCTGATATCGAGAATGTTCTCAGTCAATGACATTGCTGGAATGCGAGACACCTTGTGAGTATGTATCGTTACATATAAGAATGGAAGTTCGCCCTCAGAAAGCCCAGTTTCAGTCACGGTTTCCAGGACATCTGCATGCACTATGCCATTCACAGTCACCCAGCGTAAAATGACTACATAAGAGTCATCTGATAACCGAGCCAGTTCTTTGATGTAGAAATGACGATGTCGTAGTCCGGGAGAAGTCCAGTTGGCCCACATGGGCGATAGCTCATCGAGATCAACCTCCTCAAGCCATTTAGCTGCCTGGTATGTTTCTGTAATTGGTCCAGCTACCTCAGGATAGACGTGAATATGTTTTCGTACAAGGGGATTGGCCCAGTCCTAGATTCTGAGTGAGATCTTTGAGACTAAATTTTGTAAAGTAGTATCCCACCAGTGCCAGCAGCTTCCGAGGATGGTTCATATAAAAATGATTTCCCAGTGCGGAAATATGATGCTCAGGCTTCAAACCAAATGCGTGAGTAAGTTTGGTCTGGGTCTTGCATAGTGCTGAAAAGGAAGGTACATCTGGAGTGCCGCATTCTCTCATGACCCAAATCACAGCCTTGAGATGGTCATCCAATAGACGTAGCCTAGGTAAATTATCCAAAAGATCCAGCATGAACATCTATAGTGAATAGCAAATCAATTTCGGTGCAGGTGAGGTGATAAAACGGAGTCTTTATACCGTTTTGGACTTATGCGGATACCAATCAGCGTCTGCTTTGGATTCTTGATCCCAGCTTGCCACATCATCGTCACCATCATCTTCATCGTCGTTGTCGTCTCCGATTGCTGAAAATTATTGCACTTTGAGTATATTCTTTTAAACTGATCAAAGTTTACAAAGCTCACCTAAGGCCTCCAGATCAGCTATCATTTGTGAGGCAGTGGAAGACAGATTATCTTCAGCAAGATCATCTGGTGCAGCAGACTCGGCGTCGTCAAAACGACCAAACAAGGTATGTCTCTCAAGCAATGCAAGACCATCCAGCTGCTTATATAACCTATGTCTACGCTGTTCCATAGCATGGACCTCCCGCTCTCCTGCAGAGAAGAGAATGTTTCTGCCAAAATTATCCTGGTATATGCCTTGGGCCTCATCAAGGTGAACATCATTGAACAAGTCCTTGGATACGTCAGCATCTATGACCATGTTCAAATCATCTTGCAGGTATTCATTCAGTGTCCGTAAGCTGGCAAAACGAGGAAGTGTTGGCTGACTTGGCGGAACAGGAAGTGTGCGTGAGGCTGTTATGTCAGAGATAGAGTCTCCGTTGGTGCGTTCCAGTGCTCGGATGTGTTGCCGTGTCTTAATATGAGAGGATTTAGATGTTTTCTTGATGACCACATCGGCCATCTCAGATAAGTCTGAGCAGATACGACAAAGCAAACGTTCCTTGTTGTTAGGAATGATCTCAAAATCTAATTTATGGTCAGATGTTTATCTTTCTTACATTTCAGTTAATTTTACCTGAACGATGAGCAGGCATGGCTCAAGAGGTGTATGTCAAGTTGTTGCCGAATGAACTTCAGTGATTTTTGTCGAATGTTTGGTGAGCATGGGAATTTTTCATTGCGTCTTCACCCGCCACAGTTTTCTCTCTCTTTTATCCTCACTCTCGTGCACAATCTTGGTGCTGCTTGTGTTCCTCTTCTTCATATCATGTCATCTTTGTCTCATTATCTTAATAGCTCTCCCCCTGCAACACCGCGTTCTCAGCCATCGTCTTTACCAGATGATGACTTGAGTGGTGCCACCTCGAATGGTGGACCAAGACCTGCAGAATCGATGGACATCACTCCCACTGTGAGACGTTCAGCAACAGTCAATGGTAACAGCTCCATTGCCCTACGCCAAGGGCTAGGTGACTTGTCTCAGTATTCCCTCACTCTTTCACGCATGTTACGGTTATTCTTTTCTTTTTTCCTTTTCATTTTCATTTCATTTCTTTTCTTTAGTCAGCCGGATTATGCGGTGCGCGATCACCACGGACTGACTCCCACAGTACTATTTTTAGCGTACTTACGTGTATTTAAGTAGAGCCTCAGCTGGTCTGAACCCCAGCTTCGGCTAAGGTTTAATCTACCTAATCCTAAACTCTGTCCTTCGTGACTATCTGTCCCATCGACTTTCATCGCCTTTGGCTTGCTAGAGTGTTGCCTACCGAAGTGCGAGTAGCAATCCTAGCACGATCTAAGTCGATAGAGTTAGTGGCTAACATTTAGCCGAAGCTCGTCTTTGGTTGCCCAACAACTCACTGTTGCCCAACCTCCACGTATTCAACATTCAGCCGATACACTTCCTTGTCGCAGTAGTCCTTTGGGTAATCCCCTTCCGCCTACTCCTTCAACTGCTCGTACTCGACTGGATTGTTAGCTTTATCCTACACGACGACCTTCTTCTTGCAGTCGTTATGACTGTATTCCTTACCTTTGTCCTAGTCGGACTCGGAATCTCGGTGGTGCTGCTAGCAGGCCTGCTAGTCGCTCTGTACGTATTATATCCCCGTCTCGTTTAAGGACACCACGTATCCCAACACGAAACCCTTCATTTTCGCCCTCCAGCTCGCCTCGATATTGACAATCTTGTTGTTGATATTAACGAGCACCTCTGAAACCTGCGAGATTTTGTTGATGAACGGCTCCAACTACGAGACCGACCTCAGCCTGATCATCGCCCTTCTCATTGTTCTTACCATACTTGCTGTCTACCAGCTTGCATGGTCAATCGTCGAATTACGCTCAGGATAGATCCACTCACGGATGCCCTGGTCCGACAACATTCTCGCCGTCTTCGTGACTTTTATACTCTTTTTCTTGTCCATTATTTTGTACCAACTACACCGCTGTTTTGTTAGCCACTAACTCTTATCGACTTAGATCGTACTAAGGTCGCTACTCGCACTTCGGTAGACGACACTCAGCAAGTCAAAGGCGACGCAAGTCAACGGGACAGATAGTCACGAAACGGGGAGCTTAGAGATAGGTAGATTAAACCTTAGCCGAAGCTGGGGTTTAGACCAGCTGAGGCTCTACTTAAATACACGTGAGTATTCTAAAAATACCACTGCGCAGTCAGTCCGTGATGATCGCGCGTCGCGTAATCTGGCTGACTAAAGGAAAGAAAAGAAAAGAAAAGAAAAGAAAAAGAAAAAGAAAAGAATAATCGTAACATTACCCCCTCCTTAAGACTCATTCGTCCCGAATGAGAATATATCTCCTTCCTTCCTCACAAGCGAGTTGAGGGGCTCCCTTCTGCTTTAAAACAGGATCGATTGGACCTCCGCTACCCCATGAAAAGTCACGACGGTGGGTTCGGCCTCTGACCCTCTCTCCCCCTGGGCGTAGGTTCCTATTAAATCCTAAGCCACCTTGCGCCGGTTAGGCCTCAACTGTCTGTCGGGATCCGCGATCCCTGAGGGTTCAATGCTCATAATTGAGCGGTGGCAATCCCCTTCTACACCGTATGTTGGTCTCTAATGGTCGTTCGTTCCGAATGACTCCGTAGAGTTTTCGCTGCTTTCTCCTGAGTTCGAGTTTCTGGATTCGGAGTAGAATGAGAAGTCGTCGTCATCATCGTTGTCTTCGTCTTCGGAGTCAAAGTCCCAATTTTCGTAGACCTTTTGTAAGTTGTCAAGGTCGAGCTCGGCGTCTTCATCGTTTTGAGTTTCTTCCACGATGGGTACTCCGTCCGCTTCTTCCGCAGTTACTTCTCGCATCTCCACCGAGGACTTTGCGTCGGAGTGTCTCGGGTGGGTGCATTGGGAGGAGGGAACGGTTTCCACGTCCGTGACACATGGAGTGTCCGGGTCGTGGTATGGCGTTCGAGCCTCCAGGGGTAAATTGTCGTCCCGCCCGACCGTTTTTCCGTATTTATTGACCTCCCAACGGATTCGTTGGAGGTGCGCTTCATACTCGTTGACGAGTTCCTCTGCGTTTGCCATGTCTGACCGTTTAACCCAGGAATTCTCTTCTCTCGGGTACCCTCGCCATTTTACTAAGTACTCTGTTATGGCGCGGCGAGTTTTCCCGCGGCCTATAACCTTGTCCCGCTGTTCCACTATTTCCTCGATTTCATATTCTTCTTCATCGTCGATCAATTCTGGAGGCGGCCTCTCGGGGCGCGGTTGATTTGAAAAGGTTGGGGCGACGTAGGGTGTTAAGAGCGACTCGTTGAAGCGGTTGTGGATCTTCCATTTTGTCGGCAGCTTCAACTCATAGGCGGAGGCCCCCTTCTTAGTTATAATGGTGAAGGGGCCAACACGACGGTCCCCAAGCTTCTTGGTCGGCCGAGGAAGATGAAGGTTGGTCGAGTCGAGCCAAACCTTGTCTCCTACTTGGTATTCCACTGCGACACCCTTTCGTTTGTCGTAGGCCTTCTTCATGGATTCTGCCGCCTTCTCTAGTGACTTCTTGGCTTCGCCTTGTGCCTTCTCTATCTCCTCCACTAGTTTCCCCGCTGCTGGAACGGTCGCTGCTTTGTGAGATTTCTTGATCACCTCTCCGTCCCTTCCAAAGATGACCCGATAGGGGGAGTATCCCGTCGCTGAATGCTGACGATTGTTATGAGTGAAGGCCGCTAATGGCAGCCATTCGCTCCAATCATCTTGCCTATCGTTGACGAACATCTTGAGGTACTTCTCAATTTCTTGATTAACTCTCTCCGTTTGGCCATCTGTTTGTGGGTGATATGCCGTGGAGGGATTCCCCTCGACGTGGAGTAGTCGGTAGAATTCCCTCATGAATTTAGACACGAAGACCGATCCTCGGTCGGAGATTACTTTCTCGGGCATTACGCCGTAGGGTACATAGACGTAGTCCCTCAGGATCTTGGCAAATCCGAGGGAAGTAAGTTCCTCGGTGCAGGCAATAGGGATGATGGCTTTAGAAAAGCGGTCGACGATGACGAGAATGGAATCATATCCTTTGGAGTCCGGGAGTTTGGTGATCATGTCGACCGAAATGTGGGTCCACGGGCGTGTAGGTATTTCATTAGGATGCAGGGGGGCCCGTTTCGGGCGACGATCCGCCTTGGTTCGCTGGCAAACATCACATCCTTTCACATAGGTCTCTATGTCTCGGCGCATTCGGGGCCACCAGTAGTCGCGAAGTACCAATTCTTTGGTTTTTTCGATACCTGGATGGCCCGCGGTGACGTGGTCATGTTTGAGGGCAATGATCTGCCCTCGGAGTTCACGGTCCATGGGAACGTAGATCCGCCCATCATACCACAATATCCCCTGTTCTCGGGATATCCCTTTTTCGTGGTTGAGAGAGTCTGAAATCCCTCGGTCCCAGCGTCGAGCGTCATGAGTGGCGATTTTGATTTTCTCGTGAAGTTCTTCCGCGGTGGGCATTATCAGCGCCCTGAAATGTTCAGCTTTGAGGACCACCACGTCTCGGTTATCCTCCTTCCCTTGGTCGTGATCTGCCCTTCGGGATAAGAGGTCGGCCTTGCGGTTTTGAGCCCCCGGCTTATGGTGTAGACTGAACTGGTACTCCGCCAACTCAGTAACCCAACGAGCTTGTCGTCGGTTGAGTTTCTGGGGCTTACGGAAGTACTGGAGGTTTGAGTGATCCGTCCAGATCTCGAAATCCTCTCGGGCCCCCATGAGGTATTGGCGCCATTCTTCGAGGGCGATCATAATGGCGAGCAGTTCTTTGTCGTAGATTTCGTAATTGCGCTCTGTAATGGAAAGAGCCTTGGACAGAAATGCGACTGGTCGCCATTTCTCATCCTGCCACTGTGAAAGGACGGCTCCTATCGCTCCCCTCGCTCGAGTCTGCCTCCACTCTGAACCGTCCTTGATCGAGGGGAATTGCCAATACTACGTCTTCACGGAATAACTCCTTAAGCTTTTCGAATGCTTTCTGCTGGGCCTCCCCCCACGTCCACTCCTGCTTTCCGGTAAGCATGGTCAACTGGTCGGACGTGTTTGCTGTAGTCACGAATAAACCGCCGATAAAAGTTACAGAACCCGAGGAAGGATTGCAATTCTTGCTTCCTTCGAGGGGTCGGCCAAGTCCAGGAGGCCCGCGATCTTGACAGGGATCCATGCGAATTTTTCCCTCGCTGATGATTACTCCCAGATATTCGGTCTCTTCTACCTTCGAATTCGCACTTTTCCGCTTTAAGGAATAGGTTATTCTCCCGTAATATCTGGAGGACCTTTCGTACAATCCTCTTATGCTCTGCCTTAGTCTTGGAAGCGATGAGGATGTCGTCCAGATATACCGATACCTCTCCGGCTGTGATGAGATCCTTGAAGATGTCGTTCATCATCCACTGGAAGGTAGCCGGGAGAGTTGGTGAGTCCGAAGAACATGACGAGGGGCTCGTAGAGGCCACGATTAGTT